TCCTTATGCATCTCAAAATGTTAGTTCAATATAGTCCCAATCAAGTTAACATTATTAAAATTCTTTTAATGATCAAAGTCAATACCCCTTAAGTTTAATTTAAAATTCAGAAGAACCAAATGAAAATAGTTAATTATCAATATTTTATGAAGAGAAGAACAGAGGCTCATCAAAGAAATAGAAAACTATTCAATAATAATAGATGGAAAATAATTCTACTGATCATTATAATCTTATTACTACATTTAAAAATGATAATAATGAGAATGATCCTCAATAAATTAATTAATAAGTTGAAAAATCAGTAAGTTCTTGTAAAAAGACCTAAAAATAATTAAAAAATAATTAAAGAGAAAACAATCTATTATCAAATCGTTAATCATCTAGAATAGAAATAATATAAGTTTAATAATTAGCTAAATCTGCTTAATTTTGTAATGAAAGTAAAAAAGAATTATCATCAAATAAGAGTGGATAATCTTTAAGTACAGAAACTAATAAAGTCTAATATAAATAATAAATAGTAAATTAAGAATAACCATTATGTTAATCATAAATATATTAATATTCAAATATGAATAAATAATAATAATAATAATCAAATAACTCATAAGGAAATAATATTAATTAATAAATAATTGATAATAATTCTGATTCTATTCATTCTAATCAATTTAAATAAAAAATAAATAATTTAAAATAATCTTAACATTAAAATAATAAAGAAGATGTTACTGATGATTATTAATTATAATTAAAAAGAGTACAAGATTAATAACCATAATTTGATACTGAAGGATCAAATGATTAGAGTAGAATTTAAATTTTAATGGATAGTAGAGTTATAGAAGAAGATTAAAATATATTTTAAGATTAGATTCTAATTGAATAAAATAAACCTTAAACAATTAAAGGAAAAAACAAATAATAGAATATAAATGATGAGTAAGATAAAATTGAAAGGGAATCTGAAATAAGAGATATATTTGATTCGAATGATTCTATTAATACAATGTCTGATCAAGATTGGGGAGAATATCAAATATCACCTTCAGAATTCAATTCACTTAATTAAAGATTTGAAAATGAATAAGAATTAGATTTATAAATTCATATACCTAGTTATAGTAAAACACAATAGAATTACAAATAAAATAAATTAACTCCTTTAAATTTGGAATTTAGAGATGAGATCAATGATTAATAATTTTAAATCGATATTACAAGAAACCTTTAAATATAAAGAGAAACAAAAAAACAATAATTGTAGAAAATATATCTCTAAAAATTTGAGAAAAATGAGAAAGTTGCATATAGATCAAATAAATGTGAATTCAAGAAGAAAAATACTATCAAAAATCATCCAAAAGATATATCAGATGCATATATTGATGATTAAATAGATGTTGAAGATATCAACTTTTGAATTAATTAATTAATTATATATATATATATTGAATCTATTGTATATCTCTTCTTAGCTATATTACATAATAATTATGAATATTTAAATAGCAAAATAAATAGTTTTTAAAATATTATCGATCAAAAATCATGTTAATTAAAATTAATTTAAACGATTAGAGAAACTATATTTAAAATAAAAAAAGATAATAAGTCTTGATTTAGAACTTTTATCTAATAATTTACATTATCTGAAATTATAAAATAATATGACAAAAATATTTACATTTAAATTATTCAATTGTTTAAATAATCACTTAAATTAGATTAATGAATTGAATATTGTTGGATTATCAATGTTTTTATTTCATATTGGCTGAAATATTGTATTTTTCATTTATAAAATTGTAAATTGATTATTTCTTTATTAAAATGAGAAGTTTAGATAATAATTATGAATGATTAATATCTTAAATTATATAATGTATCTAACTAAAATTTTATTTATAATAAAAATGGCTTATTTTTTGGTTATCTTTTATTTAGTAAAATAATTTTTTTAAATAAAATAATATGAAAGTTAAATAAATAAAAGAGATATTAGATAAGCTTAAAGAAAAGTATAGAATGGAGATGAACTATATAAAAATTGAGGATTAGTTTAGGTGTGAATTTTTTTTAAATTCTCTTTCAATAGCAGTAGGAATGGGCATATCTAAAAAGTATGCTAAAAATGTAGCCGCAGCTAAGGCATATGAAATTTTAATTTATTCTGATTATTCATTTGCAAGAAGAACTGGAATAAAGATTCCAGATGAAGATTATAAATAACAGTTGGAATAGTATGCCTTGAAGAAAAATGTTAAAGTGGATTTTAAAGAAGAAATAAGAAATTAATTTGGATATACATAATTTAAAATTAATTATGGAGCAAGAACTTATATTGGTTATGGATTAAAAAGTAAAAAATGTATTAATTACATGTCTTATTGTATATTAAAGAAACTTGAATTTAGTGAATAAGCGAATTAAATAAAAAATTAATAAGAAGTTGTATAGAACACCGACCAATAGGAGCAAAACTTAAAAATTAAAATTAAAATTGTAAAATAACTACCTACAAACTAAAGAGAAGATTAATAAAAAAAAATAGAAGATCATCAATCTTTATTATAACCTTCTCCTCTTATTGCAAATATGATGAAGGAATTGAAGATTTAACATTTTTTAAATAGTTTAATAATTTCAGAAGATGTATACAACTATTTTGATGAGTTCTTACTTTAGTTATCTTCTTAGAATTACTTTTTATTTAGAACAATAGGATCATTCACTACAAAATCTATACGTACTTTAAAACCAGAACTTGATATTTTGATTAATATTCCTAAAGGTAATTTTCATTTGTTTGAATAATTTGTAGATAAGACTTCAAAATTATTTTAATATAAAGTATTCAGAAATAAAAAACATTTATAAATAGAATTACCATTTTAAACAAAGAGTAAATTCTTGAGATGGACATTTTCATCTCTTAAAGTTAATATGTATATTAAAAAGAAGTTGACTCCTGATTCTTTAATTCATGATGAATATATGAAATAATATTAAGTGTAATATCTATTAAATAGATATTCAACTCAATATCTCTCATTAATTCATCAATGGAAAGAAGATTCAAAAATTCCTTTAACTACAACCATCTTAGACTATTTAATTGTTTAAGTCTCAAATTATTTCTAAACAAACAATCATCCTATTGTTGTATTAAAATAACTAATATTTCTATTAAAAAATGGTATTCTTGATGATATTCAAGAATTTGAAAAAGGGGAAATTGAACTAAACCCATTTCTTTAAGCAATTCCAGAACATTAAATTATATTTATTAAAAAGATTTCTGATCATAATCGTAAATAAATAAAAGAAATAGCTGAGTAATATGATGATAAGAAAATTTAGATATGGATTTCAAATTATATGGATTGATTAAATAACTATTGTATATAATTCATTTCTTAGTTGTATATTTTGATTTTTTTATATTACTTTAATTTCTAAGAGGATATCTTTACTTCTTATCTAAAACTATAAAAGGTTAATTTTGATCTTGAGAATTTTATTAATTTGTTAAAATATTTAAATGTTCTTTATAACTTTTTGAACTTTATAATGAACAACCTTTATCAATTTTATTTTTTGATATACTTGAACAATTATTCTAGATAACTACTTTGGAAATACTTCTTTTATTATTATTATTGAATTTCTTATCAATAATATTCATATTAATTTCTTTTGGTTCTGCTTATAAATTGAAATACTTAGAATCCTCTATAGAATCTAAATCTATATTACTTTATTATCTCAAAATTGATTATATTAATTACTAATTTTAATCTATATTATTAATTTGTTTCATTTTATTTTTATATTCTTACTAAGTTCCATATATAAATTATTATTGATAATCATCCAAGGATATTAAATCAGACTCTTAGAAATTTCTATTGATTTTTGGTGATAAATATGATAATTGATATTAGAATAATCCTAAATTCTTGTTCTTAGACTTAGTTTAAACTGATGCATTTGTAGTTGATTTACTAAATAAATGCACTGATTATGAAGGCTCATATTTATTATTCTATGAAAAACTAGTTTAAATTTAAATATCCTTTTATTCTTTAGGAACATTTAAAACAATTGATCTTTCAGTCATAATTTCACTAAAAGATTTTGGAATCTATCTTTAAGATTGTTTTGTACTGAATTCATTCAATTAATTTTCATTTAATTCAATTATAGGTTTTGTATTAACTAAATTAAAAGTTTTATTTTAATCTAAGTTGAGTTATTCACTTTTTTATTAAATTTATTAATCAATAGACATTTAATTTTACTTTATTTTTGTATTTATATTAGTCTATTGTTTTAATTATTCTACTTATAAATTAGATACTTAATTAATACTTTTATTTTATTTTATTGTTTATTTAATTGAAAATTAATTGAAGTTAAATTTTGAATTAAGATTAGTGTCAGAAATTGAAATTGATTTTTGATCAGTTGAATTTAATTTATTTGATTTGAATTACAATACATCAAATTTAAAGATATTCTCATTTTCACTTAATTTTGGAGAGCAACAAGTAGTTTGTGTTTAATAATGTTATTAATTATATATATTTGCCCAATTTCCATTGTATTGAGTAGAATTTGAAAATTTTCTTGAATTATTTATTAATCTAGCATCATGAGATAATGGAAGTATAATAGATTAACATATATCAGATGTTTAAAGTGGAATAGTATTTTCATTAATTTGATGAAGTTATAATACTTATAAATCCATTTAATGTTTTGGATTTGATATTAGTAAGTCTTCATTAGTTTATGAAGATTATCTACTTCTTCCAACACTAACATGAAGTTTTCCTGGTTTCTAAACTAACTTCAATTTTGATTATAGTTTCCCTAATGGATTTGATCTGATTGTACTCTTTGATCTTACAAATTTCAACTGACTCATCAAAATTTATTTATAAACAAAATATTAAGTTGTATTTTATAATGATAATTATATTATTAATTTAATGGAATAATAACACAAAGGTAGTAAGTTAAGTATTTATTATGAGTAATTACCGAACCTGGAGAAACTAATACAAGTAGTCAACAGTTTTTTAGTACAAATACTCTATTTTTAAACAATGTTGGATTGAGTACAAATATCTCATCGAGTACTTTGAGACATACAGCCCCTTAGATCTCATTTCCTAAGGCAAATAGATTTCATACTCAATCTCAATTTCAATTACCAACCAAATTAGAATTACCATCACAATTAGGAAAAAGGTTGTAATCATAAAATTTATCTTTATTTCAGATACACACAATAAGGTTTCGGTAATAAGAAAGTGTTTCAATATGAATGGCAAAAAGTTAATGCCAAAGAATTCCCAAGTCCTGATAGATATAGAGTCAGATAAGATCCTGGAATAGATTAATTGAAAAGATCATTCGGATTGTCTTGGGAAGCTTACTCAAAGACTTATCTTCCATATAATAAACATTAAGCTCCTGAGGTTGCTAAATTCTTGCCAGGTATAATTCTTATTAATTTGAGGTCCTGGAGAATATAATGTACGTTAAGATCTAGGACAACATAGATATTAATTTTAGTTGAAAGGCAAAGGGAAGATGTTTAATGATTAGAGAGAGAATGGTGTTCCAGGACCTGAAACCTATTAACCTTAAATATCATTGACTGTTCCTAATCGATTTTCAGTAAAGAATTATATACAAATGAATTTAGAAAATATCATAGGGAATAGGAGTAAAAAAGAATCCATTTTAATCTATGAGTTTTACTCCAGGTCCAGGAAGATATGAATAGAATTCTGCATTTGATAAAGTATCTAAAAAAAGAGAATTCATAACAAAACCAGGAGAAAAAAGACCATTTATATGAATGTATTTTTTAAAATACACTTTATTTGTATTTCATACAATAAATGTAATTTATCGATTTAAAATATTAAATGAAAAGAAAAGTAATCATTTCATTTTGCCTATCTATTCTTTTAATAATTGATTTCTCAATTCATACTCTAATAATTCATCATTCTCAACTGAATTTTTTGATATTGATTTTTTTCTCATAGGTGAAGGTGCAATCGGTTTCAAGATATTCCTTGCAAATTCTATACCTTTTTATCTAACAGTTACTTGTTTCTATTCACTTTTAGGAATTCTTTATTTAAAATTTCTATATTCCCCTTTAACCTTTAAATATTTTAAGATAATACATGTTCTGCAAATTCAAGCATTCTATCCATTTTATCCTTTTATTATTACCATTTTTCAATAGACAAAGTTGGACCTAATCCTTAGGCAGGATTTTTTAAAATAGGTTATAATTTCAATAGTTTATATTAGCTTAAAGTATATGGTTTATAATGAAGCATAGAATTTTTGTCATCCTTAAATGAAATATTTTTAGATTAGTTATTTTAATCTTATTCCTCTTTTTTCCATTATTCAAATATCATCAATTATTCCTCTTAATGTCTTCTAATTAATTCAGATAATTCCCTTTATTAAATAAGATGTAATTCATGTAATTTTCTTTTCTATTCTTCTGATAATTTTTCATTCAATCCATACTAATTCATATTAATATGATTATAAAATAATTAATATATATATTCTTATTTTTAAATCATTTCACTCTTTTTTTGTAAAAATCTTAAACTAATAATATTTGATTCAATATAAATTATACATCAAATTTTACAATTTTAATTCATTTTTGATACTCATTAAAAAAATTGATCAATAATAATATTAGTATAAATCTAATAAGTAAATAAATAAATATGCGAAAGCATACTTCTCCCTATAGAAATTAAAAACCAGGATCTTCTTTAATAAGAGTACTTTATAAACCAGAATAATAATAAACAAGAAACAATTCAAATGAGAAAAAAAGAAATAATTTTTCGCCAATTAGATTTATTTTAAATTCTAGACATAATTCCTTTGAATATAATACTACAAAATAACCATAAACTAAATAATCAATTATTTCCACTTTAAGCAGAAAACATTTTCAACTTTAATATATTATTGGAATTGGTGGTTTTGGAAGAGTTTGGAAAGTAATTTACAAATAATAATATTATGCAATGAAAGAAATGAGTAAAGCTTTAGTTATCTATAAACGAAGTGTGGCTTCAGTTATTAATGAATTGAGATTATTATAAAATCTTAATCATTCATTCATTGTTAATGCAGTTGCTGCCTTCTAAGATAAATAGAACATATATTTAATATTGGATTATTTATAAGGAGGAGATTTAAGATATCATTTAGGCAGAAATAGAAGATTTAATGAAGAATAAACAAGTATAATTTTACCAATATTAGAGTTCTTTATTTGTTGTGTCATTGTGGGTTTGGAATATTTACATTCACATCGTATTATTCACAGAGATCTCAAACCTGAAAATTTAGTTTTAGATTCGAAAGGATATGTAAGGATTACAGATTTGGGAGTAGCTAAATAATTAGATACTTTTTAAATAGATACAAGTGGAACTCCAGGTTATATGGCTCCAGAAGTAATGTGCGGATTAGAACATGGTATACCAGCTGATTATTATTCTTTGGGTGTTATAGCTTATGAATTAATGTATGGAAAAAGACCATATTATGGATAAAATAGAAAAGAAATTAGAGATGCTATTCTATCTAAGTAGGTTTAAATAAAACAGAAATTAGAAGGTTGGTCTTTGGATGCTATTGATTTTATCAATAAATTGATTTAAAGAAAGCCATCTCATAGATTAACAGATGTAAAAAATCATCCATGGATTAGAGATTATCCTTGGGATAAACTAAATAATAAAGTTATTCAAGCACCATATGTTCCATTAAATAATGACAATTTCGATGTAACCCAAATTCAATATGAAGATCAAGAAAATCAATTAATAATCAACCAAACAGGTTTCTTGATTTCATAAAACTAAAATGTATTTGATGAATATTATTATGAAAAAGAACAGAAAAGAAGATCATCATTAAATCGATCATTTCTTATAAAATGAATTTATTATTATTTATTTATAACATAATAGATATTTTATGATTTTATTCATTATTTTGATATAATTAAATATTAGTTTCTACTTTTATAATCTTGTTATAATCTAATCTATAAATTTCTTATTGAAATAAAGATTAATTTATAAAATAAGTAGAAACAAATTAAATAGAACATTAAATTCAATAATAAAGTTGTATATATATATATATATATTTTGAATAACAAATGTTTTCAAGGTTATGATATTTCTTTTGCAATAGTTCTCCTTCTTGTTGTAGTCTAAATAGATATTTTATTATATTTACTCTAACTTCAGTCTTTTTTTATTACTGTTTTAACATATCAATTTCATTTTCCAATACTACTACTTATTATTCTGTCTCATTAAATTGTTTATTTAAAGAAATAAATTTATTTTTCCACTAATTTTTTTCAACTTCTAATTCTTCTGTATTAGATGTAACAGATATATTAATAGACAATTCTTTTATCCTACTTTCTAATTCTCTTTAAATATTTAAAATTAAATTTACTTAATCTCTTCCTCTTTTTCATCTCCCAACTTTTTTTCTTTGTTGTATTTCTCTTCCCATTCTTAAATTAATCGATCTCTTTCTCTCAATAATCTATTATTTTCTAGTATCTACTATTCCTTATTCTTTGCACTTTTAGCATCTTCTAATCCTTGATTATAGGATTCAATCAATAATTTTGAATGTTATTAAATAAGGTAATTTAATTCTGTTAATTTATTCATTTGTTCATTTATGATTAGTTACTTAATATAATTATATTTATACATATTGTCTACTAAGATCATCTAATTTATTGCAACAAACATGTTCATCTAAATTTGACTTATCTAAACTCTTTTCTGACTGTAATCCTGATTTTTCAGAACCTATTCCAAATATATTGGCCTTTTTATCCTTTGATAAGTAACCTCTTTCAATTTACTATTATGATGCATCTAATGCACCATTGATATCTTTATTAGCCAGTTCCCATTTCAAATACCCTTTTTATCTATTATACTTATAATTCTAGTTTTAATGATTGAATTTCTAATTACCTCATTAGGACTCTCAAAATTACTCATTAGCAATAAATTTATATTTATAAATGTATAGTATAATTTCAAATAATCATAATCATAAATTCCTATTTGCTAATGTTCCATATTGATATGATGAAATTTTAGAATTTTGATTCTCTTTGACAATTTCATATGATTCAACCTAAAAATAGATAAATATAATAATATACTTTAAAAGATCCATTTTTCTATTTCTTAAAAGTATCTAATTCAGCATTTGATAAAATTAGTTATTCTTACTATTTATGATATTCTCTATTTAAATTAATAAATTAGATTTTCCAAGAATCAACTTCTTAAGATAATTATGTAATTTTTTCATTATAAGTAGTAACATCCATTTAAGTGATTAATTTAATTTTTTAACTGTCACATTCTTCTTATAACTATTTGATATTCATTTTATTTGATTCTATCTCTTATAATTTAATTTTTAAAAGATTACTCAATCTCTCTATTTCATTAGAATAAACAACATTTTTTTATTCCAATTCTTTTAATTTATTTGCTTCACTCAATTAAAATTATGAAAATTGTAATCTAATTTTTTCAATTTCTTCATTCTTACTTCTTAATTGCATAGTCAATCTCTCAATTTCTGTACTAAGTAAAGTAAATTTCTATTAATATTCCTTCAATTATGTTATATCTTATAATTTGTATTTAAAATTTTCTAATTCATCATTTTTTTATCTTAATTAAGAAGACATTCTATTATATTCATTAGTAAGTCTATCTATTTCTTCAACTTTATGTTAAAGACTTTAATGTAATCTATCAATTTCTTAATTTTATAATCCAATTTTATTTTCATAATCTTCTACTTTATAATGATCATTAAGTGTTATCTATAATTTAGATATACAATTTCTTAATTGATCATTTTCTTATAATTTAATCATTAATGAATTATTGACTCTATCAAATTCTTATGCTAAATTTTAATATTTAATTTCATAATCTGTATATTTTTAATATTCTTATAATTAATTTTAATAAAACATAAGTTATTATTTATACTTATCTAATTCATCTTATTTTATTCTTATTCTTTAATTAAGATTATTAATTTCTTCATTTTATAATTTTGATCTAATTTCATATTCTTGATATTTAGAAGTATCTTATAAAGTCATTTGAAGAGTTTAAATAATAGATTATAATTTAGATATTTCTTCATTTTTATTTAACATTTCATTCATATATTTATCTTAAAGATTTTGATTCTCTCTTAATTAATTATCAATATTTTATTTATAATTAATTTCTCTATTTTTTAAATCCTAAATTTCTAATTCAGATTCTCTTAAACGTTTAGATAAAATCTCAATTTCTTTAATATATGTTTATTTAGATTGATCATATTCTTCTGATTTCTGTTTAAGTAGAATTGTAATTCTTTCAAGTTCAGTAGTCAATTATCCTTAGACTTATTATTATTACATATATGATTGTTCATATTTTTTGGTTTCAATTAAAGTTTTTTGCATTTATTATAATTATGATTAACTTTAAGAAACAAGTACATTTAATCTTTATATTTCATTTTACCAATATTGTTCATTGTCTTAAGAACTCTTTTTAATTCTCTCATATTCAACTTAATGTTATTGAAATGCCATAAATTATTAATTCATTTGAGTTACTTTGATTTTTAATTATTCTGATTCATTTGTAGTTTCTCTTAGAAGAGTATTTACTCTATTTAATTCAATTTAATATTATTATAAATTAGTTTCTAATTGTTATATTCTATGGGTGTCTTCAATATAAGTGACTTTCTCTTGACAAGTACTTTTGAGTCTATGGATTTCATTTGTAAGTTCTTGAATTTATTTTTCATATAAGGAACATTTATTTTTATAAAATTCAAGTTCCTCTCTAGATGGCTCCATCACTTTAACTATATCTTAAACCTTAATATTATATTAAGATGAAGAAGGTTTCAACTATTGAGTTTCTAATCTAATAGGTGGTTAAGTATTTTATTATTGAATAGTTCTTGTGACATAAACAATATTGGGAGATGTTAATAGATCTCTTGTATTGGATTTAGATCTTTAAGATTTATGAGGATCTTGATTTGGTTCTAGGAATTATTGGGTTTAGAAGTAAGATATCTGTTAATCCATGAATTCGTTAATTATTTATTAATAAAATTATATGTTTATGTTATTACAACATAATTCATATTAATTATTTTTTGTAGGATGCCAATTCTTCTTTATTCTATATAGTAATAATATAATAAGATTACTCCACAAAAATGCATGATCAAATAGAACAATCCTGTGCAGAATAACATAGCACCTATAATGAAACCAATGATATCACTGGCAGCATTGGCTAATTAATACACAGCCAAAGATGCTAAACTTAATAGATAATAAATAAGGCAATTACTAGATATTGAACAGTCCTCTACCTAACAAGGTGCTCAAGAATCTAAAATTTTTATCAACAAATTCTAATTTTTATCCACTTGCAAAAAGTAGTATGCCAAAAAATCTATAAATTTATAAATAATAAACTTACATTAAGAAGAAGGGCAGAAAGAATGACATGAAGAAGGAGAAACTGAAACTTTTGAATAAGATGGATAATGAAATAATTTATGTGACTCCTATCAATATAAGCATGATAGATGATATTAGATTTGACCATTTGATCATTTCAATAGTTGAAGGCATTCTAAAAATAAGATTTAATTATTAAAATCTATATATATATATATATATAATTCATATTTATAATGATAATCATTATTGAGGTTTATTTTCTCCCATGTCTCCTGCACTTCTATTAGCTTTGTTTCTTGATTCGTAATACCCAAATTCGGATGGCAACCTATAACTTCCTGGAGCAGGTGTTCCAGCTGATGCAAACATTCATAATAAGAACAGTACCTTTACCAACAGATCCTGTTCTTCTTGATTCTTTTGGAAAACTTCTAACATTTGAAGAATGAAATTTAGAAATAAAATAATGTCCATCTTTTTGAATTCCTGTTTTATCTACAGGATATGTACCAGGTCCAGGAGCATATAAGTTTGTAGCTATTTTAATAAATTATTGGATGTTTTACAAAAATCTTTAACAAATCTTTTAGAATTTTTTGGATTAAACAAAGTAGCACAAGAATTATTGTATTTTGATATTGGATATTTACCAACTGGATTAACAGCTGGTAATGATTCATAAGTTCCTGGTCCTGGGATTTCTTTTCCAGTTAAAACCATAAAATTAGTTTTAGGTCTTTATCTCATTGTATAACGAATGTCACTTAAAGTTGAACCTAAATCATAAGTTCCAGGAGCTTTAATAATATTGATTATTTTTACCAGGAGTCTTTGAATTCAAATTTCCTAGAATACCAGTGCTTGCCATTTTTTCTCTACTCATACCAAATTTATTTCCTTTTGCTTTCTTTTGATTAATCTCAACATCACTTGTAATATTATATTATTATGGAGATGGAGTTGTAAAAGCAACTTTAGTAAAGTCAGTTCTTATATATATATATTTTAATATCTATACTTAGTTCCTTTTCCAATACCAGCTGATCTTTTTTCAATTTATGTTGGTAAATCATAGAAAGCCTTTCCACAACTAATTTTAAATTCATATTTAATACTTAACAGGATTTGCAAGACTGCCAAATCTATCTGATTTAGAAAATGTCCATAAGTTTTTAGCAGTACTATGATTGAGTGGTGATCCACAAATCTGCTAACAAGTTGAAACAGTTATTGACATGATAAATAAATTAATTATTAAAGAAGAATATATTAATAATATAATTATTATTAATATAATTCTAATTAACTAACTTATATAAATGATCTAATTACTAAAATATTAATATAAATTATATTTGATCATTTTTTTGGTTCTTCAGTTTCAACTTTTAATTATATTTTTTTATGATGATTCAAAGATTCCTTATAAAATACAATAGGATTGTCTATGATTAAAGTATTTGAACTTTCTTTATTCTTTAAATGCCATATTTCAGTGCAAGCCAATTAAAAATGATTTCCCTTTTTTAATTCAATAAGTCTTTTAATATCTGTTTCTTCATAACTTTTTGATTTTAAGTATTTTTCTAAGACATCTGAATTGAAATTCTTAATTGGACATCCATGATATTCATCATTTCCAGGATTTTATTTCTTAATCATAAAAATATAAATTCTACCATATTGTATGTACAACTATAACATTGATAATTCTCTCTCTTTCCTTCTAATCCATAATTATGTCTAATATTGTATGAATACTATTTATCAAATTCCTATTCACTTATTTTCTATTGAAATTGCACTTTAATTATATTATTATAAATACTTACTCTTCATATACTTAACAGTTTCACTAATCTTCATTCCTGCTGATTTGAAGAATAATTGGATCTACTATCTTCCACCATGTCTTAAATGATGATTAGATTCTAATCTATCTATCAAATATTCCATACAAAGTGGAAAATGACTAAAAATATATTTCTTTATTTTACTCCTTAGCTTATTATCTAACTGTCAAAGCATTTAAAGAGTCTTACTCAAAATTCTAATACTTTTAACTTAACATTCCAGAATCTGTTTATTAAATTTTCATAAACATGTCCATTAAATCTTTATCTTTCTTCAATTCCTCATATTAATATTTATTTTAATGAGATTGCATTCTCTTTTTCATTCTACCTAAAAATAAATCTAATAAACAGTTTTTTCTTAGATTAACATATATATAATTACAATTCATCAACATGTATATATGCAAATCCATTCCTTATATATGTATGTAGAGATGAAACTGAATATAAAACATTTTAAAAGGGAGTCTAAATATTAAAGATTATTACTTTAAAGAATTTTTGATATATATTAGCATTGTTGAAGATTCTGAGTTATGATTTACCAGTTCCCAATATTACATGTTTTCCTAAAATATCAACTTAATTGAATAATCTTAATTATTTTGGTACATCTTCTTCCCATTCTTATTTAGATATATTTGATATTTGATCATCTCCTAATAATTATTTATAGATTTTTATTAATCTATCATTTGTTTCATCATTCTTAAGTTATTCCTCACATCTTATTTAAAATAATTGCTTTTAGTATCTAATAAATTCATTAATTCTCTCATCTGAGTCAGAATAAGCCAATTCTAAAAAAAAGTGCGCGGCATTATCTTCAATCCAAAATTTATCATTCCCTTTATAACAACCATATTCAGTATATTATTTGATAGCTTTCGAATATAAATCTATTAATTTTGATTAGTCTTTTAATTAATCAGTCTCCTCAAACTAACTATATAACCTTTAAGATTTATATTAATATTGTACTAATTCACTCTCTAATAAGCCTTAATACGATCAACACACATTTTTAATAAATCTCTCTTATTAATTTCTTCTGTCTATTAATCCAAATATGGTTCAATATATAAGATGGCTTCATATTCTAATATTAACTTTTACATTATAATAATAATAATAATTAAGCCGAAAAACTTTCATTAAATCTTATTTTATGTATAAATATAAATCACAAATTTCAATGATATCCAATAACTTACAAATCCTAACATTAACCAAAATACAAAACATGCCAATATACTTTCTGCAAAATAAAATAAAAATTAAAAAAATCCATGCATATTCATAAAATAATAATAACAAAAGATAAATCCAAATATATATATGATACATTATCCACCATTAAGAAATGATATCCATTACCAATTATAATTTCCCTAATTTAATTATTTGTAAGTTTGAATAATAGATAAACAACCTACTATAATCAACAATTGAATATATGAAAAGATCAATAAAGCATATTACTCAAATGGTTTATCACTCCATGTGCTCTCCATAATTTAATTCAATTCCATTACAATAGATCTTATAATATAAATATTTCAAATTTACATGAATGGTATAATTCCATATAAACATCCCTTTGCAAAATATAAATAATTTGAAATTAATAATTTCTTTTTTAATCTTTTCTCAAATAATTAATCTACTGTTCTCAATCTACCTGATACTCCTCCTATTATTGTTAATGGTAAATAAACAATTATTAAAATGAATCCTACAGAAAACACAGCTGTAAATGAGAAAGTTGATGTTGTTCCAAATAATAAAGATATTATATCAATCATAAAAAGGATTAAAATAGCAGATATTGGAAATAATACAGTGGCTATGATCAAATTTAATACCCAATTCTTTCCTCCAAAAAATTTATAAAACTTCCCTGTTTAATAACCATTAATTGCTAATTAATTATAAAAATTTAATTACATCCACAAAAACTATATATAATTATTCCAGCTGATTTTATAGATCCTTTATGATTTTCAAATAAATCAAATGATCCCAATATTAATAAAATAAAAATTGTTATTAAAAAATGTATACCTGTTCCAAGTAATGCTGAAAATACTATACGATTAGTTGGAGGCATTAATGATTCAGTTTTGATTGACTTCCATCCTTAAGGTTCAATTTCATTTTCTTCATCTGGTATATTACTATAATCAGTTAATATTGATCTCCTCAATACTTAGAAGACATTTAATACTAAAATTAAAATTACTATGCTTTTGAATATTAATAAATCCCATTTTATACTATGATCATGAACATTTATCATCTCATTATATTATTTGATTCTAACAGTAAAATAGAATTTAATCTCTATGTTATCATCTTATGAATTTATTAATTTAAAATCTCCATCATTCATTGTTATATTAGCATACATTAATCGTTAATCATTTGATACATATAAATTAAATGTAATTCTATTCTTTAAATAATATTTCCCATCATTATAATGTCCTACTACATCTTGAATTATAAAATCTGCTAAATAAAATTCAATTATGTATTCTTGATCTATTGCATTAATCCATTTATTTATTTCTGCTTTTGTAAAATTTCTCTAACATAATTATTTATCTTCTATTTTCTCTTTTGAATTGAACTTGTAAATTGAAGTCATCTATTTATCACCAGATAATGATTAACCAAATGTTTCTATTATTTCATCGACATCATTTGGTTTACAATACGGCAACTCATAATATGTATATGTCTCTGAAGGATTATCTTTAGGTCTTATTGTATTAACATATATCTCAATTGAATTACAGAAAGTAATTAGACATAATAAAACAATAATCATTTAACTAATTAATATTTTTTGAGAATTTAGAGTAGTTCAATTTAAAGTATTGGTTTTTTTAGATAATCGCATAACCCAGAATGATCAAATTATATTAAGTTATCTTTTGTATCATAAGCTGAACAAATTACAATTCCTGTCTTCTTGCATCCCATTGAAATTATCTAATATATAATTATATATATAAAATTACTTCTTTCGAAGTTTCAAATCCATTTAATCCAGGTAATTCTATATCCATAAAAATGATATCATAAAATTAGCAATTAGTTTAGAATTTTTCTTTTACTTTTTAAATTGCTTAATAACCATCATAAGCCTAATCACATTAAATTGCAAAATGACTTAAAATAGCCTTAAGAGCAATTTAATTAAATATTTAATCATCAACTATTAATATCTTTTTACAATTAGTATTACATTCATGTAATTATAAAGTTGATATTTTAAACGAGAATGTTTTATTAATTATTAATTATCCTGGACTTTCTATAGATCTAAATTAAAAATAATTTGATTAAGGTATAATTATACGTTCACTGAATTCCTCAACAATATTTGGGCTTTCGAATGATTTGACACCATCTGATTTTTATAAAATTTTTTCTGAATTCTCACAATGATCAGTATTATCTTAATAACAATATTTCTTTATAATAAAGTTATCCTCTTATTACCAAGATTAAGATTTATTTAGATTCATAAAACCACCTGTATTTGATTAATTTCTATTTTAATCTTATTCCTTTTATAATATTTAATCCTAATCTTTTTATTATATTTAATCTTAAATTAAAAAGCTTATACTACTACTATCAGCAGAATTTGATAATATTTCTATATTTTTATTATTATCTTCAATAAAACCTGAAGCTAATTTGGCTGCTAAATTTAATCCAAAACCTAATTCTGGATGTGTCATAATATCATTACAACTATCACTGTCTTAATTTTTCATCATCATAATTTAATTAAATGAGAATTGTTTCTTTCTACTCATTTGTGTTGAATTGTTTTCTACAGCCACTTATACTGTAAATTCATCTTTAGCAATAAATATTAGAGTTATTTCTCCACCCTATATAATATTATTAAATTAATGATTTAAAATATTTAATAAAACTTAAATAATTCTTAATTTATCTGAATTCAAATACTTTTCAGATAAACTAGATTAAATTCTTATTTAAAATTAAATTTTCTTCTAAAATATATATGGAATAAACATTTATTCTATTTCATTTATTAGTTCATTAATTTAAAATCTACAGAAAAAATAAGCAAATTCATTTAACTGATAAGATATAAAATCTAAAATATTATTCATTTAATATTATAAAAAAGAAGTTGAACATTAAAGTAATTCTATTTTTTCTGTTAATTCTTATTCTTCTTTTGTTATATCACTAAAGATTCTTAAATATTATTAATTTAAATTAAGAGGTGTTCTTAATTAGAATAATTATTTTTTTAATAAATGATAAAATTATTAATTTTTAAGTTCAACCTTTTAGAATTTCTATTTATAAGTGACATCTCTTAAAATTAATACTAATACAGGTTAATATAATTAATCTCCAAACATCTAAATATCATTTTAAATAAAAGAATCTAATTATTAGGTTGTCATTTAGGTTTAAATTATTGTAAGTTTTAAAGATTTATTTGATTCTAAAGAAAGATTAAAACGAAATTAATTTTAATTATTTATTGAGACTGGAGATTCATCTATGCTACTTTTTTCTCCATCAAAAATACCATAATGAAGAAATTATTATGTCAAATATTTATTTTAATTTAGTAGAACATCAAAAATGTCTAATTAAACTTTATTTTATTATGCTTTTTTTATTATTTCTTCTAAAGTTTGTTAATTCATTTCAATTTTTCTATTATTTTAAGGTTACTAGAATTATTAACAATCATCCAGATTAATAATATGATTTCTTATACAATCTTTTAGTTTTGACAGTATTAATTCTTCATTCTTACACTACATCAATTTTAAGCATTTTTTATTCATAAATTAAAGTTTTTAAAATTTATTAAGAATGATTAATCCATCTGGAAGTAATTGTAAAATTTTTGTTATAGAATTACTAAATTATTATTCACATTTTTCAGCATCAATAGACTCTTTTTTTCTAACAATTGATAGTAAATCATTATATGATTGAGGTTTATTAGAATAGTTGCTAGGACTTCTATTTTTTTCTTTGTCTTTAGATTAATCATTAAAAAATATATGACTAGATTCATGTTATTTTATAATTTTTCTTTTTGATAATCTTAATGAATGCATATATCGATCAGTCTATTCCTCATCATTTAATTGTAAAGACAAACGAATTTTTGCTGATATTATAGATTTATCATCACCTAAAATAGCAAATACAAAGACTAAAATAATAATGATGCTTTCTAAAATTGTATAATCAAATTTAATAAAAATAATTGAGAATAATCTCAATATTATATAACAAGGGTAACAAAACCTTATTATTTTTAATGAAATTTGTTTAGTCACTATTTCTTTAATAATATATTAATTAGTTACTATGAATAGAGTATTTGTATGATTTGAAAAAGGATTAAAAAGTTAATAGAGGAGTAAATTTATTTCTGTATAGGTGATAGTATCAGCAAGAATTAATAATAATAGCAATAAATATTAACCTTTATTGTTAATTTTTCTAAATTATATAAGCAATCCTAGTTTCATAACTAATGATGTTGATGCCAAAGTAATGATCGCAATTTAATGATTCCATTTGAATATAATGGATAATATAATCCACCATACACATTGAAGTCCTTCTAAAATTAAAATTATGTTTGTATTCATTATTAATATTAAATTTTTCGAGCAACAGATTTTATGAATTATCTTTAAGTTTAAAATTACTGAACCTACGAATTAAGGATTCTTAGAAATTGAAAGTATTTTATAATAATAATAAAAAGATCAATTAAAATGCTTTTGAAATACTTTCCTTAACACTTCTTCTAATTCATCCTATTTTACAGGTTTTGGAAGAAATGTGCAGATTCCAACTTTTTGTCCTTCAATTAAATTTTCTTATGTATCATACGCTGAACAAATAACTATAATTGATTATTTTTATGTCAATTCATTAATCTAAAAAATATAACAAAAATTTACTTAATAACTTGTTTAAAATCCATTAATTCCAGGCATTTCGATATCCATAAATATTAATTTATAACTAGAACAATGTTATTCTAATTTTATCTTAACTTTTTCAATAGCTTAAAATCCATCAAATGCTTAATCTGCTTCTATTTAGTAATGTTTTAGCATCAATTTAAGTGCTATTTAATTAAATGGAATATCATCAACAATTAAAACATGAACACATTTATCACATAAGGAGATGCTTTTATGAATATTTTCTAAAGGTAATATATTTTGGCATGAAGGAACGAATTTATGTGAGAAATATTCAGGACTGATTGGTAAACAAATTTATGGTTATTTCATATTATCATTAAGTTTTGGTGTATTCATAGAAGATTCTGATTCATAAACAAAATTATCCTAAAGTTAATAATCATAATCTAATTTTGAATTGATTGATCTAATTAACATTCTATCATCAAATTTTCTCTCACTTAGTGTATTTTAAATACCTGATTAATTGAATCTTCCAGTTATTTATGATATTAAATTAGATTAATATTAATCATTTATGCTATTAAAGAAATTCTAAATTTAAAATTATACTTTAGTTCCTTAATTTTTAATTGAACTAATTAATAATTAATTATTATTAGATTCAGCTAAACCTTCTACTAATCTAGCTGCAATATTTAAACCTAGACCTGCCTTTTAAGAAACTTTTTAAGTTTTCAATCTTGCACCATACTCTAAATTTCCATTCAAACTATTTTAAATTAGTGTTAATTTATCATCTTCTATTCCAATTCCATTATCCTTAACTTATACTTTTAGATGAAATAGACTCATTTATTTAATACTAATTTTAACTTTACCTCCTTCTTTGGTATATTTAGCTGCATTATTTAATAAATTAACTAAAATTTAAAGTATTCTTTGTTTATCATTACAAATAATTGAATCTTTTAATGTTTACTATACTTTAATTTCAAATTTAATTTTCTTCTATCTCATTTATATATTATAGAGATTCTCAATTTCTTAAATGATCTAATTAATAGTAAATCTTGTTAGATGATAAGAAAAAGAGAAAGATTAAATGGCAGCATAATCAAGTATATCATTAATTTAATGAATTAATAGTGTTATGGAACACATAGCTATATCAACATATTCTTGTACATGTTTATCTATAAGCTTATTTTTGATTAAATTTAACATATGTTAACATGAATTTAATGGAGTTCTTAATTCATGAGAGAATGATTTAATTAGACTATGGTGAATAATTTATTCATCTTTCATTTATTAATATCTAAGTTTACTAGTGACATTCTTAATCATGATAAGTAGAACAGGCATTTCTGTATCATTATTAACTTATATATTAAGTTTGCTTGAAAATTTATTTTATGAAGGTAGAGAAATGTATTCTTATTATTAACCAGTCATTGAAGTTGGGATGATAATTAATTTAAGTTTCTTTTAATGAATTTTATTCTTCAATTCAGATTCCAATAACCATTCATATATAAATACCTATTATTATAATGTCAATTGATCTGTTTTAGAATCATCTTAACTACATGCATCTCCTTTCTAATCTAATATTCCATAATATTTTTAAGGATAAAGCATAATATCAAAAATATCTGCTTTTCTATTATCCTTTTCTAATTTTCTAACTATCCTTTAAAGAGTGTATTAGTTTATTTATCTATTTAATTTTGTTGTTTATAAAATATTGGATATTTCATTTTCATTATCTGACATTTTGGCATTATTAACACAATACTTAATCTTTTCTAAAACCTATTCACCTCCTTAACATTCTAATAACTTTTCACATTTATTATTCATATAACTAACTTATTAGAATTGATTTAAAATTAAAATGCCTTATGGAAATATATTTATAAGATTTTAGTAAAACATATGTAATTGTAAATCTGATTTTTCAGAAATCTTATTATACTTTTAAGATTTTGACAAATTAGTTAAATTAGAAAATTATCCTATTTTCAAATCACTTTATTGATCTTTCATTAAAACGCTTTAGCTTTTTAAAGGTGTTTAAATAAGAGAGACTCTGCTAAATGATTTTAATAATGATTATTATTGATGATTTGGTGATTCTTTATCAACTACTCTTTTTAATTATAATTCTGGTATTTTAGTTTTGACTTTATTAGTATTATTAATAACATTAATCGTTTCAACGTGTTATTCATTAGTTAACAAATACTTAATTAAAACTATAATGATTATTAATAGGCTTTCTATTGAATAATAATTAAATGATATAAATGTAATGGATAGGAGCCTTAAAATAATATAGAAAGGAAGTCCTAACTTACATATTAAACTCCATTTTTAAATTGCAAAATTCAAATAAGAATTGTATGTAACTATTATTAATAAACTACTTGAGAAGATGCTCAATGGGTTATTGTAATTAAAGAGTAATAAAGATTCAATATAAGTCACATAATAAATAAGAGATACTATATGCACAAATATAAACAATCCATACTTTCTAATTATCAAAATTTATTATATAATCCTCATTGTGACACACCCTATTTGTAAATAAAATGCAATATAGTTTATTGGTTAGATAAAGTATAAGGCCAATAACATCCACCATAAATTTTAGAGAATATTGGTTATCAATATAATGTTCATAGCAAATAATTTGAATAATTGTTTCATGCAGTAATGAAAATCTCTTTATTTAATTAAATTACAACATATTTGTTGATCGTAAACATTTATTAGACAAAATATTTAATTGAAGATTTAAAATGATTAAAAAATAATGTAAGATTGATAATTAAATAGTAAAAATAAACAAATTAAATACTTTGTTCATATTTTGAATAAATACTTTTTTAAGATTTTATCTAACTCTTTTTTATTTACAGGTTTTGATAAGAATTCAGTTATACCTACTTATTAGGCAAAATTATAATTTTCAAGAGTATCATATGCAGAACACATAACGATTATAGATTAGACACCTGGAATTTATGAGATCTATTTATAAACGTAGTTTTACAATTTAGGTTGTTTTGAAACCATTTAAACCAGGCATTTCAATATCCATAAATATTAATCTAAAAAATTTACAATGACTTATTAATTTCTATTTTACCATCTCAACTGCTTAGTATCCATCAAAAGCAGATTCAGCCTTTATTTTGAAATGATTTAGCATTTGAATGAAAGCAATTTAATTAAATGGAATATCATCTACTATTAAGATTTATGAACAATTTTCACATTTATTTGTATTAATTTAAAATGATAAAAGTGAACCTTATTTTTTTGATTATTGAATCAAATATTTTTTGAATCTATAAGTACTAGTTGGAATAACAACTGAGTTGGATAAATCTTCATTTATTTTGGGACTATCTATATGCTCTTTTAGTATGGTTGATTCATTTAATGGCATATCAAATTTTTATTAGAGTCCTTTCATTAAAGTTTATGATAATTCTGATTTTTGAATAATATGAGACGAAGCTGGAGATTAAACTTCAAATCTTCCAGTTATGTTACTTTATTATGGAGATATCAAGAAATCTTAATTTATAAATTCTTAGTTTTAAAATAGAAAAATAACTTGGGTTCCATTATTAAGACTAGAATTGATATCTAAATATGTTTTATTTTAGTTTAATCTTTTGACTATTTTACCAGATATTTTTAGACCAAATCCAAGACCAGCATCATAAGATATTTTACATGAAGGTTTACAAAAGGATTTTCTAATTTATTCAAGTTTATTTGATTAAATTCCAATTCCATCATCTCTAACAATAACTTATATCAAATTGCATTTCATTTGTTTAAATGATATATTAATTTCTCCAGCAGGCTTAGTAAATTTACATGAATTATTTAATAGATTAACTAAAACTTACATAATTCTTTATTTATCATTGATAAATATTTAATTTTATAAAGATTAATCATATTAGATATCTAGTTCGATATTTTTATAATTTACTTATTAATCATACAATTCATGAATCTCTTAAATGAGATCTGTTATACAAAATGAAGTTATATGTTAAGAGAAAGTTTTTGATTATATGGCAGCAAAATCTAAAATATCATTAATTTAATAATTTAATAATTTAATTGAGCTTTATGCAGTGTTTAAATATTGATGTGTAATTTCATCTTTTGTAATTTCTTTAATTATATTAAGCATATGTTAACAACTATTTAAAGGAGTTCTTAATTCATGTGAAAATGATTTTAGAAGTGAATTATTAATAAGTCTTTCTTTTTTTAATTATTTGACTCTATTTTTATGAGTTGTATTTTTAATTAAAATAAGAAGTATTGGTTAAGGAAAATCATTAGAATTTTATTTTTTTGAATTACTCAATCCATTTTATGAGATTGCTTCTTATTAACTTAATGTCATTTATGTTTACACTAAAATAAATTTGAGTTTTTTGGAATCTTCACATCTTTCTTTATTAATTGAACCTTCAAAGAAATAAGTATGTTCTTATAATGTAGAAGGATCAGAATAATAAATAGACCCAGAACTACTTCTATCTTGTTCAAATGATCCATTTTATCCTGAAAATAATGCTTTTATATATTTATTGGGATTTAATAAAACATCAAAAATGTCTAATTCTTGATAACTTTATTTGTAAATTCTGATAATTTCTTCTAAAACTTTTTAAGTCAATTTATTTTTATTTCTAGTTATAGATTAAACTTCATCAGGTAAATCACAATTAGACAAACATTTTTTGATATATTCGACCACTCTATCTTTTCCTTCACATTCTAAAAGTTTTTCACATTTTGAACTAATGAATTAAACTTACTAGTATTTATTTAACATCAAAACTCCTTCTGGTAAAACATTAACAAGATTTTAATAGAAATTTTATAATTAAAAGTCATTCCTATCTACTATTAAATGAGAATATTAGCTTTTATATCCTGGTTTAAGTTTAGAATGAAAAGTAGGTATTGGAGCACTTTCTTCTCTGTAAGAATCTTTTATGTTTATTTAAACACTATGTCTAGGATAAGAATTTTTATCTGGATTAAGAATAAGTTTATTCGAATTTATACTGAGATTCTTTTCTTATTTAAATTAAGATTATTATAAGGAACTAGAACAATTTTATAAGGATTGATCCATTTTTGGATTAGATTGAGTTGAGCTTCCTGAAACATTCTAATTAGAAAAATAAACTAATAAAATTAAAACCATTAAAGAGGATGCCTCACATCGTTAAATATCAAATTCTATGAATATAAGTGAGATCAATCTCATTAAGATATAGGTTGGAAATGCAAATTTTGATAGTATATCTAAAGATTAATTTTTTATTAGTATTTATGCTTCCATATAATTTAAAAGGATTATTAAAGCATTGATATGATTTAAATATAATATTTTACTTGCAAAGTTAATATTGACCTCAGTATAGCATATATTATTAGCCAATGTAGCTATGAGAGTAAATCTATCATGTTACCAATTCTTTTTTAGATATATAATAGATGCAAATAGTCTTGTTGTTATGCATAACGAACACAACAAATAATATGTATAATTTGTCTACTTTTATATCAATACCATTTCAATTATCCACCAGATTTGTTAAATAATTTGAATAAGGAAAATGTATCTATGATTCATAATCTAGACTTATCCTATATTGAATTAATTTATTAAAATATGTGTTAATTCTTTACAAAATATATTATGAAATTCATTATTTAATTAACTAATATATACCTAATTAAATTAGATAAATTTTTATTTAGATCGATTAATTTCTACTTTTTATATTACTCATTCTCTTGGTTCCTTAATAATTAATCAAAATTATGCAAAAAAAAAATTAAAAATACTTCAAATCAAATTAGATTATTTAATAATTCTTATGTACATATTTAATTTTGGCAATAACTTGACAAAAATAAACTATTATTAATAAATAATTCATTTTATCTACATATATCTGAATCAGAATAAAATTAATTCTCATATTATCAATTCCATTATTGTTTAGAATCCATTAATACCTTACATCCTAATATCTGTGAAATATTAAATATAAATTCTATATAATAAGTAAAATTATCACCCTTTTTAAATGAATTATCACTCTAACTATTTTCTGTATTCCTTAGAGAATCATTGTTTTTTTAATTCTTTTTGATTGTATCTCAATCAACTTTAATTTTATTCTAACTGACTGTAGAAATTATCTAAGATCATCTATTTATATACACATATATATAAGCATGTTATGAGATTATTGGTTTTCTTAATATCTGGAATCAAATTTGAATATTAAAAAATAAAAAATTAAATATAGTTAATTCCTTATTTTCGAAATTCAGAATGGATTTCCAAAATACCATCATACTCTACTTAATATATTTGTTATATCGAATTTCTTATGAGTAATTACAATTATCATCTAAATTAGCAAAGAATTATTATTACAATATTTTGTAATAAGAAGGTATCGAAAATATTTTATCTTTATTGATATTTTGTAAATTATTTAAATATCACATTAATTTGTATTATTCATTTATGCCTAAGATAATTAAATTAAAAAATTTAAGTTATTACTATTGTCTTTAAAATTCTTTTCAATTTTATAAGAGATAGAAATTTTAATGGTTTATTTGATTATTAAAAACTATAAGAAAATTTATGGAAAATAATATAATTTATTGTTAATTCTAAATTAAAATCTTGTAAAAAATAATATATATTAAATTATTCACTTTTTGAACAAATTCTCATATGAATATATAAATTATTTATATCTCTAAATCTTTATAATTATTCAAAATATTTTAGTTGTCTAATTTAAATTAAAAAAACATTTAGAATAGTTGTTATAATTTAAATAGACATATCAATTTGATATCATAAAATTATATATTATTCTGATAACTTTAAATTTAATGAAGAGAACATAATTTATTACTGATTTAGATAAACATGAACATTACCCATCGTTATAATTAGATTTGATTTTGTGATTTATTTGAATATTTATAAATTTGTTAAAGTAAAGATTTTACCATCAGCTTTTTATGTTTATTATTTATGAAATAATAAATAATGGAGTATTTCTTATGAATTCAATTAATAAACGAGAACAAATTTAAATAGTTAAGACAATAATAATAAATTTATACATTCAAGTATAAAATAGAATGTTTTATATATTAATATTAATATATGAAAATGTGAATGTTCTGAAATGCAATAAAATGATTAATAGCATATTAATAAATTAAAATATTATGATAAATTAGTAGAATGTGAATCTATAAAACAATGTTAAGGTTCAATCCATATTAGGTTTCATACCAGCCTTAGTGTTTTAACACATTCTTGAAAATCAAATAAAGGGGATAAAAACCTAAGTTCCAGAGATTCAGTCATTTAAGAGTGTAATAATGTTTGCTGATATTTGTGGATTTACAAATTTAACTGAATAACTTTCTAAAATAGGACCAGAAGGATCGGAAGTGATAGCATTTGCAATTAATAGATATATGGAATTGTTAATTAAATCAATATCAAAGAGTGGAGGAGATATATTCAAATTTGCAGGAGATGCAATTATAGTTGTATGGCCACCTCCTACAAGTTATAATGATAAAGATGAATAACTCAAAACCTTACTACGTTAAGGAATATAAAGTGCATTAGATATTTAAGCTAAATTGAATGATACTTTCATTTTAGAGAATATCAAACTATCTGTTAAAATAGGATTTGGAGTAGGAGATATAAACATTTTATATGTAGGAGGAGTGTTCAATAGAAATGAATTTCTAGCTACAGGTTAAGCTTTGATATAGGCTTTCGAGAGTGAGCATTGTGCAACAAAAGGAGGCTAAGTAATAATATCTAAGGATGTATATGAAATGGTGGGATAGTATTATAATTGTTTAAAAGTTGATGATCGTCAATCTTATTTTGTAAACTCCAATAAAGGAGCAAAAGTATAGAACATTTCAAATGCTCTATTAATAAAGAGTAATATAAGTGCTTAATCTTTTGAATCAATAAAAAGTTAATTAATAAGATATATTCCTGCTGCCTTATAATAATATATCTATGTAAGTATTCGTATAAATTTAGGTAGATTAAGAAAAATGGAGTTCTGAATTAAGAATATTAACAATAATGTTTATTAATTTGAGTATTGATTTATCAGCAGCTCTTACTTCTAATGGGCTAAGTCATATTTAATAAGTTATAGAAACTGTATAAAAATCAATATATGCATTCTAAGGATCTCTTAACAAAATCTTAATGGATGATAAGGGATCAACATTAATTGTAGTATTTGGTCTACCTCCTATGGCTAAATAAGATGATCCTGCTAGAGCAGTGATGACTGCTATCACAATGAAATCAGAATTAAATGCCATTAATTGTGGATGTAAAATTGGAATTTCAACAGGATGTACCTTTGCTGGTGTAGTTGGAACTAGTGGTTCTAGAAGAGAGTATTAAAAATATCAATAATAAATCTAGATATTCTGTTATTGGAGATGCTGTTAATTTGGCAGCTAGACTCATGTAAATAGCATGTAAAGATGATGAACATTCAATTTTACTTGATGTAGAAACATCAAAGGAAGCTTCATATAAAATGAATATATCATATTATAAATCTGTTATGGTAAAAGGAAAAGCAGATAAGGTTAACATATATTACCCAGAAAAAAATTTGGAATTAAATAAAATTAGAATTCATAATCCTTTCTTTCCAAAACTTCTCGATAACTATTTATTCGATATTAGCAATCTAAGATTAATCTAAAGTAGAATTCAATTATTTTAATTCTAAAATGAATCTAATGTATTATTGAAAATCTCTGGGAATTAAGGATCAGGGAAATCATATTCAGTTAAGTAATGCTTAGATTTCTTTTAAGAAAGTTTTAATTTTTTATAAATTAGACTATGTTCCTTTTTATAGAAAGAACAATAATATTTATATGCTATTAAAATTATATTCTAATATTTACTAAAGAAGATAAGTATCTCATTAAATAAAGAATATGATATATAATTATTTAAGTAAATATTTGATGAATAGGATCAACTATTACAACTCTTTGATTTTGAACCTGTTAGTTAAATTTAATTATTTGATAAGGAATTAAGAAATAAGAATGATTCTTTAGAAGCATTAGATATTTAAATGATCAAAGAAAATATAGACTTATTATTCAAGAAATTTCAATCAATAACTAATTAACATAAGTTAATCTTTATTTTAGATGATGGTCATAATATAGATGAAGATTCTCTTAAAATAATTAGACATCTAATTAAACATAATTAATTCATTTTGCTCATTTTTATATTTAGACATGATTATTTTGAATAATTCTAATTTCATGAATAACATTAAAATCAAATTCAAATGATTGAAGATGGATTAGAATCAATAACATCTAAATTAAAAGACATCAATAATTTTGAACATATTAGTTTTAAAAATATATCATTAAATGATTATTAGGTGTTGTTATCTGATTTATTTCATATCAATAAAATTAGATGTTCAAAGAATTAAGAACCATCTAATACACAAGATAAGAATATTTTGCATTATGAATATATTAAATCCTAATTGATGTAATCAAATACTTAAGAATTTTTTTTATAAACCATCTATAGAAAAACCTAAGGAAATCCTCTTACATTCATTACATTAGTATTAATTTAATTATATTATTATTAGATTGAAAAATTATTGAAGTGTAATTATATGATTGTAGATAATTAGTAATAAGATGCTGTTATAGTTAATGATTCATTTTTAAATATATTAAATTTAGATGAATTCATTATTTTAGAAGCTCCATTAAATAAATTTAGACTTAATTCACCCTATTTAGATAAGGTAGGATGTTTAGAATTATTGATACTCAAAGTTGCATCTATTATAGGAGATATATTTGATGTACAAACACTTAATAAAATACAACCATTTAAAGAAGTCATTTAAAAAGAAAATTTGATTAAGATATTAAATAGTTTAGAAGAATTAGAAATTATAGAAACAATGGAACTTAATGATTTAAATAAGTATTACAGATTTGCTAAACCATTTCTTAGAGAAATAATCTATTAAAGATTATTATTCTCTTAAAGAAGAGAATTACATAAATATTATGCTTAAGCATTATAAGAAATTCCATCATAATTTGAAATTGATGAAAAATTGGAAGCTCAAAGATTGGAACATAATTGGATTCTAGCTGAATAAAAGTGGAATAGTTAATCAAATATTAAACCAAGAGGATTAGAATTATCCCATAAAGCAAAAAGATCTATAATAATTAAATCCATACAAACTAAATTAATAGCTAAAACTAATAATATTAAACTTGGTTTATTAAAAAAGAAATCAGATAAGAATGTTACTTGGGCTGAAAGATATTGTTTGATGACATAAAAAGAATTAAAGTATTATTATAATGAATAAGACTATCAACGATAACCTTAGAATGCTTTAGCAACAATAATTCTTAGTAGTATATATTAGATTGTTCCACTAAATGATAAAGAAAAAGTTAATTAAAAGTATGCTTTTGAAATTAGAACAGGTAATTGGTTTAAAAGATAAAAATTAATGCCAAGAAGAGACTTCTATTTCTCAGCAACTAGTGAAGAATTAATGGAAGAATGGACCATTTATATTGAATTTATGAGAGTTAAAGCAACTTATGATGAATTTGTTAATAATTTTGGAAAAATCTAATTTCCAATTGCAAATTTTAAAGAATTCTATGATATGAGTTTAGGAACAGAAATGAATAATTATCAATAGAAATAAACATAAAAGAAGAATAATAAATCTAGTATGATTTAAACCTAAAAAAGAAATACTGTTCTATCTATTAATAGTTTTTTTAGATAATCTATTGTTGAAAAGAAATAGAAATAAAATAAAGAAGAACTTAAAATATTAATTTCTAAATTTTTAAATAAAAGTTAATTATTACTATTTACTCATATATTCCAGAATTCAATTTCAACTAAAAATCCAATTATAATTGGTTAAAATACAAAAGCTATGTTTAATTTTGGATAATTCTTTATTAAAACTCCATCAGAATATTCATAATTATAATAATAAGAAAATGAAACTATTTAAACAGAAGAATCCCCATAAACTAGACCTAGAGCGAGTTTGAACATTTCAGAATAAATAATATTAGAAAGAAAAACTGAATCTATATAAGCAACCCTTAGAAATACAAAAAGAAAATAACCTACTGAATAGTTTTATAATAAGAGATCAAAAAGTTCTGAATTTCTTGTTTAGTTTAATGAAAATTCCAATTTGGAATAATAATAACAAAGTTGAGTATATAATAATTAATATTTAAAAAAAGATAATCAGTAATTAAATTTAGTTATTGTTACTACTTTCATAAGATCATCATTGAAACTTAATATTTCATAAATGAAAAGTATTTATTGTCTACATAAAAAACATTCTTTGCTTTTTTAAGCCATTTCTAATCCACATTTATAACAAATTCCACCATGACCACAAATCATTAAAACAGCATTGGGTGGATTATCACAGCATATTATACATTTCTAATTAGATTCATTTATTTTATTTTTATTTTCTTATAATTATTTTGATTCTATTTCAACTGTTTATAGTATTTTTTTGGTTTAACCTCTTTCAGTCATCAATTCTGTCATTTTTTATGATTATTAAATTAAATCTGATTTAGTTGTTTATCTAAAAAATGCTGATGATAGCTTTTTTAAAAATATCTATTGTATAGTCTTCTTTCTTTCATATTATTTCTATTAACTTATTTAACAAGTAGGTAATTCCCTTTATGATTCAATTTCAGTTTGTTATGATTGTAATAAATAAACACAAAAATCAATGATAGAATCCCATAATAATTTAGTAATGGCACCAAAAATAATAAAATTAAAAGAAATAGTTGAATAAAATAGAACTTCACCAATCTTTATTGGTAAATCAAGGCCTAATTTATTGAAAGTGTTAATAATCCACATTACTGATAACATGCTGCTGATAATTGAAATATATAAAGCCCAAAGGAGAGATTTATCTAAAATTAAACAGATTTTACATTCTTGAGGAACTGTCTGATATTGCTTGAAGATTTCATTAATAATTTTTGATATAAGTACAATTATTAAAGTAAAACAAGTACCTACTAGAGCACTCAGAAACATCCAGTACCACCAAAAGGCTTAAGGCCAGGTCCATTCAACATATTTGCTAAGTTTTAAGGAAATGCAAACACTGGCCACCAGTGATGAAAATCTATAAAAGGTTTTTAACTATATTGATAATAAATTGTTTGTTACAAATCTAATAATGGAAGAATATTCATGTGTTATTTAATTTCTACAGCTTTCTTTAGTTCTAATAACAAATGATAGAAGTAAGAACATATTTCCGAATATATAATATTGAAGGTCGGTGTAATATAGGATTATAACAAAATTCTTGGGTGATATATATCGAAATTACATATGCCATAATATGGAGTACATGATCAACCATTTTGATGATTTCTTTGTTAGAATAACAGTAGCATATGAAGATTTCTAAGACAATACTCAATCCTAAAGGTATTGCAAAAGGTATTCTATTATATTGAAATAGAGCAAATAACAATGCAAATAAATTGTAATAAATGTAATGGATGCAGAAATAAGATATAATTTTCTTTATTTTGGTTCTAAAATATCATTAATATTACTTTTAGATTAACATTTGTTTTGAAAATAAATAAATAATTTATTGAATCGAAAATAATATTTCTATGTTATAAATTTATGTATATCAATATCATTGCATTCTTTAAGCACTCATTCTACCCTAGCTGCCTTGCTAGTCAATACTCCTTTTTGAATTACCCAATCTGTTAGTTGATTTCCTTCTAAGAACACTTGTCAAGGAGGTATCCATATCTCCTGATTATAATTCTGATTCTCTAAACAACTCAACAAATTAACACCAACGTTCAGGGACAGCAATCTTTACAAGAATTGAGAATATGATGCTGCCAACACCGAATCCAAGACATAAGAGGTGTTATTGTAAAGTTAAATGAGAAACCTTAACAAATTTACCTCCATATTAGATGAGCACGCATTAAATAATCAACGTAAAAGTTTAGACACCCCAAAACAAAGGGTTATTACAAGCATTTGCAAATGGATTTATAGTCTTGTAATCCAGTTGTCTGCAAGAAATAGAGTTAAAGACTTGCATAACAACAAAAGTTTAAAAAAAAATACTCATTTAGACTACATTTTTATGGAACTAAATAAATTAATAAGTAGATTACTTTTTATCCAATTAATTCTGCAGGCATAGATAAATCCATATATTAAGGAAGCAAAAATAATATGCCACATAGTACACAAATTTAATAAATTGATCCACCTACTATTGTTCTATTCATAGTTGGTGACACAATTTTATCATCTCTTTTGTATGGTTATCTTTCAAGTACAGTAATGCTTGGAGGTTCAGTTGCTAAGGCTAAAGAAGCAAAAGTATCCATAATAAGATTAACCCATAACATTTCAATAGTATTCAATGGAGATTCCTTGAGAACCACAGCTCCTAAAAATGACATGAACAAAGCTACTAAATTGACAGTCAATTAAAATTAGATGAATTTTCTAATGCAATCATATATGTTTCTACCCCATTTCATAGCTAAATTAGTAAATTATAATACCTGTAATAATGGAACTAAAATTATCATCTAATAAAATGATATCTGCAGCATCTTTGGCAACATCAGATCCTGTAATACCCATAGCAAATCCAACATCTGCTTTCTTTAAAGCTGGAGCATCATTTGTACCATCTCCTGTGACAGCAATAACATTTCCTTCAGCAATCAAACCTGTAACCAAAATATATTTATCTTCTGGAGATGCTCTAGCCATGACTTTCATATCCCTACTAACTCTGGCAAAATTTTCCTTATTACCTACAACTTTCACTGTTTTTCCATCAACAATTTCATCCTTTAATCCTCCAACAAATTCTCTAAACTTTTTACCTTCTACTACTTCCCATTCACTTATTTCTCTATTTGTTGGTAGTATTCCACATTCTTTAGCAATAGCAGTTGCAGTAAGAATGTTATCTCCTGTAACCATTCTCACTTTTACACCAGAGGCATGGCATTATTTAATTGAATTAGGTACATCAGGTCTAATTGGATCTTTTATGCCTGCAATAGCTATCAACACTAAATCTTTATCTAAATCATCTTCAGGAATATTTTATGCTATTTTAGTCAATTATGAAATCTATCCTCTAACATTTGATCCATGTGATTAAGGATCAAGATCTCGATAAGCAATGGCTATTGTTCTTAAAGAATCTGAGGCAAATTTTTGGATAATATTATCATAAATATTCTTTTTCAATTATGGTTCCAACAACTATTCAATACCATTTTTTCCGATGTATTTGCTACATTATGACAATACTATTTCTGAGGCACCTTTAGTATAGACTCTAATATATTATGATTTCTAATTGTAAATTACTGTACTCATCTTCTTTCTTTTACTGTTGAATGGAATCTACCTTAATACCTTATCACTTGGTCTGAATTGATTAAAATTATATCCAAAATTATCTGAACATTCTAATAAAGCACATTCTGTCTTATTTCCTATTTGGATCCATTTATTTGTTTATGGATCCTTCTCTGGAAATGCATTTGAATTATAACATATACTTTCACACATGAATTCAATTGTTTCCTTCTTGATTTTATTTTTATTAGTATGAACTTAATCTTTAAATATTTCTTATTCAGTCCATAATGCTACAACTTACATTATATTTTATGTTAAAGTTCCTGTTTTGTCGCTACAAATATTATTTGCTCCACCCATTATTTCACATGATGATAAATTCTTAACCAAATTCTATTCATCTTTCATTTTACCAACTGAATATGCTAATGCAATCGTTACAGCTAATGGTAATCCTTCAGGTACTGCCACAACAATGATTGTAACGGATATCATGAAAGATTCCACTAAGATTTGTAATGTCTTAATACTCAGAAATGGAAACTTACCTAAATAACAATCATAACCTAAATGTCCCATCAAAGCAATAAATGTTAAAATGGACACAACTACTCCCAATTTACCTATATCTGAAGCAACCCCTTCTAATTTTTGTTATAATGGAGTTGGAGGATTCTCTTGTATTAACAGTTGTTTTAACTTTCCAGAAACTGTATTCTAACCAACTTTTTATATTTATATATTTTCTTTACCTGCTAATACAATCATTTGTCCTGTTCCATCAAGACATTTCGTTCCTGATATTAAAAACGGACTTACATGTCCTCTAGCTGCTTCTTGATTTACATTTAATTAATTGTGTTATTATTATGCCATCTCATTATATGGTAACTTCTTTATCTCATCACTCTCACCTGTCATAGGTGATTCATCAATTTTCACTGCACTTCCTTAAACCATCATGCCTATTTAATTTGATACACTCTATTACCATCTACAACAAACAAATCACCTAAATTGAAAATTAACAAATCTCCAACGACTATATCCTTTGTTTGTATTTCTGTTACTTTACCTTCTCTAATTACTTAACATTTTCCATCATCTAATTTTCTACGTAATTATCTAAACTGTCTCTCCTTAAGATAATTATTTCCTGCTGTTATTGAAATGATCAAGAATATTGCAAAAAATATCGTTGCACTAATATATATTATACAATCTATTACCCTTCAGTCCATCCTGTTTTTACTCCTTCATTGATCATACCAATCACAGTTGAAACCAGAGCAGCTATTAATAAAATCTGTAGCATAGTATCTCCCAAACATTCCATAATCAATTCACATAATGTTGTTGGCTCTTTTTCAACTGGTGTATTGTCTCCATACACTTGTTTTGACTTCTCTATTGCACCCTTATCTGAAAATCCTTTCTTATCATATACTAATTATGATTACTTTTAAATCTGTATTTAATTTCCTTGCAATACCAACATCATCTCCATATTATTTTACCTTTTACATGCTTATACCCTCATTGATTGAGTTCAGCTTGAATAAATCGGTCAAGTCATCTATAGTTAATTAAGATTGAAATTGTGCTTCCACATCTTTTTATTATTTGTAGCTCATTAAATTCAATGAACTAAATTTAATAATACATGATTAAACATTTCTTATTGCTATTTATTGTTCAAAAATATTAATTTAATTCTTTTAAAGCCAATCAAGATGAGTTTTGTCAGAATTTACAGAAATAAATTTAAAGAAGCATATTTATTTATTAGTTATATACAATAATATTATAAATATTATAATTAAACCATATAACTCATTTTTTTATTACAAAAGTATAAGACTTATTTTTTTCTAATCAAAAAGATTTAATTAATTTTCATTCTAATTATTATGTGAGAATTAAACTTTATCAATAAGATGTGAATTTAAATTTAATTTAAAATCAATTAGAATGTACTCTAAACATTCGAAACAAATACATAATTTCTAAAATATATCATGAATAATAATGTACTTAATTTATTGTAGATTTTGTGTAAAAGGATTTTATTTTTCCTTAACTCCTCATTATAAAGTAATAGTGTAATTCCGCATACGAACATTATTCTTGAATAAGACAAGTTAAAATTTCAATAATTTATTTTATAATTTATTAAATTATATGCAAGAATCAAATTTCAATTTTGCAATATATAAATCTATTATTAATGTTATGATTTCAAGAAGCTAAATATTATGCAAATAATTTATTGGACTAACAGAATCTGATTGCAAAAACCTTTTATCCATAATAATTCAAATAATTTAGAAATATAATCCTTTTTTCAGTCATACATGTAACAAAAAATTACATTTTGTATCTTCTAGGATGATAAAAATGCTTCGATAAAAAAAGCTGTGGCATATTCCAGAAGAATTATATATAAGGAATATTTGTTCTTATAATAATGGTCATATTGAAATTCTCTTTAAAAATATCTTAGTATTTATTAAATTAATAATAATAGCTCATGTAATGAATATATTGATAATTTTTCATTATTTTAACAAATTATTGACATTATCAATTTTATGGCTAAACTTATTCCTTCTATTGTTATAATAACATCTCATGTTTTGGTTACCAAACATATAATGATAGAAATCCCATTACTATGATTCCAAAATTTAATATTATTTGCATATAGTTTGCTGATCTGGTCTTCATTGTTGCACATGATGATAATAAAAAAAAAAATGCCATCCATATGAATACTTTTTACTATTTTAAAAAATATAATTTACTTTCATCCATGTTCCTGCAAAAGCTAATAAAAATGAAAAAATTTGCTGCATGTCACCCCCTTATTCTTCTTATGGTGCACCCTTTACTTAATCGTATGTATATTTCATAATTAAATTACTTAATTCAATTAAATTTACATGAATTATTTATTATTATTCTTTATTTATGTTCTAAAATAGCATTTTATTTATTTTTGTAAAAAATTAGTATATTTTGCAAATAAGAATACAATAAAATTTATTCGTAATATTATATAAGCAGAAAATTAAATTATAAAATTGAATGAAAATGCCGATTTTTCAAAGCCTTTTTAAGACTCAAAAGACTAAGTTTTATTTGGTGGTCAATTAGAGTTAATTAGTGTATTTAGAATCAAGAAAATGTATAAGTTTTAAACATACCTTTATTGGAAGTAACAAATTAATCTGTTAATAGAATTTTTTAAAAAGATAAAGTCTATGCGCTAAATAAATGAGTTAGTTCGATGTAAAAAATTCAAAAAGAAGTAGAGATTTTTTAAGAATCTTAGAAATTCGAATAAAAATTTGGCAAAATTAAAGAAAGAATAATTTTTTTTAAGTTCGAGATAAATATGGCTTGTGTTAAAATTAATAAAAAAAAATATGAAAATTTTCCACTAATTTTTTATCTCTACTTATTTATGAGACAAACATTATTAATATTAATTATAAGTAATTGTATATTTATCCTAAAATTATAAACAGATGAATTTACATTACAAATTATTATTTGTTAAATATATTCAAACTATAATTATAAAAAGAGGAATTTACATTTACAAATTATTGTTTGTTAAATATATTAAAACTATAATTATAAACAGATTAATTTATATATATAATAATTAAGGGAAATAATATTTATTGAATATGTATTTATGTTTAATTTAATTAATTTATTGTAAATCTGAATTAAATTCTTCTTAAAAATTATTGTTTTATTTTAATTTTAATTAGTATTCTATGATAAAAATTGTGTCTAATTTGTATTCGCGGATATTGATTATTTGAATTAAAGTTAATCTTGTTGTGAGATTGGAGATGTCAAATGTTTAAGACAGGTGTTCAATACATCAAAAAGTGGGGATTGCTGTAGAATGCTTGATAAGGGATGAATATAATTATTCAATTTTATGCGAGAATTGCTTAGCTGAGAGAGTTAACAATAAACAAATATTTTTATTGAAAGATGCGAAATTAGTGTTTGATTAATTTAGATTATAGTGTTAAAGAGAATTTGAAGAGGAGTAAAATGAGAAAATTAGTTTCTATAAAAATCTGCAAGCTATTGTATAGAAATTGTAGAATCATTTTTTAGAAATATTTGATTAGATAAACAATTAAATAAATGAATAACTAGAATTAATCACTTAAAAGTTTAGATATGGATTATTTTTTAATGGAAACTAAGAAAATTAGAATTTAAATCTTAATATACGGGACTTCGGAGAATTATTAATTGAGGAATAAACAAAATTTGAAAAAATTAAGAAGATAGCTTAATAGTAAAATGTAATCGATTTTCAGAATAAAATATAATATGAAATATTGAGACTATAATAAAGTGATATACTGAATGAGTGTCTTGAATTATTAATATCTGTGGATGAAGGGAATTTAATGAAATTAAAGGATCAAAATGATAGGATTAAGGAATATCAAACTTTTTAAGTAAGAATATATTAATATATTGTTAAAAGAGAACTCCAAAGTTAGATTTAATTTGTAATGAACATGACAAAGAAATAATATTGTTTGATTTAAGTGTGTAGCAGTAAAGAGAGAATCGAGCAAAATGCGTTGAATGCGACCCATGCATTTATACTTCATTATCAAAGTGTCAGAATATGTGGAAAAACTATGAAAAACAACAATAAGAAATTTTATAAGAATTTTATTCATCCAGAAAATCATAAATTGGAAGTATTAAGCAATAGCTTCTTTAATTGAGAAGTTGCTTTACCGAAAAAATCAATGAAATTATTTAATAATTAAATGGAATAATGAATTAGACTGAATAGGAGGTGTTTAAAATGATAAATAGTATGAATAAAGATTGGAACATTATGACTTTGACTGAAGTCTTGGATATAGCTGATATATTGAGTAAGCCAGAATTGATGAAGATATTTTTGAAGGAAATGGAAATCAAATATAAAATGAAAAATTTAAATATTGATAGCATATTCTAAAATAGCATTGAAGGATTATAAGAAATTTATAATCAAATAACATTATTAAAATTATGTGTTATTCTTGAATAGAGAGGAGATAAGAATAATTATGAAACGCCATAAAAATATGATTATAGAAAGTAAAGTTCAAATAGTATGCATAGTGATAATCATTCAGTTGAAATAATTTAATCAAAATCAGATTAGAAAATCATGAAAATTAATAATAAAATTAAATCATTAGAAGAATGGCGAATTCAATAATTAAAATGGTCAAATGCATATATAGATTATTAATTATTTTATACTAAAAAATAAGCAGAATGGTGCAATGCTATAGCATTTAATAAAGAAGGAAATATTATGATAGCTGGGTGTATATTTTCAATTAAAGTATTTGATTTTTCAAAAGGAAGAATTGTTTAAACATATTAAGCAAAATAGCATGAAGGAGATATCAATTGCTTATTGTTTAGTAAAAAAATCAATCAATTCATTTCCGGAAGTGATGATAAAACCATTAGAATTTGGACATAAATTGATAAAAATGAATGGAAATGTATTTAGGTTTTACAAGGACATGAAGATTGGGTATTGTGCTTAATCTTAACTGAGAATGAGTAAATACTTTTTTCAGGGAGTAGAGATAAAACTATAAAGATATGGACTAAAAATGAAGATAATTAAACCTATGAATGTACATAAACTTTAGATCTCCATACAGATGCAGTATTAGGATTATCAATAAATAAATCAGAATCATTTTTGGTATCTTCTAGTTATGATAAATCTATTATAATTTGGGAAATTAAGGAATCATTTCAAATTGAAAAAAAATAAATCATCTAAAAAGAAACTTATGGCAATAGAATTCTTTTCATTAATGAAACATAATTTTTATGGTAGCCAAACAATAATGAAATTGTAGATATATATAAATTCAATACTCAATCATCATCCTTTGAGTCTTCTTAACATAATATTTAGTAATTCCAAGCAGATGATGATTATTAATATTTTCCATCTAAATTTTTAACATCAAAAGGTTTATTTGCTAATATTCATAATAAATTTATCTATATTACTAAATAAATAAATGAGAAAGAATTTGAAGTAATCTAAATAATAGAATTTGATGATTATCGCAAATTTGGAGCATTTACTGAAGATGGAGAGTATTTAGTTACATGGCATTATGCAACTTGTGAATTTTAAATTAGAAAAAATGTTGGAACTTCAAGAATTTAATGGTGATTTTTTTATTTAATAAATATGATTAATTATTGTTTTACTATAATAAAAAAGTATTTATATTTTATAGATATAATGATAAATATAAAAATTCAGTTTTCTTTTCATAATTATAATATGGATTAGAATGGATATTAATAAATGGATTTTGAAACTCAATACATTTATTGTCTGATATTAATAATTATTTGATAAATGATTTTATATAAATACCTTTATAATTATAATTAATTAAAAAATTCATGATTACTTAAAACTAAAAATGGATTATTTAGTTTATTGTGGTGAGATTGATGGTAGATGAACATGAATTTTTTTTTAACTATTTACTTTTGGTATTGATAAATGGAGATCCAATTAAGTTTAGTATCTATTTGTAGCATCTTAATAATAATATATATATTAATAATTACTATATTTATTTAATTATCTATTCTTTAATGTTGTAAAGTCTTGATGAGAAGTAGTTTTGGTAAGTGCAAAACTTTTTTTTAAATTTTAAACTCTATGATGATTAAAATTAATATTTGTTTCTGTTTGAACTCGAGATGTCATTGGAATATGATGATTTAAGAGTATTTCATTAATTTCATCTGATTCTTAAGTCTTCAAATAAAACATTTATTCTTAACAATTATCTTTCATATATTTAATGATATTCAAAGCTTTAATGATCTTTTATTTTTATAATTTTTACAATTAGGAATTTCTATGTAAATGAATATGTCAATTTGATTTCTCTATTAGTAATAGGATGTGATTTTGATTGTTCTCCTAACATCCAAGGATGTTCAAGACATTGTTCAGCAGTCATTCTATCTAAAGCATTATGACAGATTGTATTTCTAATGAAGTCCTAGGCCATTCTATTGTCAATAAAATTTTTTACTCTGATAGATGATATGGATAGATTATACTAAAGTCTTAAGAGATTAATTTATAATAATCTTTCTTTGATACACCATCCTACCAAATAGGATGCTTGTTATTGCACATCATCTAATAATAAATGATTCCTAATGAAAATATATCAATTGCTTAAGTTTATTCTCCTCCAATTATCACTTCTGGAGCTATATAAAAAGGTGTTCCAACTTATTAACCAATAATACCTCTACAAACTATTTAATAACCTAATCCTAAATCTATCAATTTCACTAAGTTATTAGCACAAATGAATATATTTTCTATTTAAATCACAATGATTTACCTGGTTTCAAGTCTCTATGTATGATTCCTTTGCGATGTAAAAATACTAATGCATTTAACACTTATTGCATTATGTTTTAAACTTCAATTTCTTTGAGACTTCTATCTCTCAATATCACATCCAAAGTTTAACCTATCAGTTTCTCCATTATTAAATAAATATAGTTGTTTGCTTTTAAGACTCTATGCAATTTCACTATGTTTGGATGAGAACACTCTTACAATAGACATGACTCTATCTCCTATTCAAAGTATGGAGTAACCTTAAATTTACACATCTTCTACTTTTATTGCTACTATCTTGTCTAAATTAGAACTGTAAGCTGCAATTACAATTCCAAAACTTCCTCTACCTAAAATTTCAATAAAACAGTAGTATTCACTCAATAATATATCGTTTAAATCATCAATTAAACTTTTAGGATCCATATTTAATTAAATTATAATAATATTTATTGATATTTTTCGTGAAATTTCATTTTATTTGTTTCTCTATTTTATTTTATTTTATTTTGTTACAAGTTATTAAAAGAATGAACAAAATTATAAATGAATATAAAAATTTATAATCATCTATTGTTTCTACTGATATAATCTCTATATTTTTTTAATGCCTTTCTAACATCATGTATATTAGATTATGCAATCTTCATTATCAAATCTTTAATAGATAATAATTCTTTGTCATCTGATTTTCCAACCCAAGATTATATGACTAATCCATTCTCTTATTACAATTGAAAATTTATAGGAGTATTATCAATTATGATTGTTTTCTCTAAAGGTCTACCTATTTTACTTAAATCCTATTTTTAAGATTAAATAATACTTTAATAAAATGAATTCCATTATATATTGTGTGATGTCGATATAATCTATGATCAATCAAATGATCACATTGAATTTGAGAGATAGCATTATCTGCATACTTTATAATATTTAATGTTTTACATTTTACTAGCTTGCTGTAAATAGGATTATTTCACAAAATGATTTAATACTTTCGAGAAATTGGAATAACCATGGTCTTGATATAAATTTATTCAATTATTCACTCTAAATATCATATTAATTTATACAAAATGTCCCATTGTTTCATCCAAATCCATTATTATACACAATTATTTTTATAATGGTGATTTAATGAATGGACTATTCATAAGATCTACACTCACTTAAGATTTTCTTTTATGAATAACATGAGATGCTTTAAACAAAGTTTTTAATGGAGATTGATACTCTTGTTTTTTTATTTATGTTGTTGACAAATAAATAGCATTTCTTAATTGTGGTCTGCTTATTGTAACATCCAAAACATTTAAATGTTATAATTAATATCTGCATGTTATTATAATTGCTTGTATACCCTAATTATCATTATGTAATAATTTTTCAATTATAGACTTAATAAAACAATTATTTTTTTTTATTTCTTATATAAAACTTAAGCAAGGATTATTCTTCTCCAAAATTACATCAATCTTTTATTATAATTACTCAACTAATTAATTCCTCTACTTTAGATGTTTAATCATTTTATTCAAAAATAGAGCAAAATTCTCTATTAGTAATTTTATTAAGACTGTCATTTCTTACTAATAATTCTGTTAATTGTGAAGTAAGTTTTCTTTCAATTAACATTGTATAAATGAAAATACAATATCACTTAAGAAAATACATTCCCAAAGTACCTTTTAAGTTGTTGAACGAGCAAAGAAATAAAGATATTATTCTTGTCTAAAATCAAACACTGCTTCCCAATATAATTAAAAATTCAGTTATTCTTTTTTATTTTATAGATTCTCTAAAATAGCCTTCATATTTTATAATTGAATTTGTCCTGCATTAATATCAAATGAATGATTAATTTGCATGAATGTATCAGCTTATGAATTAGGTCTTGTGAATGTAGATGAGAAAGTTCCTTTCATACGATCTGTTTATCTGGTTGTACTTCTTTTAATGTTTTCACTATCCTATTCAAGATATTTCAAAGTTCTTTTGGCCTACAATAATGGGGTTTCGAGTAATTTTCTCTAATTTTATAATTCTCTGATCACATGGTAATTACTGCTATACTTAATTGTAAAATATTCTAATTCAAGTTTTCATTTACTTGTTATTTCATCTGAACTTTTTTCAAATTGTGCTAATACTAAAGACTGTTTCATTGATTATTATTTTTTATAATAAATAAATCAAAACTTCATTAAATTATTCATTTTCTTTTTCAGTATATTATATGTTTTATCTAAATCTTCAATCAATTTATACACAATCTTAAATTTAAGAGCATTACGATTAAGAGTTATTTTACACTTACTATATCGTAATAATATCATACTTAAGAATTATAGTTAATATATAAATTAATACTATTTTATGATATAATTCTAACCTATTATCCTTTTAGGTCTAAAAATAATATCAAAAATTAATATTTTAAGTTTATAAAATTAAAAGTAGTTCGCATAATAGTTATTAAATGACAAAGATGCTTTCGATAATTTATAAAAAAATAATAGATCTTTTTTTATGGATATCTAATGAAATGTAAAAAGATCTCTGCTAATTATTTTATAATTTGACTTAAAATATGTAATTAATAATATAGAAGTTTGAATTATCTATTTTTTAATTAATCTAAAATCAGTAATATTTATTTAATCTAGAACCAAATTAAAAACCATAAATCAATCTATTTTTTGAATTTAGAAATGATAGTTGAAGATTTTTAGAAATGATCAACCATAAAGTCTTGAGCACTAATTAAGTTTATTCATTAAATTTATAATGATTGAATTTCATCTTGTTATTAGAATAAATAAATAATCTAAATAAATACTTTTTATTTTAAGATTCTTTTCTTTTTTCTCAAAATTAAAGTTCTTTTTCTGAAAGTAATATTATAGAAAATAAACAATGTAAAGTATTAGAATTTCAACTCATTTTGATATTAATAATTAATTTATGTTTAAATAATTGATTAAATAGATATGTTATTTATTCTTACTTTATATAAATTAAATATAATTATCTTATTAATTATATGAATAATAAATTTTAATCAAACAGCTTGGCTTGGATCTTCTTTAGCTGAATATAAATGAGGATGGATATTAGGTAAAACTCCTCCATCAGCAATTGTTGTATTTGCCATTAATTTATTCAATTCATCATCATTTCTAATGGCTAAGAGAATGTGTCTTGGATTAATTCTATTCTTTTTGTTATCTTTGGCAGCATTTCCAGCAAGTTCTAAGACTTCAGCAGCCAAATATTCAAGCACAGCTGACAAATAAACTGGAGCACCTGCACCAACTCTTTCTGTATATCTGCCTTATTTCAAATATCTTGAAACTCTTCCGACTGGGAATTATAAACCGGCTTTGTGTGATCTAGAAACTGATTTATGAGCTCCAGCTGCCTTTCCTCCTTTACCTGCTTTTCCTTTTCCACCTGATGACATTTCTTTTTATTTATTTATCTTCATGCTAAGACACATCAATTTTAAACATATTATTTATTCTTTTTTTCTTTTAATTATCCAATCATATTTTAGATTTCAATAATCTACAACAATAAAGAATATCCAATCACATCTCAAGAAACCTTCTTCACACCATATTTCTCAACTATATTCTTGCCAAACAACTTTAATTACATTTTAATTTTTAAAAGATACATACTAAGATATCATTAAAATAATTTTATATAATTAAATTTATTATTAATTCATTTGATAATATATTAAATTAATACACATAAAGGAAGTTTTAAGTATATATAACTTCTCTTATATATTCTAATTAGTAAATTTTTTAATTACCTAATAAATCATTTGGATAAATAAATTTATTTAGTAAACAAAAATTTACATGCTAATAATTATAATGAAATAATAAAGAAGATAAATAAACTTAATTGAAGGAAAATTAATTGATGAAGCGGAATCAGATATTTAGAATGCAGAATAATAAGCTAAAAGGTTATAAAATATATAAAAGAAACAATAACATTAATAATTTTTGACAATAAATAGAATTTTTGAAAAAGAAAATTGAAAAAAGTCTTTAGAAATTTGAATTAAGAAAAGCAAAAAAAAAATTTAACTTACAGGAAGAGGAATAGAAAAGAAAATTTAAGCAGAATAAAATAAAAAGACCAAGTGAAGTTTGACAAATAAGAGGTAAAATGAAATTATGAGAGAAGAAAAGAACAAAAGAACAAAGAGTATAATGAAAAATTAGCAAATTATATAAACTTAAGTAAATTAATTTAATAAGAGTAAGTTAGTGCTGAATTAGTTATACATAAAACTGAGGCTTTGGACATGATTAAACAATTAGAAATGTTAAGGTAATTAAATAGTTTATATTTAATAGATGAAAGATAATATATTCATAGAAAATAAAATGAAATTGAGGCATGTTATTCAATCTAAATAAACAGAGTTTATTAAAATATATCAAAACTAGATAGGAATGCAAAAGAGTGAATTGTTGAATTAGAGAAATCAAATAATTAAATTAGAACCCTCATAATATAATTTATTTAAGATCAAAGAGAAGAAAAATAATTATTTAACAATTTATAATAGGAATTACAATTATGAATAATAATAAATATAATTATATAATAAAATGAAATGCGAAGTGAAAACTGTTAAACTAAAAATTCTAGGACTGACTGATTTAAGTAAAATTATCAGAAATTCTTCTTATGAAATAAAAGTATATTTTGGAGGTGCAAGAAAAGAAACTAAAATATTAAATTACTATGTTGGTATATAATTATATAATTAGATTAGCATCTGAATAAATTGAAATAAATTAGGATTTAGAATTGAGCAGTATTCATGGAAAACAATTACAATTTTGGTTATTTGATAAATTGAAAAATAAGTTTATTGGAGCAGGATCTTATGAATTGAGTGAAAACTAGGTTGAAGGATTTCAATTATTAGATTTAAAAATTGATTCAGTTATAACATCTGTTTTAATGTTTGAATTGGCTGTTGAAGTTAAGGATATTTATTAGCCTGTAATTTTAGAAGACGATAATGTGATTTTGAAGAAAGATGACTCAGAAGAAAAAAGAAAAGAAGAAGAAAGGATGGAACAAGAAGAGAAACTTAGAAAATAATAAGAAGAGGAAAGGAGATTATTATAAAAATAAAATAAAGTTTCGATTGTTACATTAACTAATAGATATGTTGAAGATTAATCTTATTATTGAATAATATATATATATATATATAATATCAATATGATTTTATTTCCACCTTAGTAGGTTTTTTGAATTTATTTATTATTCGCTTTACACTGAAAATAAATGTATATTTTGATGGAATAAATCTAGATAATTTCCACTTCAAAAATAAGTTTATTCTATTGATTACATTTTAGTAGTTATCAATAGGATAATATAGATTATAAGAGTACATTCTCTCAAATTCTTCAGATTGCTAATCCGCTCTTTTATACATACTTAAATCAACCATACCTATTCCAGTTGGTATGCGAATATTAGATCTAATAATTGGGCTAACAGTTGATCTAAATTAAGTAATAGTCCCTTATCTTATAGGAATAGTTGATAATTTAGATGAAAATCTTTTCATTGATTATCTAACTTATGAAGAACTTTAACTTTGTCTTCCTAATTATCTTCCATATGGAGAACTGGTTTGTTCATCTGAATGTTGTCTATTTGATAAATTTAAAGTATCAGAGTCTTCTTCCCTTATTCTTGATAAATTCTTTTTCATTTTATCTACAATATTACTTGGTGGCCTTGATTTAGTGTTATTTCTTAATCTTTATGATTTTTTTTAACTTTGTTAACTATCAGTGTCTCCTTTGAATGTAAGATGTGGAGTATTTTTGATTCTTTTGACAGATGGAATAGGGACTTCATTAGCAATTAATTATGAAGAAGTAGCTGTTTGTATCAATTATTAAGCTTACAATGGATCTTATGGTGTTGATGTTCTTTTAATTTTTTATGGTTCTTATGGTACCAATGAAAACTTATATAGTTATTATTGCTGCTATTAGAAATCTGCTTAATATTAGAATTGAGCTGTGCTTAGAGTTCCTTTTTAGTTGTTCGGTCTTATGATAAACATTTAATCATTTTCATCACATATTTCTTGTAGAACTTTAGAATTCTCTTTAACTTAATCTTATTATTTTAATATGCTAACAATAGTTCTACAATAGAATATCAATATTACCCATCCTATTTATCTACAAGCCTATTATCAGAATAAACTTCATCACTTTAGTAATCATCACTTAATTCAGAACATGATTCTAATTCATCATCTTAAAAATCCTCATCATCTTCATCTTCATCATCATCATATATGATATCATATTTTAATCTAAATATTTTTAGTGCATCATAATTTTACTATGATTAAATTTATTAATTTTACAATCAATCTTGAAAATATTCTATTAAAATCTTTTCTTCCATCTCTAGGTGTTCTAGAAAAGCTAGACCTGCATTATTAATTATAGTTTTCTTATTTGTATACTTTTTCAAGATCTGGAGTATATCTCCAAATAGGACACTTAGATATCAAATGATCTGAAGATTGACAAGAGTAACAACCCATATTTATAATATTAAATTATTGATTCAAAAAAGAATGTCTAATAAAGTAATATCTTTCATGATCAATCTTATTTTATTAAATTAATTAGATAAATTTTGATTATTAGATCTTATATAATGAAACAAAACCTTTTGCTTTAGCAGAAGCTTATCTTAATTATCCTGAAAAAAATGAATATTCACCAAAAGAGTCTCCAGAAATCAAATTAGCAAACTGAGTATTTTAGTCAAGTATTGAGATTTCACCAGAATCAATAATATACAATGAGTTATCATCTTGTTTATTCTTTTAAATAACAAATTCATTTGGATTAAATTTAACATATTCCATAATTTAGGTCAAATTTTTAAGTGTATCTTTCGAAAATTTGAACAGAGATTTACAATTAAACAAAGCCTTGATTCTCATTTATAGAAACAATTCTTCTTTAAGTGCAGGTGAAAGTTATTAAATTAATATTTACATCTAATTTTCTAAATGTATATAACAATATTACCTAATCATCTTTATTATCCTATTATTAAATAAATCTAATATAATTCCTTATTCTGGCTGACATCTATTATGTAATCCCTCTTTTAGATAAAAAATTATTCATTAATTCCATCTATCTTAAACTATTGTTATAATTCTAGTATTGCTATTTCATCATAAAACCTGTATGTTTGATAATAAATGCTATTAACCAACAGGATATAAACATTATTATAGTTGAATATATTAGTTCTACATTTGTTTTAATATGGATCAATCCTAATCCAATATTTAATAACAAACTTGTATTTATATAAATAGCATAACAATATCTTGTCCATTCATCCTCATCCTAAATATTTAATGTCATTATCCAAGAATTTTATTCTTCTATTCCTATAAAATGCCAGAAACAAGAACATGAATGAATTGCATATACTACTATCACAAATATCTTATAGCAACCAATATCAAATGGTAGAAAATCATTTATTCGAAACATTAAGAAGTTCAATTTCTAAACTCCTAAACCAATTTCAAATAATAAAATACACCAAATCAATACCTAATTTGTAAATAAAAATAATAATAAAATTGTACTCACTAAATAAAGAATATCAATTAAAGTTTGACTTTTAACACATTATAATTGGTACTTTATATCGAAATTTACAAAATTACCCTCTTTAATTTAAGGCTTTATATAATTTAATGCCAAATCTGAACCAATTATTAAGATAGCTAATATTTCAAAAACAAGGTTTGTTTCTTGTTTAAAACTTACTTTGAATGGCAACCAAATACACAACATTATAATAAAAACTATGACGATTACATCCCAAAAAACAAAACATAAAGGATCAATATATTATTTATTCTTACTATCTTAAATAGTATAATGAATACTATCTTCTAAATAGTTTTCAATTAATAATTATTTTTAATATCCATTAAAATAATTATCTCGATATATGTATGCTTTTTAAAGAAGAGTTTAAGCGAATTTTCTAACAAACTTTTTGTCAAATAAGTTTCTACTTACAGATTCAGTCAAATTAAGTTCAGAATAAAGCTGTTACTTGCGTGAGGATCGCATTCCTGAATTAAATTAACTTTTCTTTAATCTCTTTGTTCCTGACTCATCAACGTTTTTACTGTCAGCTCCTTCAGAATTCACATTCAATGTCTTAGCTTTTCTACCCTAATCAAAATGATTTAATCCATTTTCTCTATAAGAAATGAAAGATCTTAATGGTTCTGTTATTGGAGATGGGCAGTTGATAAATGATGAGTTTATTGTTGGAGGTTTTAAATCTGATGGTGTTTGCATTAGTTTAGGTAATTATGATTATGAAATGTATTGCCGTTTGACTAATTCTAAATTATGGGACTCATTATCAAAGGAAGAACTGTAAGAATTGTGCATTTTTATTTTAATAATTATATTATATTATATTTGAAATAAATTATTTTAAATAAGTTAATATTATTGCCAAACATATTAAAACAAATTTTAATTTTAGATAAATATCTAGACCATATCTCTAAAAAAAAAACATTATTAATATTTTAGTATCAACAAATTATCTCAAAAAAGTGATTTAATTTTTTATATTTTATCAACTATGAAATGAGTTTTTTAAATCTATTCAAATTATTAATCAAACTTTATATAGAATAATTAAATATCAAATTTTATAAATTGAATAATTCTTAGCTATTTTTATAAAATAACAAAGAATTTGTAGATATCTTAGTCTTTTCAACTGTTATGAATACAAAGAAATCTACTATACTTTGATTTAAGAAAATTCATTAAAAATCAATCTTAAGGAATATTCTTTATAGGTATAAATTAATAAATAGCTGTTCTTTATGTTCATGATAATATTCCATGAACATAAAACATTAAAATCTAAATAAATAACTATTTTTGGATTAATAGGATTAATTTTGAATTAGATATTACTTATTATTAATAGCTCATAAAAATCAATTAGATAATAAAAGAGAAGAGAATGAAGTAGCTAGATCCCTTATTTAAATGATTAATGAATTGATTTAATATCCTTATCGTCTGTTCTTAATCAATCTAAAGATTAAAAAATAAAAATAAGATTAATGATTTTCAACTAAAAATTTAACCTAATCATTCAAATTTTATTGCTTTGTAGTCTTCTTCTTATTCTATTCCAATCCATCCATATTTTTTTTTTAATTCACTTATACCTAAAAGTAATTACAGATTAAGTCTTGCAGTTTATGGAATAATTTGCTCTCTTGTTATAGGATCTGTACAACCATTCTAAGTGAATTATTAAAAGATGCCATTTTTTTCATAAGTCTAACCGGTATTAAATAGAATAGGTTCATTCATAATCTCATATGATATTACACATATAAATGATTAAGGTATTGGTATTTCTTAAAGCATCTTTTTTTAAGTTTACTTTTCTAAATAATTCCAATCTAATTTAACCTTTCTACTTTATGCTAATTCAGCAAGAATACTTTTTAAAGATTAGATATCTATTAAAATATAATTTTATGTTAATACTTCTTCTATCCATTTCTTAAGCGATCAAAAAAACCATCCTTTTTCCTTTTCCTAAATTCTAATTTATTAGAACCTTCAATTTATTCTTTTATTAGTCAGCATTATCCTTTATATACTCATATGCTTTAAGATAATAATAATATACTACCCTAGTCTAAGTATTGCAAACCTCTATGAGCCTATTTTATTAATTATTCACTTATTTATGGACTCTTCTATACTTCTAGCAGAATTATTGTTCCATAAATGAAATATGCTCTAGCATTTGTTTAATCAATTTTAATTGCTTATTCTGCATCTTATTTGGCCTCCTAATATCTATTTAATAGTCTATATGCCACTGCTCTATTGGAATAGTAAATGGAATCTGTGCCATACAAATTCTAAATATTTATTCATCATACAATAGCTTAAGTATAGCATTCAATAGCTTTTTAATAGTTTTTTTGAGAGAAAAAGTTATTCCCCTTTATTTTTTCTTCCAATGATTGCTGTTTATTGTCTGTAAACTATGGGGTTGAAGTAATATTGATGTTTTTCTAACTAGTTTATTATGCCGTAGGCTTTTTAGCAGCTTTGAAGACTTTCCTTTATTACTAAGGCTATTATTATGGGAATATATCTTCTGGTGGATAATTCATAAATTAATAGGTTTCATTCGAGTGTGCTTATCCCATTAAAGATTAATAAATTATTAAATTGACTTCAAAAATACAAAACTAACATAATGATTAAATCAAAAAGAGCTTTTACGTTTATTTGTATCATTTCCACCATCATATGCGTGGAAAAATTTCATTAAGTCATCAACTTTCATTTAATCAAGTTATTCATTATCATCATATTCACTACTGTATATAGAACTAGCCTTTAAGTCTTTATTTTTTAATGCTGATCTATTTTTTGGATCTATTGTTGTTTCTGAATTATCACATAATATATGATTAATTATATATTTAAATAATCGAATGACTTAAGTATCCTAAATTTAGAAAATTGATAAAATTACTTAAGAACTAATTTTGATCTCTTCTAAAGAACTTTTTGAATTGTCTTTTAAAAACTATTTAATAGCAAATAACATAATTGCTGCTATTTTAGATTTAGAAATATGTCCATTGAATGGTTCCAACAATGGAAATGCAATTGATTTGACTCCTAAGTTTGCTGCTAATTGTAGACAATTAATCATGCATTCATAAATGTTTTATCTCTCATGCGTCTATTATGAATCAATCATTTTATCAGTATATATATGAACTCCATCTATTTATTACCTAAGACCCTCTTATAAAGATTCTGTTGGTTAAAAATCAGTAGAACCATCAGTAGTAAATGAACTTTTCGGCATCATCATTGTAGTTTCACATCCACTTGATAGCACAGTGTATATAATATAATCAAAGTCCATCTTTTATTAATGTCTATATTTATACGTCTCCTGCATGTGTATACACTACTTAACCTAATTCAAGTTTTCCACCTTCATTTAAACGTACTTATTTAAGTTCATTCATTACAGACTACCCTCCATATTTTCTATTTTAAATAATTATAGAATACTTAAGTAGATCCTCCATATTTTATCCCATTTTAAGTCTTGTGCTTACAATTAAAACAATTGTGTCGACATCTTCATTAAACAATAGCTTGCTATAACTTAAGTTAATTTGGCAACCAGCAAATGAAGCATGAGCAGCAATGTTAGGTTATAAACTCATTTTTGAGCTGCTTCCAAAATGATCAGAGCCAGAGCAACATAATGTTTTATTACCCATATTAATATAATTTAATAAAATAAATTTACAATTACTAAATAAAATCCTTATTTAAGATTAGATCAACGTACATAATATTGAAAATTATCATGAAGAATTAACAATTATTAATATTTTAAATTACTTATTATTAGTATATTTTTTAAATAAGCTATTGAAGATTATTGTTATTTTATTGTAAATTTAATATATTGTTCAAAGAATACTCATTCTTTTTGATGCTCTTATATAGCAAAGAAACCATCTTCAACTAAATGATCTTAATATTCTTCTAAAGATTTCATTATTCTATTAATATATTATGATTTAAATACCTTTAACCTCTCATTCTATCAAGTCTGGTGTTTAAATCTTGAATTAATCTTTGCTATTCCGAGATTTATTAATCTTTAGAATTAATTGTCTCATCATTAGTTGCTTAGTCTCTTAATCTACTATTTTCTTCAATTAATTCGTTCATTCTTTTTAGCAAATCTGGATCGGATTACTAAAAAATATAAAATAATTACATTAGCTATTGAATTGAAAAATATTAATTCTTTTAATTAAAGATTTCTCTCCATTACACCAATTAATTTTTCAGCTGCCATTTTTTTATGAATAAATTTGTACTGAGTTGGTTAAATTGAACTCTTCAACATTTATTCGCCTAATTTCTAACATTGTGATGCAATTAAAACTAATTCAGTAAATCTAAATTTCAAATGTCTACGGAAAACTCTTTACAAAGTACTAAGAGCTACCTATTAACTATGTTTTAATATAATTGATTCCATTTAGGATTTCTACTAGGAATCTCGAACAGGGGTCTATTATAAGAAACTTGAATGTGATGGTTAAAATGAACTTGCATCAGTTATTCCTCTTCCAAAGTGTTCTATATTCGTAAATGCTCTTTATCTCACTCTATCGTATGCCTTTAACAAATTATTTATCAACTTCTTGCATTTTACTATTTACAAAGTATTTAAACTGACAGCTTTTTATGTGGTTGCATTATCTCTCATTCTCCAAAAGGCTATTTATGGAGTAATTCTTGTGTTCTTTGCTATCATTTCGGCTACTCTCTAGAACCATTGATTTTAAAGTTTTGGTCCTCTCCAAATATCTAATGCTTCTTTCATTAATTCTCTATCTTGTTTCATATTGAATAAAAGTAATTTTTAAATTGCATTAAATACTGAAATCATATTCTTCTTAACAGCTCTAATGTTCCATCTCTAGAAATATATTCTTAATTTTATTTAAGCAAAGTTTTGGAATAAAAGAATTGCCTCTCTCTTTAATCTAATCTCTCTTTCTTGAGCGGTTTCTTTTCTATTCGTTAAATTTGATGATAAACGTTTCCATTCTACAAAAGCTACATTTAATTAGTTCATTTTGTGTTAGTAGAATAATTAGATTGCAAGTTTCTTCTTATCTGAAATATCGAATGCTTCTGCTGCTCTGCTGAATTCAACAATTTTATACCATTTCAAGAATGCTTTCTTTTAAGCACTCATACAATTATACAACATTTTATTTATAGCATATTTTTATTTTGCTTAGCCATCTAAATAAATATTATATAATTAATGATATGCTGTCTTTCTAACCATATGAACTTTGAATCTATTAAGTGATTTTTCAAATATGCTTGCCTTCATTTGCTCTAATTCCTTAGTTTCTGGTAGAGCTTTCCATTTTTAGAAGGAAACTTCTATCTACCCTACAAATGTGTGCAATAATTATATTTGTAATTTCTTTATTAAAGCTTGCTTCTATCTTTCCTTTGAAAACTTTCTCAAAATGTCTCGCAATTTGCCTTAATCATTTGTTCTTAAATTTCTATGGAGGGCAAATAACAACAATCTTTTCTTTTCATCATCAAGTTTAGTTTAAATTTTAGCTTATTTAGCTGAATTATTCCAATGAACAAAGGCCCATCTTAAAGCATTATTATAGTTCATTAACATTTTATTCAAAACACTTTCTTATTATTTATTTGGTTTAAATATTGTCTATATATGCCCTGCCAATGTGAAGGCAAGTGTCTAGAATAAATTTGTGGTATGTTTGCATGTTTCTATTGACTTATGTAATCTATTTATATCTCTCCAATATAAGAATAATCGTTTGTTTTAACCCATAGCAAGAGTCATTAATTTTCTTAAACAAAATAACTTTTTGCTATTCCCTTCTTAGTAAACATCCTTTAATGGTTCAAATGATGCTTTTACTCGGCCTCTAAAAAGTAAATCTAATGTTCTTTCAAATTTTCTTGCATTCTTCATTTATTCAGTATTGACTGGTTCAGGTAAGTTTTTCCATTTTTAGAATGCCTTAATAGCACCTCCGAATTAAGTTGCAAACAATTTAGCAAAGAATCTGTCTTGAACTGCAGTAATGCTTGAATTTCTTCTGAATTTAGCGAGAATGGCTCTCAATCTTGCATAGTCATTATTCTTAGAGAAATTATTAATGGCTTCCAATAGCAATTTCTTTTTCTCATCAGTCATTGCTCCTTATAATTTTTCTAATTTTCCATCATTATACCATTTCATGAAGAAATATCGTAAATTACTATCAAAGTTTCCGATAAGTCTAAGCAATGCCTTTTCTTTCTTTTATGATTCTTCATCTGGCTTTAATGGAGCGATATTATTCTTGATATGTGAGCCTATAAATCCAAACAAACCAATGACACATTTGCATCTTTCTACTTCTTTAATTAAGCCAACATTCTTATTCCATTAATCCAAAACTCTTTACTATTCAGATTCTTATGTCTTAATCATCAATATGATTGCTCTCTTTTTTAAAGCTTGTGCATCATCATAAACTTCTTAAAGTGGATTCCAAGTTCTTTTTCTCCAAATATGAAGGGCAAATTTATTTAATTAGGCTTCAAACTTACTTGCTTTAATTAATTCATCAGCATTAGCTTCTGGAATATTTTTCCATTTATTAAATGTATCCCAAACAGCTCCAATTTGGGTTCTTAACATTCTTGCATTAATTTAAAGAATCAATTTTTCCTTTTTATGGGCTAAAGAGAATTTAGCTAAAATTTATCTATATAATGCAAATTTATTTCCATTTTCAAATTAGACTAATTATTCAGTCAATTATTTTTTCTTCTCAACTGTTAAAGCATCTTCAAAGTTTTAATTCATTCTTTCTTATTAGGCTCTATTTCTCCACAAAAAGAATGCTCTACTTAAATTTTCTGCTTAACCTTAGAATATTAGATGTAAAGCTTTTTCTTTGGCTTAGGCTTCACGTGGATTTTACATTATTGGTTGAACGTTAGCAGTTACGATTTAAGCTAATCCCACAAATAATGCTGTAGTCAATCTACAAACTTCAATTTATTTAGCTTATCTATTTTATTGAGCCCAAAGTAAAAATAATCTTTTATGAGCACTCATACTCTTTTCAAATAATTTTCTTAAACACATTCTTTTAATGTTTAAAGCATCCATATAATCTTCTTTCAATGGATCAAATGAGACTTTTAAGTGAGTGTGGAAAAGTATGTCTAATGTTCTTTCAAATTTTCTTGCATTCTTTAATTATTCAGTATTGACTGGTTCAGGTAAGTTTTTCCATTTTTAGAATGCCATAATAGCACCTCCGAATTAAGTTGCAAACAATTTAGCAAAGAATCTGTCTTGAACTGCAGTAATGCTTGAATTTCTTCTGAATTTAGCGAGAATGGCTCTCAATCTTGCATAGTCATTATTCTTAGAGAAATTATTAATGGCTTCCAATAGCAATTTCTTTTTCTCATCAGTCATTGCTCCTTATAATTTTTCTAATTTTCCATCATTATACCATTTCATGAAGAAATATCGTAAATTACTATCAAAGTTTCCGATAAGTCTAAGCAATGCCTTTTCTTTCTTTTATGATTCTTCATCTGGCTTTAATGGAGCGATATTATTCTTGATATGTGAGCCTATAAATCCAAACNTTTCTAATTTTCCATCATTATACCATTTCATGAAGAAATATCGTAAATTACTATCAAAGTTTCCGATAAGTCTAAGCAATGCCTTTTCTTTCTTTTATGATTCTTCATCTGGCTTTAATGGAGCGATATTATTCTTGATATGTGATCCTAAAAATCCAAATAAGCTTATAACAACTTTGCATCTCTCTACTTCTTTAATTAATGAAACATTTTTATTCCATTAATCGAGGGTTCTTTATTATTCTGATTCTTAAGTCTTTATCATTAACAATACTGCTCTTTTTTTAATTGCCAAACCGTCATCATAAACTTCTTATAAAGGATTCCAAGTGTGTTTCTTCCAAATATGAATTACAAATTTACTCATAGATTTTTCAAAAATGCTTACTTTAGCCCTAATATCATTATTATCTTCAGGCAATTACTTCCATCTATTGAATGATAGCCAAACCTAAGAAATTGTATTTCTGCTTATTATAGCAAGAGCTTTTCTTTTGAGATTATTTTCGATTGCATTTTAATTAAATCTTCTCAAAACTTCTGTTAGAGCAAAAAATTTAACTTTTGATCCTGCATTTATCCATCCAATTAATTTTTACTTGACAATTTAATCATTTAGGGTAACATTTAGTTATGAAAACTTATCAAACATTTTCATTTCCCAAGCTTTTCGATGCCATAATAAAAATGCTTTTTTCAAATCACTTTGAGTAATTGCAATCATTTTATTGATGCAAAATTTCTTTTTAGCTTATCCATCTAATAAGTTATTTTCTAATTAATCCCAAGAATTCAATTTTACGAATCTATAAGCAATTTTACCAAGTGAAATAGCAAATTTACTTACTTTAGCTTAATTTTTCAATGCATCATCTCCAGGTAAGGATTTCCATTTTAAAAATGATGATTCTACTTATCCTATTTAAGTTTGAAGAACTCTTAAATGAATTTTCTTTATCATCTAATTTACTTGTTATTCATTATAAAAGAGTCTTAGAATTCTTCTTAATCTATTTAAGTTATCATTTTTTATGAATCTCTACAGATTGATTAACATAAACTTTTTTTTCTCATCTCCCAATTGTTCTGATATTTTTTATTATTTATTATAATTTTTCCATTTTAAGAATGCTATCATCAAATTATTAGTAAATGAAGACATTAATTTAACCAAGCATCTTTCCTTAGCTTCTGCGTCTTTTCTTGTGTATAAAAAGGATTTAATATTACTTTTTAGCACATCCTATAATGAATCAAAAAAGTTATTGGTTTTTTAACAAGCTATTACAGATTTATAAATTTTATTCATAGATTACCATTGACGTAGAAATCTTTATGGAGCACTTAATTATTTGACTAACATTTATTTAATACATAGTCTTTTAGATTAGATACCTTAATAATAAACTTCTTTTAAAGGATCAAATGATTGTTTTACTCTTTGTTTAAAGAGAAATTGGAGTCTTAACTAGAATTTTGAAACATTTTGTAGCATTTATTAATCAGATGGATCAGGCAACTATTTCCACCTACGAAAAGCATCCATAGCCATTCCACTTGTGGTTAAAATAATTCTACCAAAGTATTTATTTTTAATTTCCTATTATTCTCTCATTATTGCAAATTTTCTTAACACTTATCTTAACAAACCTTTTTCTGTTTTATTTGCTGTATCCCCTAATCTAGAGATAATTTCTTGTTTGTTGATGTTATCTAATTTCTCTTACATTTTTTTTTACATAGATACGTTTTCAATTTATCTCAGAGCATCCATTTTTTATCTTTATTGAATTTTTAAGATCAACTTATTTAGAAATTAACATATTTCAGCCTTTTTACTCAATCCAAATAATTTAAAAGTTTCAAATTTTACTAATTATTAAGTTACATTAGCACTAGCTTATAGGGCTTTAATTTTTCTTAAGTTTGTTTCAGTTAATTTGGCATAGGTGTTATAATTTGCCCATTTATAGAAGGCTGTATATGATTGATTAAAAGTAACTTCAATTAATTCTCTAATGACTTTTGTCTTCTTATTTTTAGCATCATCATCAATAGCCTTAAAGGAATTCCAAACTAATCGTTTATTCTAATCTGCTTTATTTGTTAATTTAGTTATCAATAACATGCCTTACTTTTTCATGTCATTTTCTCTTTTATCAGGCAAATCAACCCATCTTGTATAGCATCTCTATAATCTACCAAATGTAGTTTTTAACAGTACAGAGAAAAACTTTTTTTTGAGTCTAAAATTCATTAAATCACCTCTCCATTTTTCAAAAGCCTAATTATAATCTAAAATATTTCATACCTCTTTCAATCTTTATCTATCTAGTCTATCATTTCTCATATTGTATTCATCACCTAATCTTTCAAGAGCTTTCAATTATTTTTACAATTTATCTGATTTTACCTTTGAATAAAGTCTCCACCAATTGAATTTCTCTCTTAAATATCTCTCTCTATGTTTAGAACTGATGCTCCATAAAAGCAAACCCAACATTTTGTCAGAATCTTAATTTTTTGGTTTCAAAGCAGCTACTGCTGCAGTTTTTAATTAAAAGTCTTTCTTTTATAGAAAAAGTGCCAAATTCATTAAACACATATTTTTTCTTTTTTTAGCATTCATTTTTTTTTGAAGATCTTTTTAACTAAAATTCAATATAAATTTTATACCCTAAGAGATTTTTCAACTTGTGAAAGGCATTGAATTCATTTAATCTAGAGTTGAGAAGAATTTAATCAACAGCTTTCTTAACGATTTCAGGATCTGCTCGTATTTTCCATCTTACTGATAATTTATCATTATACCTCAAAAATGCCTCATGGAGAGAGGTATGACTTTCATATCTCAATAGCTAAGACACAATCTTTCCTTTAATTTTTTTGGATATCTTAGAGACATCTATTTTTTTCTCGATCATCGCCGCTCTCATTCTATTAGAATTATTAAAGAAAAAAATACCTAAGCATAGCTCTGTGGAGATTGTGTTGCCCATGCAAATTTCCGATATTGAATATGTGACTAAGTAATTTACGATTCTCCTGTAACAATTCCAATTTTTAAGGAGTCAACACATTTTTTTATTATTATTTGTTCTTCTGCCTATAAAATATCAGATATTAGCTTACAATTAACCAGGTGGCATATTTAGAAGAATGAAAATAAATTATATTAATAATATAGATTTAAATAGATACTTTTTTTCGTTTTATTTCCATACAAATAATAAATAAATAAAATATCTCATCATAATAAATATTTTTGAAAATACTTTCAGAACATTACCATTCAGCTTTTGTTTAGTTAATTTAAGAATTACTAGATGATTAGTTTATTCTTATAGTACTCTTATATCATTATTTTTTATTTGATGATTAACAAATAACTTGAGTAATTTTAAATCATTAATTAATAATATATAGATTCCTGTAAATAAAATGCAATCAGGAATACTAATTTTTTTCAAAATACACAGCTGGAATTGAGAGGAAATCCAAAAATTCAAAACATTTTCTCGTTTTGAAATCAGAATTTCTATTATATTAAATTTTCAATTTAATTTATTATTGAAACAATCTTTAAAATTGATAAATACTCAAAAGGAAATTATTAAAGAATTTATTAATTTTCTCTTCCTAATCTAAAAACCAAGAATACATACTCTATTAAATGTATTCTTATAAATTTTCATATTTTAGGTAGTTATCTTTAGTTTATCAATTTAATTATTATATATTTATAGTTGAAAAATAATCTAATTTCTTTAAAGTCTTGAAATACTCCACTTATTCAAGTTTATGATGCTGATAAGAATATTTTATTGATTATAAATATATAGAACATATTACAATTATTTTCCAACAAAATAATTGTTAAAATAAAAACAATAACACAAAAAAATTGAGTTTCCTTTATTTCTATTTATATTGTAAACAAAAAAAAATAATTATCCATTCTAATAAAAACTTGTTTCTTATATTTTTATTTTTCACATTCAATCTACAATTAAACAATCAATAGTGATATCTTTTCTTCATTATTTTGTTTTGACTGTTAATTATACTAAATAAATTTAAAGCATTATATATGTTTTCAGTCAAATTTTTATTAAAAACTATTCTTTTTCATGATTATCTCTTGAGTTTAGCTTGTACATTTTATTTGAATGGATGTATCCCCTGTAATTATGAGTCTAAAAATGATTATTTTTTCCAAAAAAAAGTTTTACATTCAGTATAATAATGTTTTGAATTAAATAAAAGTTCCATTACAAAAAATTCAGAAACAAATCTGAATAGAATGTTCATTACCTGAACTTTTCCATTATCAAAAAAAAAAATTATTATGAACTAATCAAAGGATGATAATGACTCATGATTTTTTTGTTAAATTGGATGAGATATAAGTATAAAAAGATTATTAATTTATGGATATGTAATAAAAAAGATAACAATTATAAATGCCTAAACAAAAACTTGGGAAAAACCATTAAAATATACAATTCTTAAAAGCAAAAAACAAATCAAATAGGTTCAATAATTTTATTTTTTTGTTTAAAACCCTAATTAAAACTTGTTGGTCTTATATAATTGTTTTGTTTAATTATTTAATGATGTAAATCCAAAAATTTATCTCAATCTTACTATAGTAAATTGAGCAAAATTTATATTGCTTACTACTTATTAATGTTATATGAATAAAAATTATTTAGTTTTTGTAATGTAAAGTTAATTGTTGCTCAATAATTATAAACTTGATATTTTTATAAAAAAAGAGTCATGAATAGAAAAAGAGATAAGCTATCTTCTTTATTTCACTTTTAATTTAGATGCTTATTATAGCAAAAATTCATTATAAAAATTATAGATCTAATTTGAATTTAAAAGATAAGAAAAGACCCTATTGAATAGTTGAAAATAAAAGGGGTTTAAATGAACATATGAATAGTATTTAGTTATTTAAGATAAATTTTATATTTGAACTTATTGATAAAACAAGCTGGAAAATACTTTTTTTTTATAGTAAAAGTGGTTAAATTTCCATTTAGCAGATATGACTCTCCAATATTTTTAGGACCAGACATACATGCTTCTTATTTGATTTAAAATTTTAGATATCTAATTTGCATTAATTAATTAAAGAAATATTGATGAGATATGATAATAATAAAATAGTTGAAGGTGATCAACAATAAAAAATTATTGATAATTTTGGCAATTATTTATGTAAATATAATATCTAAAGAAAGGAATGGAATCTTAGTTATTTTCTATTGTGAATTTTAATCTAGATACTTTATATTTTAGGAGTAAATCAATAGTCTGAGAATGAATCCTAGTATATGTTTTAGCAATCCAAAATTTCAAATTGATGTTTGTCTATAAGGTATAAAAAATTGCTCTTTGAGGACAAAGTACAATCTGAACCTGATTTAGTGATCTTGGAGTAATTGAAGATTTGATATATAAATATTATTCCTAGGATTACCTATCAAAGATAAAGAACTATTATATAAAAGAGGATGATTCAAGAAAGGTAATAAAGTACTTGGCCTTCTATTAAGGATTATATACTTGTGTACTCTCTATATAAAAATGTTTGAGGAGGATTTACTAAATTCATAAAATATAGAATATATTTATCTTCTTTTCCGATTTGCAATCTAAATGACAGTGAACACTAAAAGATTCCTATAAAATGATAAAAAATTTAGAAGTTTATTCATTTAATTAATACTTGGTGATTGAGATTATATTATTAAGAAGAGTTTGATGTTTCTGAATTTTAGAAGAACTTTCTAACTCTCTCTCAAAATTTGTTGAAATCTTAATTCAACTTTGTTTAAATCATAATTGCTTAATTTGGCTATTGAAATACGGAATCTAAGATATTTTCTTTATTACAGTATATTTTCTTAATTGTTTTTAAGAAGAATTAGAATTAATATCAAATATGAACTTATTAGAAATTAAATTAATCATAATAAACAGAGATATTTAGTAACAATATTTCTTTATTTAAGTTTCTTTAATTATTAATTCTTCAGTTCTAGATCTTACAATATATTTAAATTATATTTATTTTCATTAAATTTTTACTAATCGATTTTAGAAAAACCCATTTATATTGAATATTTTAAAATAATATTGATAAATAAATCATTATGATTGCTCTTATTATTTGATCGATTTAAAGTATTCATTACACACTTATAAGCCCTAAGTAAGTCTGTTTTCAATAATTTGTGAGGATTTCTTAGAATTTGATTTTCTTGTATCATCAATATGCTTTTTTGTTTTTTATGCATAAGTACAATCATCAAATAACAATTATACATCTTAATATTATTCCTAAAATAATAGAATAAGATTAAAACCTTAATTGAGTTACTAGAGGATATTTTAATATTGACATTTAATTTTCTTGGTTCTCCTCTATCTATCATGACTTCTACATCTTTTATTTTAGCATGATATATAATATGTGCCCATTCCTTTTTAACTATTTATGTTTCCATTATGATAAAGTTTTCATCATCTTCCATCCAAAAACTAATTTATGTTGTTATAATACCATTCTCCTGAAGTGCAAGGTTAAAGTTTATCTTTAATTGTCTTAGCTGAAATCCTACATGATAATAATTAACAACCATCAGGAGGTTCATAATTCTACCCAATAATCCAAGAGTTTGTAATATTAATTTTTTATAAGACTTATAAATTTCCATTTTAATTAATTTTCTCCTAACTAATTATCTAAAAGCTAAGTATATAAATATATTAATTACAAAACAAGATCAATCATAAAAAAAATAGCTAAGTCCTTGATTGCAACCTCTTTTAATCCAACAGGCTATCTGTACATTAAATCTACATTAGCATCATGTTTGTCTATAATAGGAGAGAATGCTAAATAATCTAGGTTAGGTTTTAAAATTTTTAGATTTTAGCTATTTTATAATTAAATATAACTAACTTGTATTTGTTATAGATTATTTCATATTAGGAAACAATTACTTCATGGTATTAATTTTATTTAATCATCTAATTCATTTTAATTATTGTATAATGATATACTTCATATAATTTATTAATTGTTTCTCTTTCTAAAATAAGTTTATCTAAATTGATAAAATGAATAATTATTTAGCATGTTAAAATAATAGTGCATAATCTAAGTGATGGATCAATTAAAAATATATCTAATAATTAATATATTATTTGATTTCTTTCTTTCATAATGATATTAGTGTTTGCCTCTTAAAATAAACAAATTCTTAATATGTCTTTTTCTTTAAACATTAAAACTGATTTTATTAAATTTAATAATAAAAAAAGTAAATTATCATCTTTTGTTTGTAAATAAATCATTAAATTTGTTCTAATTTTATTTGGAGACATCTCTTCTTATCCATTATTTAATAGTAATTATTTGCAATAAAATAATACATGATCATTATCAGTAATACCTAAAGCTTTATTTATTGTTTCAATTTCTTTATCACAAGCTTCTTCCTTAAATGCATATGATTGAATGTCAAATAATTGATTTGCTTAACTTACTAATACATCTTAATGTTAATCCCAAAAATTTCTAAAACTCCATGAATATAAATAAGATCTAGGTTATCCTATGTTAAATTCTAGTAAATGACATAGTTTTTTTTGCAATGATGGACTAAATAATAGCAAAATAATATTTTTTGATAAATTAGTTGTGTTAAAATTATTTATTAAATGATTTGTAAGATGTAAAGTAAAAGAAATAGATAAAGTTTCTTTTTTCTAAAATAATATACCTCCTAACATTGCTGGAATTATTGTATAAGTTAATAATGAATTATCTAAAATCTAATATTTTTAATATAAATTATTATACATGTGAAATTTCTGGACAAAATGCATAAATATCATTAAGAAAATAAAATACATCTACTAAGTCATCCATTTTCTCTTTGACATCAACATTACCTTCTAAAACTTCTTTATTTGCCTCAAGCCATACATGTTTCAAATAACAAGAGAAATGAACGAAAAATAATATAAATGGAAATCTTGTCAAATATTTTTTAAGTACAGGATTTTATACTAAATTATCTAAGATATATATATACTTTTCATTATTCCAAGTATTATAGTTCTTACAGCAGTTCTAACCATTATTTCTTTATGATTATAAAACTTTGTTGCTTACCACAATAATGGAAACAAACTCATTCTTTAGTTGAAAAATAATTGTACATTATCTTCATCTATTCTTAATGCTAAACTTTTTAATAATGATATATAATAGTCCACAATTTCTTCATCAGTGAAATCATAATTATACATTATTAAATCCTAAATGACAGGATGAGACAGAAGATAATTAACATTTTCTTTATTTGTCAAATTAGCTCTAATTGATAGGATTAATAAATTACAATAAAATTGCAAAACTTTAAATTATTCCAATTATTATTTCTTTGAAGCTTGATCTTATCATAATCTTTAATAACTTATCAGCAATGTTTTCTTCAAAAAAATAACTAGTTATATTAAATTGAATTACTCAAAAAAATCTGAATTGTTTTAATCTCCCCAAATTGAAAATTCGCAAATTAATTCCACTTTTTCACAAATTAACTATTTACTTTTGTTGTCTATTATATTTGAATATTAAAGCAATTCTTGATAATGTTACTTATATTATTCTAATGTGTAATCAGAAGAGCCATTCTACTTTTTATTAGCCTTGTTCATTAGAAATAAAATAAATATTTATATAAATATATTAATAATTATTCCATATCAATATGATATATTCTTTAGAATACTTTTTACTCTTTTTTTCTCAATAGAACTTTGCTTTAAGTATTTTTTTTACATTTTTATTCATCCACTAAAACTTTCCTTCCCTTAAAACTAAAACCATTAAAGATTGTTGAGATTCTTATTCATCTTTAATTTATCTTTTTATAATCAAAAGATTTTATAAATTTCTCTCTAGTTTAATTCATCTTAGAAGTTCAGCTTCAATGTTAATATGATGAAATAAGTAAAATCCTAATAATTATCTTCATTATTAAGTTCTTTTTAATATTTCTATTAATCATATTTCAAATTGAAAAAAAATCCAAAATACCTTCTTTATAAGATGATAAATATTCAATTTTATAATAATTGTATCCTTAAACATTTTTGATAAATGTAATTGTGCTTTAATGAGTCATTAAATTATCGTAATTTGATACATTTTTAATATACGATTTTTCTACTATTTTATAGAATGCTTCATAGCTTTACCTATAATTTATTTTCTTATTTATTAATTTAAAAACTATATTAGTTATCATTCCTTTTGCTATTGATAAAATTAATATCATAAAGTATAATACTCAGATTAGAATGGGCTTTAACTTTTGTCAATATCTCTTTAATAATCTGTTCAATAGATGGGGTGATATTAAAATTAAAAAATATAGATTAATTATTTTTTAATGTAGGTTCAATTAATCATTTCAGTTTTACGTTTTCAATTTTAATTGACTCAGAATTAGCCTTAACTAAAATTGAATGCTATTATCTAATGTTAATGTGAATACATCATAAATATATAAAATATTATATATTATCAAAATGAATGAAGAAATCGATCATCATTTAGAGATGCAAGAGACTAATGCTATGCTGCTTTAGTAATTTGAAAAAGAGATGGAACTGCAAGAACCAGAAACTCCAAATAAATACTCAGATCATTCAGATCCACCTTCTCCTAAAAAATAATCTAAGAAAAAAGAAAGAATGGTTGAAAGATTATTAACTAATAGAGCAAAATTCAATGACAGAACAGCATTATTTAATTTAATCAATACTTTATAATTGGTAAAGGATTCAATTAAGTTTTAGGCTATAACATTATATAATCTAAGTTCAATTATTAATATAGAAGGATAAACAAATTTAAAATTTTATGATTCTAATACAATTTATAGCTTTTATGTTTGGAATAAGCAAGGATTCACAGTTTATTATCTGATTATCATTTTAATAATGGTTCATATTTTAAAATTATTAACATGTTTGGTTGGTACTAATTAAATATATCAAATAAGGTTATTTTTGTGTTGTATAAAAAAGTGAAAAATTGTTATCTATCTTTATGATGTTAACATTTACTTGTGTAATAACTAGAGGCATAATAACTATATTATTACTAATTGATTATAATTAAATAGAACTTATCTAATCTTATATATATGGAGATTCTGATAAAGTAGCATAATCCTAAGCTGTATAATTTATTATAGTTTTGATTCTATTTGTTGCAGTTGAAATTATAATGGGTTTATAAAGTCTCTTATTAGCAGGATAAGCTAAGAAAAAATATAAATGTAAAATAATTTATTTATATTTATAAAGCAATGCGAATTAATGAAAAGAAAATTTCTGCTCATTACTCAATGGCATACTAGATTATGTTAAGATAATTTGTAATTTGATTTTGTAGAATAAATATATATAATAATTATATTATAATTTGAATTCATATTAATTATCAAATAGAATTAAAGTTTAGATGCTTATATATTTATTTTTTTTAATAATTATAAATTTGAAGAACATTAAGTGTGGACATTAAAAATAATAATAATTTTAATATCTTAATATATCATTAAATTTTATTAATTTTGTTTTTATTAGAACTATTAAAAATTTTATTTTGATCTGAATTTGGTACAAAATTCTATTTTTAACAATATTGTATAGGAAAATTATGAGGTTTTGATATGCTTGGTTCTTATTTCTTTGATAATTAAGAATTTTTTCCATTTGTTTTTGTATATTTGATAATTTAATTGGTGCTACATATATTGTAAAATTAAAAGGTGTTGCTTGTATCAATTTGAGTGTTGTTTATAAAAAAATCACAATTTTCAAGACCTAAACATATAACAGAGTCTTTAATACAATAATCCTCATATACATCATCAGTAAGTATTATTTAGTTTTAATCTTAAAATTGAATTTAAAATTTATTTAATATAAAAATTTCTATTTAGTTTTTCTAATTCATCTCTAATTCTCTAGATATATACTGATCATCATGTATATCAACTTAATTTGATTTAATTTAAATCCTTGCCTAATCATTCTCTTTTATATATTCTTTTTATATTTTTTCACGTAACCACTTAACAGTATTATCTTTTGAAGTTTACAATTTTATTTTTTCATTAATTGGATAAATCAATATTTCAAAAGTAATATAATCAATTTTTTTGAATTCAAACAATATATTCAAAGATTAAATTTCAAGATCCGTAATTGATTTATATTAAATAGTAGAATCATCCACAAATATAGAGTACTCTTTAGGTATTGAATATTATTGTTTAATATCTTTCTCTATTTATTTTAAAGTGTTAGTTATTGAGACATTTTAGGTATATTCTTGATATAAATATTTGAATCGTAACTGTTAGGTTTCTTTATAACTTACAATATTTTTCATTATCGAACCTTTTTTTTATATTGTAAACTCTATTTTTAATTCAGTTTCCTTATCCTAAATCAAATTTGAAAGAAAAGTATTATCATTAATTTACTTTTCTTATAAAAAATATGAAATATCAAATTTATCTATTTTATTTGATGGAATTAAGATCCTATCTAAATTATTAATTTGTTATGAGGGATTTAAAGGTGTAGTCTTAATTTAAGAAGGATTTCTTTTATTTACTAGTATAATAGTTAAAATAGAATTATTATTCAATTAGTTATTGTAGGTTTCTTTAGTTTTTTAATTAGACTTATTTGAAGTATTGATATGTTAATTGGTGATTATAATTGTACTATTATTTAATATCATTTCATCTATAATCAAAGCTTAATGAATTAATGTCATTTATCCATACTATAAATCAAAATCCATATCTTCATTTAAATTGAATTCACTTTTGATTAATTCACATAAACTACTTACTTTTTCTTAAGAATTAATTTTAATCATCTTTGATCTACCATCATTCAATTTAATCAAGTATTATGGTTCATTTATTATTTCTATTTGAAAATCATAAATATAAGGATATAATTAATATAGTTCCAGATCGTAATCAATAATTTTATTTAAGTATTAGAATTATATAATTTCATTTATTGATCTTTTCCCTCTTATATAAGTGATCATTTTATGAACCTTCCAAGTAGATGGTATCTACTCTTAAAACCGTAAATTTTTGAATGTAAAACTTGCAGATAATAAAATTTAGATATCAACATGACTATTATTTGTTATTCCTGTTTCAAACCACATATTTTGTAATTTATAAGGTCCATTAATGCATAAAATATTGATTTCATATTCTTTATATGATTTTTTTAATTTCGATTTGATTATATTCTCGTACTTTCTTATTTATTCGATGTAGTCAACTTGTAGAGTAAAATTTTGATAATCACAAACACAATTGATCTATAATAATTAAGAATAATAAAAATAAAGTTCATCTTATTACCTTATTCCTTATGCTTGGATTGACTTATTGAAATCAAGTTCTTTATTTTTGAACATTAATTTAGTTTTCATAGTTGAAATTGAATTTTAAGGAAATAATTTCTCAGAAATTTAATGGCAAATTGAATAAGGAGTTCGGTGTTGGTCTTAATCAATTTATTAAATTTGATTTACTTGTGGGATTACAATTTTTAAGTAATTCATGATTGAGAGGAAATAATTGTTTAATAATAGAAAGATTAATATTGATTAATTAAAGTATATAAAAATAACTATATGTAGAAATATAATATTATAATAAGATGATTAGTGGATCAGCCAATCATGATGGAGAATTTTAGATAAAAATGCTAATATATCATATCAATTCTATTTAGGAAAATCCAAATATATAACTTTCTGTTTATATTAATATAGAAGGACAATTAAATGTCATTATAATTTGATAGAAAAGAAAGTTTCAATTTAAATATCAAGTTGATTGTAGGAAATAAGTTTTTAATATAATATTTGAATTTATAAAGGAATCAGATTGTTCAACAAACATATTGAATTTAGAATTTGATAAATTCCAAATTTATTTACCTTATCTAAGTCTTCTATTCATAGTGGAGATGAGAAAATAAATATGATGAAGGTTTTTTATATTTATCTTTTTTATTATTGATTGATGAATAGAAAATGATTGAAATTATGTACAATTTTATATATTTTTAGATATTTTTATATATTCTATCTTTTTAAATTGAATAATTTTTATTGATTTAGTATATCTCATAGTAAACTATATTTTAAACTAATTCAAATTTATTTATTTATAATGAATTGTATTATTTTAGAAACATCCTTAGATATTTATTAAAAGGTATATCTCAACAATTTTAAATAAGTTTAATAAATCTTAACTTTTTAAATAAATTTTATTGTGTAGTATAATTATAATCTAGTATTTTTCCAATTAATGAAAAAGGCATTGAATATACACCGATTATATTAAATTTCTGATTATTAATTCATATTCAATAAAAATCTCTATTATAAAATTAATTGAATTAGATGAATCTATAACTTTACAACATTTTTATGGATACTGTTTTTTATTATTTTATATGTCTTCTAATAAAAATATAGAGTAATCTCCAGAAACCCAGAGTATAAGAAATTCAATTCGACATTAGTCCTTATATTAGAGTGTACAAGAATTCTCAGGATATAAAGAAAAAATGTAAGATCTAATGTTACCAAATGTTGAATTTATAGATCCATCAAATTTTAAGAAATAAAATGAATGCATAGTTTGTAGCATAGAATTTACTTAGACTAATAGATAGCATCATTGTAGGTAATAATATTGATATTGCAATTTTAGAATGTGTGGAAATTCATGTTGTGGAGTATGTTCACAAAAAACAATAAATAAGAATAGGGTTTGTGATATTTGTTATATGAAAGCATCTTAAATAACTGCTGAAAAAAAGAGGACAAAATTTTTACAAACCTTAAAGGAATCTGCAAAAAAATTAAGAAAACATATAGAATAAGCAGAAAAGAAAAAATAAGATTTGAAAGAAGAACGAGATGCTTAATCGGATAAATCACAGATTGATTTAAGAGTAATAGAAAAAGAGACAGAGGATTATCGATTGAAGTATTCATAAAAAACTTAAGATAAATGTTAATACGAACAAGAAGTTGAAGAAATAAAAAAAAAAATATTAGAACTTAACACTCTTAAAGAATAAATTTAGTAAGAGTTTTAAGAAAAAGAATAAGAAATACGAGCTTATGATACTAATTTATATCTAAGGGATCAAGAATTAAATGATAAAAAGACTTAGTTACAAAGATTAAGATAATAAAAAGAAGAATTAGAAAATATGTCCAATAAAATTGAATAAAATCCAGAATTAGTTGAAGAAATAAGTATTCCAGAGCCTATTTAACCAATATAAAAAGAGTAACAATAATAATAATGGTACAACACTAATATTGATATTGATGAAATTATGTATGGAAATAGTGATAATTCTAAGGATTCAACAACTTTAATTAAACAAGAATTACCTCAATAATAACCAAAAAAATAAAATCCTAAAACACCAAGTCAAACAAAAGAAAATAATGAAAATGAAAATGAAGATAAATATAAATGTATTATTTTCTGATTTACAATATTAAGTGATTATCACTAACTATCTAATAATTATTATATCATGCTTAATGATTTTTGAATTTAGTCTTTGGCATTTTAATATTTTTTAAAATCTACTTCTGAAATAGCTTATTATAAAACACTTTTAACTTAGTTTCTCGTTTATGATTATTCAATTGGTGTTAATTTATTTATTTATGTCACTCCTTATTATGCTAAAATAATTATATAAACATTACTTTAAGGTTGCTATTATGATTATATTTATTATTAATTTATTGATTAAGGTTATTAAGGTATTTATGATAATTATGGTATTTAGGGTTATTATGGTTGTTATGGCTAATATGGCTATTATGGTTATTATTATTATTTTAACTATTATTATTATTATAACAAGAGTTATTATTATTATTATTATTATTATTATTATTATTATTATTATTGTTATTACTATTGCTATTATTATTACTATTATGGCAAATTTTAGGGAGTTTATATTTAAGGAGCTACAGGTTTTACAGTCTATAATGGTTGTTAATTAATTGCTTATTTATCTTAATATTATTATTATTATTATTGAATTTAATTCTACTATTGATGTTGTGACTTTTAAATTTATTATTAGGCAATTTATTCAAGTTCCTCTTCAATGGGATCTTTGGGTTTTGGTTTAATCAATGTAGGATCCTTAATTTTTTTATGTTATTCCACCATCTTAAATTTTGCATACTTTTCTATAAACATTAAAGTTAAATTTACGCTTTTCTTATTAATCTTAAGTCAGTGGTTCAAAGTATTGAAGTACTTCTATGGACTTTTGAACTGACCCAAACATATGCAAGAGTTCTTAGGAAACCTCTCCATCCCTTTCTCTAGTGTCTGCATCATAGAAGAACTTGTAAACAAACTCTGTATAATGCTTTTTGTTCTCTTCTTTATTTTATAATTAAGGATTCTAAGCTTTTAGACCCTCCAACTCGTTTATTAATTATTAGAGCATTTATAAGTAATTCTTTAGAAAATTTAATTAGAATTAATACCTATTGTTGAGTTTTTTTGTAGAGTGCATGTAATTTTTATGCAACATAGGCTTTTGCAATATATCCGAAAGTGATATTAAAACTACCAAGTTGTTAAGAGTGCTGGATTAGGGCTTGTATTTGTTTGAATTCTGGATTTTATTGCATGAATAAATAATTAATATATATATTAATATGTATTAAGGGGAAATAGTAATAATAATTTTAAAAAAGAAATGGATGAAGATTAGAAAGAATAAAGTAATGAGATTTAAATGAAACGGGCAGATTCTTAGTCAGGAGTACTAGATATGTAACCACCTTAGATAGGTGTAGAATAAGCAGCTTAGCAAGTACAGGAGGCGGATTAGGAAGATGATGATTGTAAGTTTGATTTTCTATTTTTAAATTAGAAGTTGTATAGACTTAAGTAGTGTAGGGAGATCAATAGGTAGTTTAAAAGAATGGAACTTAGAATGGAGCCCAGAATGGAATGAATTCTCAATCTAATATTCATTAATCAGCAATAATAAATAAACATGTGTAGGACATGTTGGATTAATCAGTTTATTAAGTTCCAGGGTAAATTGAAGAAGATTAAGCAAAGGAGGAACCAGCTAATCCTATATTAGATTTATTAGCTGAAGATTACTACCCTCCAAATGATTGGCAGGCAGAAAATCAAGAATAGATACAACCTTTGATTCATCCTGACACAATTTAATTCCATGATTGCTTTGGAATGGATTCAAATAAGAAAAGCAATTTGTGGTTGATAGATTCATAAACTTTTGTGTATGCAAGTAGTATCAGTTACCATTTTTATAATTTTGTATAAGGAACAAATGAGATATTTTTCAGTAGAGATGGAGGTGGTATAGGAAGTGTAGCAGTCCACCCATCAAGAAAATATTATTCAGTGGCAGAGAAAGGAACATTTCCTAATGTTTATATCTATGATGTGACTCATAGATTGTATAGAATATTGATGAAGGGAACTGAAAGATCATATTCAAATTCAAGTTTTTCTAAGGATGGAGATAAATTTGCAACTGTAGGTTCTTCTCCTGATTATTAAATCTGCATTTGGGATTGGAGATAAGAGAAGATTTTATTAAAGGCTAAAGCATTTTCATAGGAAGTTTATAAAGTAGGATTTTCTGAATATAATGTGAATTAATTGTCTACAAGTGGTATGGGTCATATTAAATTTTGGAAGGTGGCAGAAACATTTACAGGACTTAAATTAAAAGGTGAAATTGCAAAGTTTGGTTAAGTGGAATTATCAGATGTGTATGCTTTTTATCCATTTCCTGATGGTAAAGTATTGAGTGGAACTGAATATGGTCGTTTAATTTTATGGGAAGGTAATGTAATAAAAGTGGTCATTGGAATTTCTGAAGAGGAACCATGTCATAAAGGAGCTATTGAATCTATATTTTTATATAAGGATTGTATAATAAGTGGTGGAAAGGATGGATTTCTACGATCTTGGAAATTAACAGAATTGGATCAAGCTGAAGGAGATGATTAACTCAATTATTTCACTTAACCTTAAAAATCATTAGAATTGGTTGATGATGGAGAAAATGCACAAATAATTTAAGTAGTTACTGATGAGCATTTTTGGTTAGTTGGTGATTAAGGAGGTAGAGTTTGGAGAGTTGATTGGGAAACAGGAAAGAAGGAAATAGTATATAGAAACAATTCTGGTGCCTATTTGGATCTTTCACCTTCTCCTTAATTAAATGCTGCAATAACTGTTGGTGATGATGGAGCAATTACATTGTGGGATTATGTTAAGAGTGAATAAACATACAAACGTAAATTTGCTAAGAAAGCTACTTGTATCTAATGGATGCCATTTACTATGACTAATAAAGGTAGGGTAATTGTTGTTGGATATAGTAATGGTATTGTTAGATTTTTATTGCTCAATTAGGATAATTTTATTTTATTAAATGTTTAAAAAGTACATCCAAATCCTATTTAAAAAATAATTGTAGCTAGTAATACAAATTATGTAGCTGTTTTATCAACAAAAGGTGAGATCTTCTTTCTTAAATATTCTGATTCCAATATTCAAGATATATAAGCATATTGTTTATGGGAAACAAAACTTAGTATAAATGATTTTTGTTTTGATAAAACTGGAACTAAAATTTTGATGGCATGCAAAGATGGTTATCTTTATGAAGCTGTAGTACCAAATGATGTTGATAATAGTGAAAATTATCTATAAGAATTTAATGCTAATAAATATTTAGTTAGAATGATGGAATCTTAAAAACCTAAAAAAGAAGATCTTGATTTATAATTTCTTATGAAATTAAAGGATGATAAAATGCCAGATGTAGAGTGGGATCCTGCTAGTGTAATGAATGTTGCATATTATGGAGATAAGGTATTTTGTACTGCAGAGGGAAAATATTTAGGTTGTTGTTACATTATAGATCTTAATAAAGATAGACCAATAGAAATGATTCCAATATAAAAAATGTAGACTTTTCATTTGGATTATAAAGATGATGTATTGACAATAGGATATAAAAATGGATAATGGGATGTTCGTCATAAAACAGATTTTAATAAATAGATTAATAAATAATCTCATGATATGGATTATGGTCGTGTTCGTAAAGTAAGTTTAACTTTTGATAGAACAGGAGTTTTAAGTGTAAGTGATGATGGAACATTCTATGTTTATAAAATAGATTTCTAAAGTTTTTTAATGTAATTGAGTGGTACTGAAATTACAGAATTCTAATACCCAGAATTTACAATGGGAATCAATAGTGGAACATTTGCAGAAGAAATTCCCTCTGAAGAAGCTCAAGATATTTTAGATGATACTATATATTCAATATAATAAGCAAAATTGTTAGCTGAAGAAGATAATCGTAGAAATGAGGCTAATAAAAAGAAAGAGACTGTTAAATCACGTATTTTGTAATTAAGAGAATAATTCTCTTAAATGAGACAGAAGAATCAGACAGCAGAAGATGCTGCCAAATTGACTGAGGATGAATTATGTGTGGATCCTGAATATAAATAGATGTTGTTGGATAGAGTAGCAGAAGATGTAGAGGAAACCAGGTTAGAATTAGAGTGGGATAGAACTTTAGCAAAAATGAAAGCTGATAAATTAAAAGCATATATGATTGATGAACTTGAAATAGACAAATTTATGGTTAAAGGATTCAGAAATTAGGCTTCTGTTTAGACATTCAAAGTCAAAAAATTAAGCAATTTTCTTATTGAATAATTGAAAGAAACCTATCGTTTAATAGAAGAGGAACGAAAGAATTAAGAAAATCAACCTTAAATTGAGAATAAAACTTAAGAGAAAATTTAAGCATAATCTCAAGTCAAGATTACTGCAGTTGATATGAAAGAAGATTAGTAAAAGGCTACAATTTAATAAATGGATCCTGATTAAAAAGTGCCATAAGCAAAATTGGAGAGGGAAAGATTACGTTAAGAAGAGGAAAGAATTAAGAAGGAGTAAGAATTGCTTGAGAAATCAAAACCTATTGAATTGGCAAAACCAGAAAATGCTCCAGATATTTAAGAAGCTATCAAATAATATGGTGATTATAAATTAAAGAGTTCTCCTAATTATGAAGTACCTGATAATTAAAGGATGAATGTAAGTAAGAAAAGAAAACATATGTATATGTTAGAAGAATTTATTTATAATACTAAATTGAAATTCAATTAATAATTATTAAATTTAAAAAAAAGAAAAGTTAATTTGATAGATAAAATTAAAAAATATAATTAATAAATAAAGAAGATCAATGAATAATTGGGAAAATAAGAACAATTATTCTAACCAGAAATTGATAAAGAATTAGAAGATCCTCATAGTTTTATGGAAATTAGTGATGAATAAATTAATGAATTTATTAGTAAATTGTAATAATAATAATAAAAGAAGGATGAGTAAAAGAGAATTGCTCCTGCTCAAATTTCAAAACCAGCTGAATAAAATTAAATTAAGACAAGAAAGGGAATTAGAGTTTAATAATCAAGTTTAGAAGAAGAGATGAAGACTATTCAAGATATGGTATTAAATGCAGAAAAATAAAGAATGATTGAAGAGATGTAGGAAGAAATAATTCAATTTGATAAAGATGTTGTTAAATGTTAAAATGAAAAGAATGTTCTTGAAAGTGATATGTTGATAGCTTAAATGAAATTAGTAACATATTATTAAGAATTAATCATTTTAGAAGATATGGAAGATTTTGATAATAAATTAATAAAGGAAGTTTTAGATTTTAAAAAGGAAAAATAAAATTTGGAATAATAAGTTGAGAAGATTTTGGAGAATCTTGCAACATTATAGAAGAAGGAATAATAAAATGATAAAGATTTAATAGAATAATTAAAGGCATGGAAAGAATTAGTACATCCTGATGATGAATAAAAGAGAAATAAAATTCATGATTATTATCGTAAGAAATTCAAAAGAGAAATGTTAAAGAGATTGAAGAAATAATAAGAGAAGGAACATTCTGATTCTGAAGAGAATGAAGATGATGAAGAAAATGAAGATGATAATGATGATGATATTGTATCTGATGATGATGAAGAAGAAAAACCTGATATCTCTCCTGTTGAATAAGATCCAAAAGTCAGAGATGTTATTGAGAAAATATGTGGATTAGAAGAATAACAAGATAATTTCAAATAGGAAAAAATATAAAATGAATAATAAAAGTCTAAATTAGCTAATAAGATTGCTTAGAATGATATATATTTAAAGAGAGCTAATGATGATTTGACATAATATTAAAGGAAGAAATTGTAAAGAGTTAATTAATTGGATGTTAGTTTTGTATTGAAATTATCATAAGTTTAAAATCTTAATGATTAAAAGTAATTACCTGCTGATCTTAATAAATCCATATTATTTACTGAATATGATTTCTTCAAACTTTGTAAAAGAGTTATTGAATTGAAACATGAACAAGGAAAAATTACAAAATAAAAAGCTTAAAAAGATAAAACCAAGAAAATGTAAGAGAAAGAAATTAAATTAAAAGATCTTAGAATTGAAGATTTGAATAAAAAATATGAAGAAAAACATATGCTTAAATTTGGAGATATTATTGATCTCAAAATACTTGATGCTTTAGAACCAACTAAAGCAGTTTTAGATATGAGAGCATAATTCAATTTAGAAGAAAAAGAAGCTCAAAGAAAAGTTTCTAGAGCTAAGGAAGAATTGTCTAAAGTGAAATAATAATTATTAGAAGTGAAGAGAGAAAATACTAAGATTTTTACAAATATAACAAAATTAGGAAAATAACAAATGGATTTAAGTAAAAAACTAACTTCTGGAAATAAATAATTGTTTAAGGGTGATAATAAAGAGAAAAGATCAGATATGGATAGTGATAGATAGAGTTTAGAGGATCTTGTTAAATTTTTAGGTAAAGAGATTGAAGACTTAAAGAATGAGATTGGATTATATAAAAAGAAAGGTATATTATTATCTATAAATTAGGTGGACATATATATACAAGTATTACATAAACAAATCAAAACTTTGTTTAAAGATGATATCTAAATCCAATTATTATTAAAAAAAATCAAACTATATCATAATCATCTTCATCATCCATATCCCATTGATTTTGAGCTGAAGGCTTGAAATCCTTTTGTACATCATATTTATAATTTTTATCTCCTGGTTTAACAGAATTTTTCTTATACATAGATTCCATAATTTCTTTGTGTTTTTTTAATTCTTCAGTTGTCATCTTATTTAAATTCAATTGATTATATCCCATTTTTTAATAGAGCATTTTATATTATTCATCTGTAATTTCATCATCTGATTCCTCTTCATAATTTTATTCATAACATTCTTCATCTTCATCTTCATCATCATCTTCTAAAACAGGTTATTTACCTTTTTAATTTTTCATAGCATAATTATATAAATCCTCTTCAGACATACCATAGTCTTCAATATCCTTTTATAATTTAGATTATGTTTTAGACATATTTGTTGATGCTTAAGTAGAAGAACTCATAGGTCTTGTTGAACTTGTTGGTCGTTATAAAGTAGCATTTGCATTTACATTTGGTTTTGTAATTTATAATCTTTTTTAAATCTTTCCAATTAACTCTATTTTATTGATATAACATTTGCTTACCCAACAATTACTTTTCTGGAATCTTATTACTCATAAAGTACATAGCATGTTTCTTCTTTAAATACTCTAAAGCATGATTAGCTGGAGTATCAGGTTTCATTTTAAGTAGTTTCATTTTATGATGATATAATTTTCCTGAGGATGGTTATAAGTATTCAACAACTAATAAATATTAATTGAATATTAACTGATCATTGGAGGATCAAATCTAATTGCTAATCTTTTAGGTTCCATATTCGATAACTTTTTACTCTTATCTCCTGTATCATTCTTCTTTGTTCCTCCTCCTGTAGTAGTCTTTTAATTTATATCAAAATTATATGGGTCTTTTGTTGCAGTTTTAGCAAAATTATACATAAAATATTAACTTACAGATTTAAATTATTAATGGGACAAAATAATTGTACTCCTAACATACCTGGATTGGAAAATTGTTATGCAAGATAAGAGTAAACAGATGAAAATAAATATCCTTATTTAGTAGCTAATAAACATAGATTGGCAGAATCATAAAATTCATAAATTTTTGAATTATATCAAAAATAACAAGATCAACTTAGATGTTATTTATAGTCTTCTCGTTAATTATCTTAATCTACTAGACGTAATTATGAATTTGAAGGACGTTTTCTTAAACTTCCATCACATCTCATATGTCACATTATGTATTTTGTTATTGATGATTATCTAAACTTATTATTAGTTAATACTTTATGGTATACAAGATTAAATGAAGCTTTTTCAAAAACTGTTAGTATAGTTGATGAAAAATTTTAATAATCACATTCCTTTTTAAAATTAAAGTAATCAAAAAATGCTTTTTAAACTTTTCAATTTGGAAGACAATAAGGTTTCAGATTAGATAGATGTCTAATTGCAGAAATCACTCCTGGAATTGAAAGTAGCATCTAATATTTATTAGAGATTCGATTGTTAAAATATCATACAATTACCTCTGTAAAGGATAAGAAAAAGCTGTTTGTTACAAATTTGCAATCCTAAGAAAGAATACTGTAAGAACCATATGGATTGGAGTTGATTAAAGCACTGTAATAATCTATATTATTATTTCTATAGAATATATATGATAAACAAACAATTCCTATAATCTAACCAGTCTTACCCTTTTGTGTTGGAGATTACATCAAAATTCCATTTACTTTATTGAATCTTTAAGGATAAGTAAATTTATAAAGTATTAAATGGAATAAACCATAAATTGAAAAACTTGATGTAGGCATTTTTGGAAGTATCATTAATCTAATCTATAAATTTAATAGATCCCAAACATGTTTCAATGTAACCACCTTCTAGATTCGAACCTAAAGATGCAGATTGGACTTTATTTTAATACTTTAATCATCCTATGAAGAAATGCTTTGATAATTTTTAGCAAATTAAATTAAAAGAGTGTAGATGTTGTGGTAATGGATTAGTTATAAATCGTATGAATTACACATGTGTTTCAGAGGGATAACTCATGTTTCCATAATTAAATATGAAAATGATTGTTAAATAGGGTTGTATAACAAATCAAATTAATCGAGCTACTGTTAGTTATGAATTGGATAATACTTTAGAATTAAGAATAGGAGATTTATTAACACTATACTATCTAAGAGGAGGAGACTCTTGAATTATAATATATATATATATCAGAAGGGATTGTTTAAATAGATTTTTATTTAAATAAATAAATAAAATAATATAATTATGTACGAAATACAAGATCTAGACTAAAAATAAGGAAATACATATTAGAATGATTAATAATTTAAAAACCTTTAGTAACAAATAAATTACAATATGTAACTTATTACTATTATATTAAGACAACCAAAATTTTAATAGAATTCAGAATTGATATAATATGAGTAACCCCTCATTCTATAATTAGTATTAAATAAAATTGAGTCACTTGGAAAAACTATATCATAAGTATTAGCTATTGAGATGTTTAAATAATTTACTACCAAAACTAGAGGATGGAGTTCATATTTATTATAAAATGAAATTTCAGAGTAGAGAAGGAATTTTTTAAATTTATAAGAGGATTGTTTAAAAAATGGTTTATAGGAAGAGTGGTAGGTAGCAAGAGAAGAATTCAAGAAGTTTTTAAAGATTTTAGAGGATTTACTTTAAAATTAAGAGCACAAATAATTATTATAAAATATTCTATAACCTCCACCTGCATTATCTTTTATAATGATTCAACCAGACATGAAGTTCTTCAATGCATTAGAGAATTATCATTATTAATCAAAAATAAATTTTCATAATTCTTTGTAGTTGGATAATACAGGATAAGATTTATTGGAAAAGATATAAACTTATAAGAATGAATTATCAAAATTTCTTTATTTCAAATTCATTGAATAAGGAATTAGACATCTTGATTAACTTTTAAATTTTGTTTTGATTCATAAGATTTAAAATAATTAGTTTACATTATAATTATTAAATGATTATATTAGATAATTGAGAACTGAGAATGATAAATAATAATTATTGAATGAGATTTAATTAATAATAATAGTCTTTCCTGAATTAGCTTAATATTTTTAAGAAATTTATAATATTATTAATGATGAATTGCTTTATTTTGATGGCAGGATAGAACTTAAAGAGTTATAATTTGAGATTGTAATGCTTATATATGATTATATCATAACCCCTACAAGAGTATTGAATAGAAAATTGTCTAATAAAACTATTTGTGTTATGCAACAATTAAATTGGATTTATTAGACTGGATCAATTTAAACAAAGTAAAAATAATTAAAAGATTTGAAGAAATATATTAAATAAAATCATAGTTAATAATTATAACTTGATCTTGATTACCTTTCTGATCTATTTATTTCAACCAAATTGAAATTATTAATGAAAATGATTCAACAAATAAATGTTCTTTAAGATTCTGATATCAAATTTGAATATTTTAATTTTCATGCATTTTCATTTTAAGATTAGGATATAATCTAATAATGTCTAAAATAAGAGGATGGTCATTTTTTAAATATTTACCATGAACCTTCAATTGATGAATAATAAATAAATATCTAATAGGTTTTCTTTCAATTTAATCATGTTATTGAATTTGCAGCTCATTGTGAAATGGATCTTAATAAGAATGCTTAAAATAATAGTTTAGAGTAATACTTTTCTTCATTATATTAGGGAACTAAAGAATAAGATAAAGGACTCAATATAATCTCTTGCAAATTAAATAACATCAACTAAAACAATTACAAAATTATAAGCTTTACTGAATCAGATTTTTTGGTTTTAAAAATTAAATGGGAATACTTTTCCTGTTTTATATCAATATAACTAAGAAATTAATGATATACAATTGAAAAAATAAGATATTATTGGTTATGAAGAGGTAGTTCCTAATTTATATTTATTATTATTGAATTTTGATTAGGAAAAGGATAAAGATATATTATTCTAAAAGAAAGTTAAAGAAATAACAGAGTTAATATCTGAAGATTATGCTGTTGATTTTAGTGATTTGATTAAAGAAATAGAATAATTTGATTAAAAAAATAAAACAGCATTTATAAAAAATGCTAAATAATATTATTATAAGGATTTCAAGGTACATCTCTTAAATTTAGTACAATATGGCACAAAATAGTTCTAAGAAGCAATAAACTATTTAATTTAATAAGTAGATCCATGAAAATTATAGTTTAAATTATATAAATTTATTTAATAATAATTATTTAATAAATCATTGTTATTAATAGGAATATGGAGGATTAGAATTTTTAATGTATTAATTATTTTGATTGAATTGATTGAACTATTTTATGTAATTTTATGTATTGAATTCAATAGTCTAAAACTGATTATTTTAAAAATTTAATTGTTTTTATTAAGGTATAAATGGTTAATTTGAGTCAGAGTATTAAGGCAATTAACCAACAAAGTTATTCTGTAAAACATTCTTGTTTAATCCTTAATTTAACTAATATTATGAAGGATTAAAGGATTTAGGGGGATTGTCTTACTTCATTTAATTATTACTATTTTCATAATTAATAAATACGAATGCCATTGCCCTTAATTAATTTATGGTTTTATTGCCATTTTGATTTATTAGTTTGGAACAATTTGATTTTAAAAAGTAATTTAAGGTTTTTAATTTTAATACATTTCAGGATTCATTGGATCAAAATCCATATTTTTGAGTTATTAACGAGAAAAACTCAAAAGAATTTCACTCTTCTGACAATTATTATCATTTTCTAAAGATTTGTCCATAAAAAATGATTAACAAAATAAATAAAAATATTATTATATTATAATTTGGATACGAAATAAATATATAAGTATTAAGTCAATTTATTAAATAAATAGATAATTAAATTAAAAATAGGTACCCCAATTCAAGATAAATTATTTTTAAAGTAAGTTGTGAGTTGAGAAATTTAAATTTTTGATTAAGAAATATTTATGTGAAAATAATATTCTATTCGAAAACAACCATGTAATTTATACCAAACTTATCAAATAAATTCATTTCCAATTTCGATATAGTATTTTATTCATGTTTGTTTAATATATAAGAAATTCTTACATGGATTAGTGTATATATAAACAAAACCTTTATTTAATGGTGTTTTTAATCATTGTACTATACACCTGATAAAGAGAGTACCCTATTTATTATATAAATTTTTACAATAGAAAACAGGCTATAAAAATTATGATATGATCTCTTTGAGAATTAGAAATAAATTATTTATAAATATTTATAATATAATTTATATTTAAATTTTAGAGGATTACCCATTTTTAAAATTACTTTTGATAATAGATAAATTGAAATTAGTTTAAAGAATATGAATTTCTATTAAGTATTAATTTTCTGAAGAATTAAGACTTAAATATGTAATTATAAGAATACATTTATTTTTATTTGATTAATTTTATTAATAAACATATAAATTATATTCACAATATATTTTAGAAATAATGAATAAGTTTATTAAAAATAGCAGTCCCAACTGAATAATTATCAATAATAAAATTTAAGATAACAAATAGATAAATTTATTCTTGTTTATATTTTACAAAATATTATAATAAGTTGTTCTTCATTATATATAAAAAATGGAATAATTGATTCTATTAATTTTATGTTTAGATGAATATATTTTAAATAAATATTAATGTAAGCATAAATTTCTGGCGATTTAGAAGCTTAAATAAGGATCGCCAATGAGTAGATATCTATAGAATAACCACTTATGGAGTAGGAGACAGAGGATAGAAATAAGGAATAGGAGGAGGAGTTGACTGAGGAACAGAAGGAAAGAAGAAGAAAAATATTGGAAGTTCAATTGGCTAATAAAAGATTATTATATAGTATTCATAATAAGGATATGGAAATCTTTAGAGTGAAGAAAGAAATTGAGGATCAAAAATAATTATTAGCTGAGCTTTAATAGTAAGAGTAAGAAATTGTTAATGATTCTTATTTATCTCACAGAGCATTGGTTTCATATGATACTTATTTAAGAGGAACACTTAGGGAGTAGGATAGAAAAATATATGAATTAGAATTAAATAATGCAGATATAAGTGAAATATCTGCCAGAATTGAAAAAATAAATAAAGAATATGAAAGAAATATTTAACCTCTTGTTGTTGGAGATTTTAAAACTTAAATAGATGCAGATATTAAGAGTTCAAAAAATTAAATTGATGCATTGAGAAATTAATTTAAAGAGATTGTAGATGATATTGTGAAATTACATGAAAAACATCTTGATAATATAGACATGTATTCAACTTTATAGAGATAATTATAAGTAATATTATTATATATATCTAAAAGGAATAATTATTAGCAAATGAATAATTAGATTATGAATTAAGTCAATTAAAAAAGAGCAAGGAGTAAAGTTGATTCATAATTTATATATTTATTCATTAATATATCATTTATATAATATATATAAGTTATATTATGATTATAAGATGATTATTTTAATTGTATCATTATAATTTGCCTAATTTTTACCACATATTATGATTATCTGAATAATTAGGAACAGAAAAGACAATCTACTTTTTAGTAATTGGAAATATTTGATCTAGAGTCAATGAAAAAGCATCATCAAGCATTCTAGGAATTAGTTTTTATAATAATGGACTAGATTCTTCTAAACATGGATTAGAATTAATTTCAATAAGCCAAACTTTAAAATCATCATCTATCATAAAATCTAATCCAAATATCTCAAAACAGTATCTTCTTCCAAGAACATTGATTTTCTTTCTAACTGATTAAAATGCTTTCAAAGATATTTGTTTAATATTTTCTACTATCTAAATTATAATATAATTTGATAACCTATTTATAGAAATCTCCTTTATTCTTAAAATATGTAGCTGCTTAATCAAATGATAATTGATTTCCATCTTCTAATTTACCATAATTTGGACTATATTTTTATATTGCATTATTAGTCAAATGTACATATTAATTTAATACATTTTTAGTTGTGTATTCTTCAGATGCCATTCTGATATATCCTTACTCAAAAAAAAAGAATTCAAGATCTTAATTTAACAATCCCCAAACTCTGATATCAAATTTGCGATTATTAATTAATAATGGTTTTTCTAAATATTTTTAGATAACAAATTATTTTGATTTAATAATTTAACCATCTTTCATTTATTATTTACCAGAAATATATTAATCTAGTAAATGAGTCATTTAATCCAAATCTTTAATTACATGTATACCTCTACCACGATTATATTGAGTTGGTTTTAATATCCAAAGATATTCATGTCCATAAAATGTACTTGGAATTTTAGATTTGTTGATTTATATAATCTTATCGGTAATCTACATGTAAGTATTAAGTTAACGTCTGATAATATAAAATTTATTCTATGAATCATGCAATTTAATAGATTAAGGAGCATTATTTTCATAATATTAAAGGAATTATAATAACCATATATCTGCCTTTTCGGTAGTGAAATCTAAAACAAAGGTAAGAGGAACAAAACTCAAAATATCTAATTGATTTTCCTATTTAAGTTAGGGTATACTTCACAATATTGTTAGAGATTTCTAAAAAGATTACTCTTTTATGATATCTCTGAATGAAATTCAAAATGGTTGACTGCCTATTTGATTTTATTGCTTTATAACAATCTATCATACTGGTAACCTTTTTATGTCTATTACCACCTAAAATTTATTAATGAATCATTCTTATTGTTTGTTGATATCCATTCATTACGTTTCGAAAGAACTCTTTGTACTACTTGATGATTGTTACCAGTTCCTAAGAAGTAGATATAATTATTTTTTAATAAGGTTGGCAATGGTACAACTTTGTTTTGGTCATTACTTCTTACATCTTTTCCAAGTATAACTGATTAGGTTAGTTTTGGTTAATCTTTTAGTTTAATATACTTAGATGCTAAGGCAATTGCTAATTATTTTGGATTATTTAAATGAGGCAAGGCAGACATTTAATTTTAAATGAATCTTGTAAATCTAGCTGTATCAATCTGTTAAACATCCTTCACTTTTACTTAGGGTAGATTCATCTTTATATATAATAATAATAATTAATCATGTAAACTTCTTCCATGGATTTTCGAAGAATGAGTCTTTGATAAAATTATCATAACTTTATCCATTCCATTAGAATTTCTCTTCCCATTTTTTATTTTTCTTATCTCTCTTCTGATTTTAAGTAAACATTTCTTCATTTTTACGAGTATATTCTTTTAAAAAAGGAAATTTATCCATAATTAATAAAAGTAATCATCATTTGAAACCAGGGAGAACCGTCGGCTTACTCAATTTTAACAACCTTCTCTTATTTAGGTACTTCATAGACACGAAACCTAGTCTCAAATAAAATCTAAATATATACAAACAAATTATATACCTCATCAAATGATTACAATCTCTACCACATCTCTTATGAAATGTTTACATTCTATTAATAAATCTTTTGAATTCATTCAAATTTAATTAACCATTCTTGCTTAATTAAATAATCATTTATGCTATATCTGGATTCTTATTAAGATTACCAAACATTGTTTCGAGAATTTTATCATTTATTTCTTAAGCTAATTCATATCCTGGTATTCTATTGATTGCCTTTTATATGATCTCTTATTCATTCTATTCTGGTATTTCATTTGCTATTTAATCATAAAATAATTATTCTTCTTTCTGTTTATCATCTTACTCTTATTAAACTTTATTTAAAACTAGATCATCTTTTGTTTTATTTCTAGGAGTATAATATTCACGAGGAGATATAGTTTATGATTAAGTACCTGTTGTAGTATACATTCTTCTATGTTATTGATTCAAATGTTTTTCCTCTTATTATTCATAGATTTTCTATTTCAATGATTTTCCTTTTGATATATTTTTTTGATCTAATTATAGACTATTTTATGTTTAGGATGTATATAATTCTTATTCAAGTTTCAGAGCAACCATTTTTTTTTGACGTATTGAAGGTGATGGAGAGGGGAATATATTTGTTTAATGAGATGATTATTGGTTTCGAGGAGATGGTAGATTGGAATTGGTATTTGATGATTGCATAGGAGAATTAAGATTACCTATTCCCATAGTTCCAGCAGAATTGAAATTGAAGGTACTGCTTGTAGTAAGTTATTGTTATGAATTGATTTTAATATTTGAGTTTTAGAATTTTAAAGTTTCATTTTATTCATTCTATTCTATTTCTTATAATAAATTTTATTATTAATCTATCTTAAATATATTTGAAATCATTGTTAAATCTGTCTATTAATATTGATCTTTAGTTTCCTTTTTATCCTTTTAATCTAATTTAATAGAACTTTATCTATTCATATTTATATTTTAAGATGATTTTGCTTTTGATAAAGGATAATGTGGTGTCAATTAATTAGGAGAAGTATTTATTATCTTAAGACCATCCATTTTATTTACTTATTATTCAATTCTTTTATAATTACTATTAGTAGTAGAATTATTTTTATTGTTTATTATTTATTGTTAATGTTATGATTATTCAGTTGGCAAACTAACTTTGATTGCAGGTTTATCATTATTAGATTCAATTTCGAATGAAGTTTAGAGTAAATTCTTACTAAGAATATTTTATTTAAATTTAATTTCTAAGTTTCTCATTGATGATAATGGATCAATATTATTTGATATTTAACTATTGTCCATATTATCATTCTATAATAAATCATTTTCTTCAATATCCTTTATCAAATCAGCTAATTCATGAATTTAAGAACTTGCCTTCTATTCTAATATAAATTACATTTGAGTTAATCTTCTTGTTTAATTGTTCCCATCCAAAGCATTTACTAATTTAACTAATCTTTCCATTTATTAAGTTTTCTTTTAAATATTGAAATTATCTTTTGGACTTAAATATATTTATTGTTTTGATGATTATTATTGAGATTAATCTCTACTTGTAGTTCTAGGATTACCTGATATTGCATTTATTATTATTTCATCATTACTGCTAGATGATAGATATCCTCTTTCTCTATCACTATTCTTATTAATTAATTTTGAATATTCCTTATATATATTATCTAATTTTTATTTGAATTCAGATTTTTCACCTTCTAATTATGAGAGTTATGCTTACATTATTTTGAATTATCTATCTTTTTATTCATTAAATACTTGAAGTTCTAATAATTAATTATCCTTTTTTGAAATATCATTTTGTGCTGATTCTAATTTATTTTTCAATATCAAAATTTCATTTACATATTATGAACATCTACAATCTTCTTTATTATTATTATTTACTTTTTTCTTTATTTTACTTTTCATCTCATTTATCATTTATTATTACTTTTCTTTCTCTTAATATCTTTACTTATATCGATTGATTATAGCAATTGCTGTTTATTATTATATATGATGAATGTGTTATAAAAGGAATTATACACTATTATCATAATTTTGAATTCCCATATTGTCTGTATTGACTGACTTCAGTATTTATTCCAAATTTAACCTTTTAAATTGAATATCTGATATAACTATATCTAATTCTTCTGGCTTTCCTTAAAATTCAATATCTAATTATTTTTTATTAGCCAAAGCTTCACTTAACATAGATATAGTATCATTTGTAAATTCTAACCACTCTCTCATTTCTTCTTCTCTCCTCAAAATATCACTTGATGCTTTCTAACAATTTTAATAATAGTCAATAATAGTGCTAGTACCTACATCTTAATAGGTTCTTAAATTTTTAGTTCCTTAACCTCTACATTTATAATCACTCCAAGGTATTTGTTGATAATTTTTTATATATTATGGAGTACCTAATTAATCAATGATGTTGACACTTCCTAATTAGAGTTCATTAATAAAATCTGGAAGTTAGGGTGTCAATAGAATAGATTTTGGTTCAGGATGAGGTTTAATTTAAGATTAAGCCTATTCTAACATTTCTCTTATTAGATTAAACAATTTATCCATGACATTTCCAATTTCAACACTTATTTAACTCTATACAATTAAGACACATTCAGAGAAAACCTCATAGCATTCAACATCAAGTTTAGAATTGTTTATTTTACTCTTTTTTTAGAGATGTTCAACAAAACTTTATAATCTCTTTATTTACTCTTCCATTTTTTTAATTTTATATAAAGAAGGTTGAAATAATAAAATAAAAATCATATAACTATATAAACATCAATCAGGTATCACCTATTTCATTTTCAAGAGATCTCATAATTCTCTAATGTAAACTATTAATAGAACTAAGCATATGTTATTCAAATTTCAATAGAAACAAGAGATCTTTAGTCATTTATTGTTTGATATTATTTTATGATTATATGGAGGTTTACATTTGTTTAAGTTTTTCTTTATTGTTTTTCTTATCACTTTTAGAATAAGTTATATTTGATTTATTCTATTGGAATCCATCTAATTCAATAACATCATCATCGAAATTGATAGAGATCTCACTAACAGACATTTAAAATAATGATATTGATGAATATGGTATTATTTAGGTTTATAGAATATGGGGATGTAATCACTTTTTAGATGGTAATATCCTCTATAATCTCTATTAATCTTATTAATTGAACAAAGGAGTCAATCGAGTTGCTGAAGCTGAAGGTTATACTTCTGTCACTGTTCTTTACTTCATTCTCTCTTGTAATTATTGTTGAGCTTATTAGATTGGATCAACTTATGCCTAAGAAAATTTTAATATATATACATCATTTCTGCCAGTTAGAATTTTATCATAGAAATTTCTTAGTTGCTAACTCTATTATGATCCTCTGGCAGATAATGGTTAATCAGTAGGTGGTGGTGGTTATTAAGCAGCTGGTTATTCCACTTATCTTTAAATTGGTAGTATGGGTCTAGTTACAGGTGCTTAAGATGATTTCTCCTTTAATTTAGTGAAGAATTCTTAATCATCCTCAACTGTCAATTCCTCTTTAACTAAATTCTATTATAATATTATTAATATGAGACTTTACTTTTTTTAATTATACTACTGGTACACTCTCTTCATATTTAATTACACTATTGGCTAATTTAGTGAAAGTACTCTTTATTATATTAATGTCATCTTGACCCAAGGGAATAAAGAGACTTTCAAAATCTGATAAATTTTTGTGTTATGATGTTTCAAATGGCATATTATACAAACGATGTAACACATATTCGTACATTACCTTAATGTTGATCTTTTGCTTCACAGAAGTAAAAAGCAAAGTTGCACCATCTTATTATAAGTATGTTAACTCTTACAATTCACACAAAATTAACGTAAACAAAATTAAATGATTTCTGCTTTCTAATCCCAATCCTTTCCTTTGTCATCTCTTTCTAAAATGTCTGATTTATTCACCATAACCATCAATGGTATTCCCAAATTTGTCTTCAATAAACCTTCATGTACTTAACCTCCATCCATTTATGACATATATTACATCACTTTTATTATATCAAACATATATACCATTTGATTTCATCTCTTCCAATTCATTTAGACTTAATCTTAAATCAGCCATCATATCCTATAATACACTAATCCATCTATCTAAGTCTTCCATGAACGTCCAAGGCTCTTACATGTCCAATGCTATTACAACAAAAGTATTTTTGATATTTTTGTGATTCAAAATCTGAGGTAACANGGTATTATTTAGGTTTATAGAATATGGGGATGTAATCACTTTTTAGATGGTAATATCCTCTATAATCTCTATTAATCTTATTAATTGAACAAAGGAGTCAATCGAGTTGCTGAAGCTGAAGGTTATACTTCTGTCACTGTTCTTTACTTCATTCTCTCTTGTAATTATTGTTGAGCTTATTAGATTGGATCAACTTATGCCTAAGAAAATTTTAATATATATACATCATTTCTGCCAGTTAGAATTTTATCATAGAAATTTCTTAGTTGCTAACTCTATTATGATCCTCTGGCAGATAATGGTTAATCAGTAGGTGGTGGTGGTTATTAAGCAGCTGGTTATTCCACTTATCTTTAAATTGGTAGTATGGGTCTAGTTACAGGTGCTTAAGATGATTTCTCCTTTAATTTAGTGAAGAATTCTTAATCATCCTCAACTGTCAATTCCTCTTTAACTAAATTCTATTATAATATTATTAATATGAGACTTTACTTTTTTTAATTATACTACTGGTACACTCTCTTCATATTTAATTACACTATTGGCTAATTTAGTGAAAGTACTCTTTATTATATTAATGTCATCTTGACCCAAGGGAATAAAGAGACTTTCAAAATCTGATAAATTTTTGTGTTATGATGTTTCAAATGGCATATTATACAAACGATGTAACACATATTCGTACATTACCTTAATGTTGATCTTTTGCTTCACAGAAGTAAAAAGCAAAGTTGCACCATCTTATTATAAGTATGTTAACTCTTACAATTCACACAAAATTAACGTAAACAAAATTAAATGATTTCTGCTTTCTAATCCCAATCCTTTCCTTTGTCATCTCTTTCTAAAATGTCTGATTTATTCACCATAACCATCAATGGTATTCCCAAATTTGTCTTCAATAAACCTTCATGTACTTAACCTCCATCCATTTATGACATATATTACATCACTTTTATTATATCAAACATATATACCATTTGATTTCATCTCTTCCAATTCATTTAGACTTAATCTTAAATCAGCCATCATATCCTATAATACACTAATCCATCTATCTAAGTCTTCCATGAACGTCCAAGGCTCTTACATGTCCAATGCTATTACAACAAAAGTATTTTTGATATTTTTGTGATTCAAAATCTGAGGTAACAAATACTTCTGCCCCTCTTCTTCTAAAATATACACATTCAGACGAGCATTCGTGTTGTAATCAGGGTCTCGAAGATCTATCAAATTTAAGTAGGCATAATCCACTATTGGTGTAATGCCTTTTTGTCGAATAGCATCTACAAAATACTATGAATCAATATACTCTTAAGAGTCTTTGTAATTTCAGCCAAAGAATCAAGTAAACTTCTTTTTCCACTACACTTTCTTCCTAATATTAACAAATTCTTATTTATAAAACCTCCCTATCTACTTTTCTCAAATAATAGTTAATTCCAAACATTCTCTTTTTTACTCATTAATTTTAATATGGGCGCTTGTAAATCTTGCACTCAATAACCATCACCAGAAATCAAATCAGGTGATATGGAATAACCTGGTATTCGTAGTGAATCAATACATATGAATAGTAATCTCCCTATGGAATAACCTGGTATTCGTAGTGAATCAATACGTAAGATTAGTAATCTCCTCAATGAGTTTTAGGCTTTTCAAATTATAAAGAAGACTTCATATTCATTTATTTAAGATGCTGCATTCAGAAATGGAAGAGTCATTACAAAGAAATTAATCAATACACAAGGGACAGTCAAACCAATTAACTTATCATAACTACATGAAGTAAATAAAGGATTGGAACAACTCAAAGCCCTTGCAAATAAATAAGATAAATGTGAGATTGAAAAGTCAATGAAATTCAAATGTGGTTTAGAATTAGGAGATAAATTCCCATTGATAAAATTTCATATGCTTTTGAAGGCAGAATCTTAAACAATAGTATTATAAGATAATACTTATACTTTAATAAAATCTTGGGGTTAAGGTGAATAGATGGTGAATTTCCAACATGCCATAGAATTGGTTGATTCATTCAAAAATGTACAATTTTAATTGATTGGCTTAACAAGAGGCAATGAGGAATAACAATCTGTATATGAAGAATTAGTGAGATCTAATCCAGGATGGTAATAACATTAACACATTTATGTACTTACAGAAGAACCAGAAAATCATATATTCGATATATTTTATTAGGAATAAACAAATGATATTGAGGAAGGATATATAGCAAGTGCATTATTGTTTTATGGTTAGAATTTGATTTGGAAAAGATATGCATTAGAGTGGGATATGTCAGCTGATTCTGATGAGGTAGCTTTGGAAGTAACAAATCTTTTGAATACTGGAGTAAAGGAATATGTGGGAATAAGAGAAATGAATTAATAAAGCAATATAAATAAATAATAATATTTGGATTTAAAGAGATTTATATTATAATAACAATAATAATAATAATTTACTAGAAGTGTGGAAGTCACTTTAAATAAAAAGACTATTTATGGTAAGAATAATAAATAAGTTATTTATGAGAAACCAATAATTTAAGTGTCATGTTCACCTAAATCATAATAGATTACAGAAAATTTCATTAAACCTCTGTAATAAAAGCCATTAATTTGGGATATATAGATTTTAAAGAAATTATTGACATAAAAAATTAAAGAAAATAATCTCAATATTGAAGCTTCTTTAGAGAAATAGATTAAAATTTAAATAAATTATGAAAATAATTTTATATAAATTCCTAATTGGGAATTAGCAACACTTACTCCTTATTACAAATCTACTTAATATATTTCATAAGTTAAATAATGGATACATGCTAGAGATCGTATTTTAAGCGAAGTACAGGATTCCAAAGATCCTGTATTATAAAAAGTAAATAAAATGATTTATCAATTTTTCAATAATATACCAACTGTTGAGAAAGTACTGAATTAATAATATGGTAAAATTCCATATGCAGAGAAACGTAAACCTCCATATGAAGAAATGTCTGTATCTAAGAGTTTAGGTAATGAAGAGATTACAAGAAAATAAGATAATATATTGTTTATTTTATTGATTGATTATGAAAATGATGATACTTTGAATATGTTAAAGAATTTAATAAATTTTAAGAAAAATGCTTTTATACAATTGTAGATTGCTGTATTAGGACATATTAGAGCAGAATCTTGGACTAAATTATTCTAAGCCTTTATGGAGAAACATTAATTAGATGAAGATGCTTAGTAAGGAATAATAGAAACATGGTTTCCAGTTGAAGATAAAATAGGTTCTATATCCTTTAGTGCAATTTTAAGTAAGATGTATGGGATGAATTTGGAAAAGAGAGATTGTATGTTAGTTGATTTGGATAATCAAGTTCGAATTATTGATTCAAGTAGAAGAATTATTCCAAAAATTTCTTAGATTTTGAATGATCTACAAAAAAAAAATTAAATTTAAGAAAAAGAATTTATGTATAATATTTTTTAAATTTCTAGAAACTATTTGAATTAATATTAACAATTTAAAAGATCTATTCGAGACAATCCATAATTGTTATAATTAACTTAACAAATAAAAGAATAATGTAAAGATGATGATTGTTTGATTGTCTATGAGCAAAGAAAAGCTAAAATTTGGGATTTTGAGGGTGAAAATATAATTGAAACTAGAAAACATTAATAACCTACCAAAATCTTAAGATTGATACCAAAAACATCTGAAATGAATGAACTAACTAAAATTATTGACAATTCAGATTTCTTATAAATGAAATGATTAAAATTACAATATATATATATATAGAAGATGTTTTATTCACTTTCTCTTTCTTACAGATCTCCTTAGTATTTCTTCTTTAGCTCTTCTTCTGGTACTGATTCTTTATTAAGGAGAAGATGATTCTGATGATGAGTCAAAAGACTATTTTTCTGATTATTAACTCTTCTCTTCATCATCTTAATTTTCATCTTAATTCTTTTCTTAATCCTCATCTTCATCATCATCTTCTTCTTCATCTTCTTATTCTTGATTCTCCTATTGACTCTCTTCTTCAGGTTCTTCTTCACATTCTCCCTTTTTCACTTATCTCTTTTTCTATTTAGCTTTTGGAGCTTTCAAAGATGTTATAAAATCTGCCTAATCTAAATTATCTCTGTTTTTCATAAACTCTTGAAAAACTTCATCTATTACATCTTGTTCTCCTGATAAATCAATTAATTTATTTTTTAGACTATATAGTGATGTAAAGTCCTCCTTTATCAATCTTCTAGGTTCAATAGGTGAAATTGTTCTGTTTATAACAACTTCATAAAATAAAAAACAAGCTTTAGTAATTGGTTCAGTTGGATTTACATTATCAAGAACAATAAATGGAATTCTACACTTTTTACAATATAATCCACTTTGAACATTTAGAAACTCACAATATATACATTTCTTTAGAATAAGAATTTAATAAATTTACTTTATTTTAACCATAAGATAATCTAGTTATTTATGTTCTACTAGCTCTTTAACTTATTTAATTGTTTTTCTTCTTTTCTGACAATTATTTCTTTTAAGTTTATATCAAATCTTCAGGCATATGTACACTGTGTTTTTCTATATACCTAATAAATTATTATATTTGCATATTACTCCATTATTTAAAATAGTAATTGTTAATGCATTTATTTAGAATTACCAAAACCTAATTTAGCTACTAATGCTTCAACAAACTCTTAGGGACTAACATGATAGTCATTCAAATTCCAATGAAATTGATCTCTAAAAATATAATTCTAATATTCTATATCTAAATAAATAGGAATTGATCTCAGTTCTTCTGGTACACGATTAATTTTGAATTTAGGTTTCTTTTGTGATTTTAACATTTGAATTGATCTTTCAGCTGATATTTAATCAATGATTTCTATGTATTCATCCATTTTAATAAATAATTATTAAAATTAATGTTTATCATCCAAATTATTATTAATAATATAGAAAAGATTACCTTTTAATAAGATGATTAAATTAGTGTTCAAGAAATAATTAACAATATAATAAGAGAATTTAAATTTCCGAGATAATCGACAACTTTAATAGAAATTGATTAAGTTATTCGAGATCCTACATATATTGTTAATTTTTAACCAAATAGTCCAATAAAAGCAAATTTTAGCTATGAGACAACAATAACTTTCATTGATAAATTTAATAATTCCTTTGAACATCGATGTGATTTATGCAAATCAATATTTTAAATTGAATAAGAAATAATTAAAGAAATACTACCACTAGAATATAGTCTATAAATTCTACAACCAATTGATGAATAAAATATTAATACACTCTATATAAATTCATACGAGAAGATACCATAACAATTAGAATTTACAATTTAAGCGAATTTTTATATTAATTTTTATGGGTTTCATCATTAATTTAATATAAACCCTTTTAATTTGATTGAATTGATTAAATATGAAATTCTAGAATTTTACAACATCTAATAAGAATTTTAACTCTATTATAATGAAACAGAATTGAATAATCATTAATAATATATTACATATTTTATTCCAAATCATTCAGAACTTAAGATTAAATTATAAACTAGAATCAAATTATTTATTAAATATCAAAATTATGTTCATCAATATTCATGTTCATTAGATGAAAAATTAGAAAAATTTAAATAGAAATTGAGATAAATTTATTAGATTCCTGAAAAATATCTATTGTAATTAACATATAAGAATAATCTTTTGAAAAATGATCAAGAATCTATATCTTAATTGAAAATAGAGGAAAATTCTATAATTATTATGGAAATTGGAAATAAACATTAATTAACATTATAGGATAAGTATTCATCTAAATACTTTTAATTTTAAGTTAGATCAATTGATTTAGTATCTATATTAGATAAATAAAATCCATTTATAAATTAATAGGTTACCTATTTTTTTCAAGGTTAAGAGTTAATAAAAACAGAAACTTTTGAATAACTTAAAGTAGATACAGAAAATTTAACTATTTATTATAAAATAGAAAAGCTTATAATCAATGTATATTTTTAAGATGAAAATTAAAGATAAAAAAAAATGGGAGTAATAATATCAGATTAAATTAAATATGCATTATAACAATTAAATTCAGCAATTGATTCCATTACACTTTCTTATTAAGGTAAAAATATATCTATTGAGAGTACATATGAAAAAGAAGGAATTATAAATGACAGCATTATATATTACAAGATTAATGATAAATTAGAAATCAGATATACTATTTCCCCTAATTTTCAAGAACATTTTATTTTAGTTCAAAATAATATCACTGGAGCCTAATTATTAAAAATTATACCATAAGTTTATTTGAATTAAGGATATAAATATAAATTAATGCTTAATAATTGTGATTTCCCTTTAGATTAAAAAGTTACTCAAAATCAATGTTTTAGATTAGTTCGTACATTTGAAATCCAATTTTACTCTTAAGATGATAATCAATATTTTTTAGAAACATTTTCTTAAGAAGATACAATTTTAGAAGCAAAATAAAAATTCTCACAGAAATTTTCATTACATTTAGATTCTCTTATTATTTTATATAAAGATATATTATTAAAGGATGATTAACTTATTCATCAATATAAGGAAAAATAACTTTGGATAAGTTAAATTATAGGGGTTACTTTTTAAAAGAGGAATGGTACTGCATCCTTTTCAAAAAGATATTAAAAACAAGTTTCATTAAAAAGTGTTTTAAATGATTTTATAAAAGAATAATCACCCTGTAGATTTGAATATAATGAATAATTAATTGATGAAAATTTTGGAAATAAATTACTAAAGGATATTTGTCAAGATTAATAATAAATAATATTAATTTATGAATTTGAGTAAAATTTAAAACTAATAAATAAAGAAAAATAAACAGAAGTATATAAAATAAAATTTTATCCAAAAGAAATTGTTGGTTCTGTCTTTAATAAATTATTGGATGATAAATTCTAATATTATAATATGGGTTAATTAATAGATACTTATAAATCATTTGATGATAATAAAATTAAAAATAACTCCTAAATTTATTATAATAAAATTTATCAATTCACTCTAGATATTTTAAATGATAAATCAAATATTAAGTTTTAAGTTAATTCATTGAATCATAGAATTATAGATGCTATATCTCCAATAATCTAGAAGAAATATTCTCTTGATTTTACTGCATATCTTAATAATCGTTTAATAAATTTAGAATAAAGCTTTAAATAAGAAAACATAAATAATGATGCTACTATTTAAATCTAATTACTCATATATTTGACAGTGACTGTACATGAAAATGAGCTTAATAAAATATTTTAGGTTGATCCAAATGCAAATATAGGACAACTTAATAAATTATTAGATAATAAATAAAACAAAAAGTTATTTAGTTTTACTGATTAGATACAATTAGAAGATCATATTCTATTATCTACCTTGAAAAAGAATAATAATAAAGTAGATTTGGTTTATAAAGAAGCGACATCTATTTCAAATAGCGTCTATTAACCCTCAGGATTAATATTAGATTGTATAAGTTAAACATAGAATATGAAAACAACAGACAATTCTACAATAGAAATTATCATTTAAAATATGTTAAATGATGAGAAATTATAAGAAACTGTTAGATTAGATCAAAAATTAGGAGACTTTTTTCATAATTTTCAACTCAAAATGGAATTTTCTGACATCAGTTTATTTTACGAAGGAGAAATAGTAGATTATGAAAAAACCTTTGAAGAGATTGGAGCTGGATCATAAAGCTTATTTGAAATTATTTGAATGAATATTAATTTATCATTTAAATAATCATTATATAAAATACTTACATAATGACATTTGATATATTATTCTTTTTAATAATCATTATTGTTCATAAAATAGTATTTTTATTATTATTTTTGTTTTTATAACAATCCTAAACTAATTGTGTATGATTATATAAAATATATATATCTGAATTATTGAAATTAACATATCAATAAATAACTATCTTTCTAATCATTTTTATTAATATTTTTCAATATCTTAATAATAAACAAAGTAAGTAAATATATATTGAAAAATTTAATATAATTATTATATTTAATAATGATAACTTCACCTTAAGAGATGCGAATATTATCAAAAAGATTCTTTGGTAATAAGATCATTGATTCAATTGTACTTGAAGAGATGAAGGAATATCATTAAAATAAAGAGAGAATTGCAAATATCATTTAGAGATGTTATCCTGAAAGTTATAAGTTATATTCAGATTTAGGTATGAGAGATATATATTTTATAAAAGATCCTTAACTTCTAAGTATTTTCATTCAATATTTTTTGAATTAACTTAATTTTGTTATTGAAAAAAAGTATATATTTCAAAGAGCTACATGCTTATTAGAATTGAGTGTTCATTTATTTAATATTTCTTGGGAGAAAAGATGGATTAGAGAAAAATCTTTTGAAGAATTCAGATAAATAATTGTTAGACATTCATTATACAGACCACCACATAGTGTTTATATATTTAGTTTGGAGAACTTGAAAGAAATTTCATTGCATTTTTTATCAACATTTTTTAGATTCTATAGAGCTTACTTCTTTACATTTACTCCTTGGGTTGATATTGTAGTGACAACTTATTAGAAACATTAAATAAAAAAGGATGTGAAAGATTTAGAATTGGAAAAATTGAGATAGGAAGCAGAATAATATAATGATTAGATTGATCCAGAAATGATGGAATAATTAATGAGTGGCAATTCTATATTTTAGATTCCAGAAAAGAAGAAAAGAGAAATGTTAGAATAACAATAATAGAAAGAGAAATAAGAAAGAATTGATAGAGTATTAAAAAAGAGATTAGAAGAATTATAATAAGTTTTTGATTAAAAAATAAAGGAATAAGATGAACATTTTATAAAATTAGCTGAAGATTTAAAAAATCCAAAAAAAAAATGATTTATTAACTATAAATATTTTATTATTATAAATTTATTGATTATTTATCATAATTTAGCTTATAAATTTAATTTGTCCCAATCAATATTGATAAAGTTTCTTTGTCTATACATGCCAACTCCATTTGATAAATATTCCAAAAATTCTATTTAATTTATTCATTAATATATACCTAATTTATTATTATTACTAAATTATTAATCAATCTCAGCCAATATTTCAACTTATTTGAAATCAGCAATACCAAAAGATACAATAGTTGTTCTATTTTCTAAAATTATAAACAATCCAAATAATTTATGAATTTTTAATAATTCTAAATTATAACCACTACTCTTTATTTATGCTCCCATCTATTTATAAATATTAGTATATCCAAAAATAATAGAAGCTTTTATTAATTCACATTAATTTAATTCATTCCATGAAGATTATAATGAATGACCATTAATTAAACTATTTTAGAAGTTTTCCATAGTCTTTTTACAATATGAATAACTTAATCTTTCTAAAATTTCTTCTTAATTTTATAATTATGATTTCTAATTATTTTCTTAAGTATATTTATTAAAATAAGAAGCCATTCCTGTAAATTATGCATTTCCTCCACTCACTTTACCAAATTGTTTTAATAAATATTAAGCTGTTTATTACATTAAAACATTATTATCTCCTTCATAAGTTACAAATGGAACATTATCAGCATATATTATTGTTAAATCAGATGCATTAAGATGTCCAAATGGAGCAATTTACATTGCTTCTCTTGAAGTTTTGACAGCTTCCCATCCTGAAATACTCTTCATTTAACTAGAATATAAATGAACTAATTATAAAGTTTCATTAGCTTATTTATCATTTGCTTTAAGTTAATTTTAAAATCTAATGAATATTTCTTTTACTTAAGCATTTGCTATAATTTATGCATATTAAACAACATAACTTCTTAATAATCTAAACATTATGGCTTCATTTTCTATTGATTAAGTTTTTAATAAAGGTTTAACTTAATAATAAGCTAAATTATTTGTAAACAATCCAAAAATAGAAAATACATTTACTAAACCAACTCTTAAATTAAGCATACTGCCATATCCATATTTAATAGCATTTTTTGATGATGTAGTCACTTGTCCATTTTCATCTACTTTTGTATATCTCATTAACATATTATTTCTATCGATACGAACATTCTTTAATCCTAAATATCCATTATCAGCTCTTAAAAAACCCAATTTAGGTCCAATATCTCCAACATCAACACCCTCTAAAGCCTTAAGTGTTTTAGGTTCTCTAATAGGAACAACAAATGTTTAAATTCCAATATCTTTACCATTCACAGTTGTTCTTGCTTATAAAACAGTATGAGTTGCGAAGATACCAAGTTGTCCTGGCCAAAATTTATATGCAGATGCACTTGGAGTATTTATTATAAAGGAATTATTTTCAAAAACAGCAGTTGTTTATAAACCTTAAACATCTGAACCATGTCCTGCTTCAGTCTAAGCATAAGCTCCACGAATTTGATAATTGAATGAAAGATCTTACCAATATTAGACTTGTTCTGGGGTTCCCAACATTTGAATAGTTGGTAAAAAAGCTTACCAATGTAAATAAAAGGTTCCTACAGATTTGATATTAGAAATATTACCTAATTCATATAATTAATGTTAAAATTGAATGAGATGAGTATTTCCTGGAAACTTTTTTTTGAGCATCTATTATGCTTTAGCATATCTTTAACTTAAACCAATATATCCTTCTTTATAGTTTTCTTATACACTCTAAGGATTGTCCACCAAAACTAATTAATAATAACTATATTGAATTACAATCGTATGCTGTTGGATTTTTATCAAATTCTTAAACAAAATATTCCAATTCTGATCTAATGGAGGGTTCAAGAAGAATGTTGTAGATATAATTTTTGAATTAATCCATTTTAAGAAATTTATTAGTTCCTAATATAAATAACACTATGATAATTATATATTTATATATTTTAAAATTTACATTATTGTTAGAAATTTTATTCTCTAATTTTTTTTATAAGATAGAAAAGATATGATAAATTATAATGCTGGTAAATAATATTTATAAAATTCATTCTTTCTCATTAATCAGAAAGCTGTGAATGAAAGTTACACAGATCTATGACAAATTAATAAATATGATACCTTCCATTGATCTTGGCATCTTGGAAATGACCTAAGACACTAAGACTGCATCCTACATCAGAATAGAGTATTTTGCAAGAGCTTTGATTAATGAATCTAAATATATATATATGAGATTTCTTACTTCATGTTTAAGATAGGTGTCATACATCCAAAGTATTAATACATCTACTCTATTGTAACACCTATAAGTCCAGTAATTTAAATTGCATTAGACAATTACTAATTTATGATTGGCTTTCTATCATTAGGTGGTAGGGCTACTTGAAGAGCATCCTGAGGTAGTTTTTCAGAAATCATCAAAGTCATAGGCATTCCTAAAAGAAGGCCTTTATTGAGTAAGTTTTTAATTCTAATTGCTTCTTCTTTGGATGCCAATTAGAGGAAAGCTCCATATTAACTTTGATATATAGCATCTACTCTTGTGATTGTACTAAAAATGTTGTACACCACTCGTAGATTAGTATTAGGATGTTACACTACCAAATATTATGGTAGAGGAGTGGGAGTCATTAAAAAGGGACTGCTTTATGATTAAGGATATGGAGTGAATGGACTGGCTCCACAAGAAAATGGGTTACTAGAATCATTACAAAAGACTTCATTGTAGTTATCTTCAGAACGACCAGATTGTTGAGACTTGTGTGACTATTCAGATGTAATGCTTTCTCCATCTGAAAACTCTTCTTTATCATCTTCAGATGACTCTTCAAGGATTTGTTATCTTATAGAATCTAGAGTAGAGTGCTGAAAAGGAGAAGGGGATGGAGTTGTAGTTGATGATACGATCTATTTTTATTTCTTGCCTTCTCGTTACAGTACGGAAGCATAATTACGCAATTGTTATTAATAAAGGACTGTCAACTATTGGGTTTGATTGCGATACTCTTGGATCTATTGGATTAAGGAAATTTATTCTTTTAAATCAGTCGTCTAATTGAGTTGAGTAATAAATTGATTTAAAATTTCAAGGTTCTGTTATAATTGTTGATTAAGGGAACTTGAATCTTCCTTCAATTGTTGAAAAAATTACTATTTGGATTGAAGAGCAGTGTAATCTTTGATATTTAAATAAAGTATTACCTACACCGCAATTGTTGTTATTCTGAAACACAAGGGAATCTCGTTAGCTTAGGTGTACTCTCATTTTCAGTTAGTAATCGAAGAGAGTGCCATCTAAGATGAGTGCTGATTGTGCTTATTGGGCTGTCTCATATTCGATGAATACTTTCCAGATGATTTTTCTTTCGAAAATGAGAATCTTTAATTATTCGGAGAACAAATAAATACCTTTTTAACTTATCCAAAGACAGAGAAGGTTCTGAAGAACTGACTATGTTCAAGCACTTTCCCCTATTTATTGGTGACCAACACCAAAATCACAGGGGTTGGTGAACTCGGTGAGGGTGAATTCTTGTTCATTAAAAAAATAATATTTGATAAATGTGATTTTTACTTTTCCTTTTTAATAGTCATTTTCAAGAGCTTTTTGCTTTTTTACTGGTCTTGTGATCACCTGTATGATGTTTATTACTATGATGATGATGTTGTTTGCTCTTCTTTTTCTCTTACTCTTACTCAGTTACATATTGAGCTACCAAACTATTAACAATGGAAATCATAAAGAATCCTATCATTAGAATAATGAAATAATCCCATAATTAAGCTAACAATGGTTTAGTACCTTCTTTGAAAAGAGAAGGATCTCTTAGTTATTTTCTTTACTTATCAAGTAAATCACTTAAAAATTAATATATAAAGGGAATATATTTTTGGATCAAGTTGAGTAAAGCCTTGACTGGTTCTTATGAGAAGACAAACACAGTCATTGGCAACTATGAGAGCATGTCAAAATTATACATACCTGAATGTGCATTTTGATGAATGCCTTACCCAAGACAGTGGCTCCAAAGAAAGTCCAGAAAGAAATCAGAAAATGACCACATGTAATACCTGCTAAATCGAATAAGGGATTTGGAATAGATGCACACAACATAACAGTTAGGAATGCATTTTTCTATAATTTATTATAAATGAGCAACTTCATTCTTTACATAAAAGAATCTAAAATGATAGATAAAATGAGACAATTACTTTCATCTTTCTTTTCTAAGACTTCTTCTAATTCTTCTAATTTCTTATTGGCTAAAGCAGCAGCTCTAGCAACAAAATAAGGTGGTAATTCACCTATTGCTGTACCAATTCCAAAAAGAACAGTCTCAAAGTATACCTACTTTATAATATCAAATATTGTAATTCCTGTTGCTTCTTTTGGACATTCCACATATTATGTGGCATACTTAGATGGCACAAATAAAGGTAATGCATTGCATTCATATGCTTAAATTGTTGTTTTAGCAATGTGAGGACCCAAATACAATACGAATGTATGTAAACCAGTTCCTAAACCCACAGATGACATAATTCCCAATACAAGCCAATATAACATAAAATATGCAATCTCATCACCCTATCTTACCAACTAAACAACATTTATATTTAGATTATACTTCTGAATGTTCTCCTTCCACAAATCTAGGTGCTATGATTATTAAAGTCAAAAATCCAATAATGTGCCAAAATTTACTTAAATATTTAATTGCATCTTTTGCATAATTAAATAGGACTATAGTAAACAAATATAAAGTCTTTATTGGATTGGTAAATAGTGTTGGTGCTTCTACCATTAATTAAATATTTATTTATTTATTTATATATGAATAGAATATTGATCTTAATCATTATTCTTCTTCCTCTTATGCTTATAATTTAGCTTATTTCTCTTCTATAGCTCCCTCTATAACACTTATAACCTCATAAATATCACTACTGTAAACCATCTACTTAAATTTCAAATATTCTATCATTCTATTAACATCATTTAATTCATCTGAATAATTAAATTATTCTGCCAGTCTTTTATTCAAATGTTTATTAACAGCATTTTATAAAACATTTCCAAAAGTATAAGCTTTAGTTGTTTTCATCCAAAATTAATAGGCTATTATCATGTCAGTAACTCCAAGCATAAATGTTACAGGCTCCATGACATCCCATCCCCATACAACATATGTACCATATTAAGTAAATGCTATTTACATAAGAATGTAAAAGTATATCTAATATAGAGTTGTTTATTCTTTCATTTCCAATTCCTTTATAATAGAATCCTTCAAATGAGCTAAACGATTCTATTTACATTCCAGAAATGAAATCTAATCATCAATTATTTGTTTTTATGCCTAAGAGTATATACCCAATTTCATTATAACCTTCTTTATTATCAACATTATCAAATCCTTATCATAAGTCAACTCCTTATGTTTCTCAATCTCAGACAATAATTTTTGAATGAAATTACTCAATACAACCTTTGTTCTCTAAGGTACATCAATCTCTGAGAAATATTCATGTAATGCATGTTAAGTGATAGGATAGTTATCAATCAAATCAATCACTGGTGGATTATCTACTTTATTGAGAATTATGTAGCTTTCTGTCTAATTCAGTCTTAACACCATATCTTCCGCCAAAACCAATTGCATAGGTGTAGAGGATGCATATTCAACTTATTCATCATTATTTGTTTATTAATATACTCCTACACTCATTACATCAGCGATCTATTTCTTGATGGCTTATTGGAGTTCAAGAACAGTCCCATCAGCTTTGAAGAATACTTTCTTACTGTGGAAGTAGAAATATAAAACTAAAAAAGGTTGCTATCACAAATTTGTACCCTCTTACTTGAGATTAAGGTTTTTACTTTCTTCTTATGAAAATCGCTATAACATAAGGATATCCTAGAAATTGTACCTCTTTAATGAACAGAATCTAAAGAGACTTTTTAATAACATAATTTAATTATTATGAAATCATCTCTTGTAACGGAGAATGGACGCAGAACTAAAACCACTCCTGATTAAAGCTCTCTGATTAGTTATTCATCCCGTAAGTCTTGTCTCTCGAGTGTATGTAATATTCACAATAACAAGGAACGTAAAACCTAAGTTAAAGCTACATGCAAAGTCTTGTGTGAAATGAGAGAAGATTAGTCAAGTAATTTAGCAGTGAAGTTTACATAACTTCAAATTGTTTTAGCTACTTAGTCTATTATTCAAGTAATCTCTAAATTGAAGTCAGCCAAATTGTAGACATATTTCTGGATTCTTCTATAAGATCGCAGAATTATACAACAATCTGGATAAAATCATTCTATTGAATCAATTTCCTTACCTTAAGTTGTTGCTGATTGGTCTTACTTATAGAATCAACATAAAAATAGATTAAAATAGCGTCATCTAAATTAAAATCCTTCTACTTGGATTCTTATGTAAGTCCTAAATAAAATTAAGTAAAAATAATAAAGGTCTTTTTATAAACTCATGAATATTCATCTTAAATTATGCAAAGGAACTTTACTACTTCTTAAAGTTATCAAAAAACATCATTATAAATAAAAATGTAGTTCTTATCTTTGTATTATATAATTTGTATAGAATAAATAAAATTGTAATTCATTAGATAGTAGTGAATAAGATTTCAATCCTATGTAATTATAACAACAATAAAAAAAAGATAGTAATATTGAAGTGATTTCAGTTAAGGAATAATTGGCAATAAAATTTGCAAGTACTACAATGTTGGCATCACTTTTAAATTAAAAACATATAAAAATAAATTTTTATTTCTTTTTAAATTTCTTAAGATGCTAATAAAACAAATCTTAATTTATTAGAGATATAAATTTATATTAAGGTATTGAAGTAAGTCAAGTAAATTATGATCAATCATCTTTATAAGAAAATTAATAAATTATAGCTGCTTAAAATTTACATTCGTTCTTATTTATCAAATTATAAAATTATTTTTAAGCAATCAAAATTTTTCATTTGAATAATAATTATTAGATAAATGATGCTATGAACTCAATGATTATTAATAAGAATTGTGATCTATCAAATTCATTTGAAGATTTAAACACTTAGAGAATCTTAGTCACTAATTTATAAGAAGATGAAAATGAAGATTTGGTGATTAAAAATAGTATAGAACAAAAAAAGTAGATCTCTTCCTTATAAAATATTACAGAGATTGAAGAATCTACAAAATCTAGTAAAGCTGTAATTTAAGAGGAGTAATAATTGAATAAGAAAAAAAAGAAGAATTAAAATAATAAAATTAAGAATGCAATAAAATCATATTGCAAAATTTAATAATAAAGAAAATTGAGTAATGAGAGCATTACAAAGGTAGAAAGTTTTGGTTTAATCCATATTTAAGAAGTGAAGAAATAAAAGAATCCTACTAAATTGTATACTGCATATATATTGATCGTTGTGATTACAATAGTATTTATATTGTTTTTGAAATGATTAATAAAATTAATTATTTTATTAAAGATGTCTAGAGAATCATCGATTTCTGAAGGAGGAGGATGGGTTTAATGGTTTTGTGCAATGGAAGATCATTAATTTTTGTGTGAAGTGGATGATGAGTTTATAAGAGACAACTTTAACTTGTATGGTTTGAAGAGCAAATTCAATTTTTATAAGTAATTTTGAAATGTATACTTTTTAAGTGAAGCTTTGGATTTGATTTTAAGTTCTGAGACACCAGATGATGAAGATTTAGAAGATGAAAGGTTCTTGGAAGTTTATTAGGAGGCTACAGACTTATATGGTTTGATTCATGCTAGATTCATCATAACAGCTAAAGGTATATAGAAAATATGAATGAAGGTTTGGGAATGATGAAAGAAAAGTATTTAGGAGGTAAATTTGGAGCATGTCCAAGAGTGTTATGCGAAAGATAGAATGTTTTACCAGTAGGAATGAGTGAGGAATTACGTACTTCTAGAGTAAAGGTGTTCTGTCCTAGATGTGAAGAAGTTTATATTCCAAAAAAGAAATGTCCAGATGTTGATGGTGCTTATTTTGGTTGTTCATTTCCATCCATTTTTTTAATGGTAATTATATAATATTAAAAGAATTAGAACTTCATTTAAGAGATTTAAATACCTGCTAACAATTAGACTTATGTACCTAGAGTATTTGGATTTAGAATTTACAAGAAAAAAGGATCACGTTATTAGGATAATTAATAAAAGGCTGCTGAAATTACTCATTATTCTGAAGAATAATTGAAAAAGTTAAGAGGGAAGAATGATCAATAAACAAAAGAGGATTATGTTCAAAAGTGAATTAGTGTTTTTGTTTTTGTTATTAAAATTTTTAAATCTTTTTTAAAATAAATGCCTAAGGAAATTCAAGATGTTAAGGTGTTCCTCTCACTCATGAAAGGTAGTGAAGTATAAGGAAAAGATGCTAGCAAAGAACCAAAAAAGAGTATGAATTTCTATTTATTTATATTCAGACCTCTATATCAAAGAGTCAAAGAAGATCACCAAATTCAAGTTGAGAGGCAAGAAATATCTCTTTACCTTCAAAACAGCTGATAAGAATAAGGCCCAAAAAATTCAATAAACACTCCCATAAAGTATAATATTCATACAATTTCTTAGATGTTAATAAAATTGTTATTGGTAATGGAGGAAAGAAATAATAAACCAAAAAGAAGTAAAAGAAATGAGCACTGATTTATTACATATACAGTACATTATTTGGAGCATATTTAATATATACCAAGTTTGTTGCGATCATCAAAATACTAATATTATTATTCTTTTTTATTTTAGGTTTTCTTAATTGCTTATCCTTAGAATATAAAAATATTAAAATTCTTATTAGAAATTAATATATATATATATATTTTAAATTATATTAATAGATATTATTAAGATCAACAATCATCATAATTTACTTATTTACAATACATTATTATATTATAAATATACAAATACATTCATTTTGTTTGATTAAGTCTTTTCTTAATTTCATCAGTAATTTATTAAGAGGTAGCAGATTTGTCAATTAGTATTTAAAGTATTTCATCAGCTGAATATCTAAGTTATATATTGACACAAAGTAATTTTTCAATTATATGTCTTACATATTCTGGTAAAATATTTAATTTTAATTCTTTCCAAAATTTGCTCCAATCCTCATTTTTTATTAACTTCCACCAAGCATCTTCAGTTGATGGATTATTTGATTCAAATGGTGGATGTCCTGTTATCATAATAAAGTAAACAACACCCAAAGAGAACATATCACATTTTTTAAGATCTTATGGAATATGCCAAATCTCAGGTGCTGTGTATCCTTCACTTCCTGATATTGTAGCCTTAGGAATAGGTGTAGATCCATTAATTTTAGCAAATCCTAAATCACATAACTTAACTTTAAAGTCAAGAGATATTAGTAAGTTATCTAACTTTATATCTCCATGAGTTATTCCCTTAGTATGAAGATAAGAGAGAGCTTCTGTAATTTATAAAATGATGCCATTTGCTATAGCTAATGGCAAAGGACCTTGCAGTAGTATCTTGTAGAGGGAACCGTAAGGCATTAATTCAAGAAGCATACAAGAACAATCTGAACAATATCCAATCATTTGGATAATATTTGGATGTTGAATGTGACGAAGGATTTGGATTTCGTTCTCTTCAAAATATCACTTGATAATTACGAATAGATTGATGGCATTTTACTCAGTTGTCTAAGCTAGACATTTTAATGCATATTGTTATTTTGTTTGTTTGTCCATTGTCAAAAATACAGTACTATCATGGCCTTTACCTAATAATTTAGAAAAATTGATTTAGTAATTTGCCGCAAATTGCTCTGGAGTAAACATCAAATTATTAATCATTTTTATTAATATAACAAATTTCAATCAAAATGCTTTAGTAGCCATCATCCTTCCTAATATGGCATTAAGATTTTCATCTAATAATTCATCAACTCTTAATCCTAAATGTTTTTTAGGATCCTTCTTTCCTGTATTCTTAATTTTAGTTTCCTATTCTCCTTTTTTTGATTCATCATCTAAAAATTAATTAAAATTATAATTACCAATCAATTTTTGATATTCTAATGCCAATTTTGACATTTCTTCAACACATTATTCATTTTTATTGCTATTCTCTATAGAAGAATTACATCTAAATATATATATATTTAAATCAATTACTTCAATCCTTCAGTCCAACTGTTTTTATATAAATTTTGAAGCATCTTCTATTCTAAATCATTGCATTTAAATTTAATATTGATAGAATAATAGTATCTATTAAGTCCTCTCAATAAGGCTTCTAATCCAGGTTTTTAAAGATGACCACAATTTGATGTTGTTTGTCGTGGTTCTTATTGAGTAATCATACTTTATTAGGGAATCAATCTAAATGCATCAATTACAACTTTGCCTCTTACAGATTGAATTGGATCAATAACAACAGCAATTGATTTCTTATTTAACTATTCATATGATTATTAGGTATTGATATCGACTTGTAAATAATTAAATATCAATATATACCACTTGATAACCAACAACCATAAGATGGATGTGAATGATACCATCCAATACAATTTTCCATTCTCCCTGTTAAATTGAGTAATTCAACCATTTTTTATTAGAAAATAGGATCCACAGATTCAACTGAAACACTACTTGCAGTTTAAGGCATTGAGAAAACATCATATACTCTGATATGGTAATCATCTACTATTTCACCTAAGAGTAGACCCATGACTTCAAATGGTATGCCTGCTCGAGCATGCTATCAAATAATTACATGTATTAATACTTTAAGCATTTTAATTAAGGCTAATGCACTGATTGTAACTTATTCTGCAGTATCAGGAGTGGAAGCGTCAGGAGAGACATTTCCTTATCCTCCTCCTAATTATTACATTAAGGCTTGAATATTCATAAGAGATTGTAAATTTGAATAAAATAAACTAATACTGGGGTTCTTATTAAAATATATTTAATAATTCTTATAATTTAAAAATTTAAATTATGAGAATTTGCAATTTGATTGGGTTTTTTTTGTTTAAATATGTTTGATAAAATTTTAAATATTTTAAATATAAAGCAAATTATAAGCGCAAAAAATGGCATAACAATAGTAAGTTTAAGTTGCTGCAGAGTTCAAATTAGTTGTCGTAGGTGATGGTGCAGTTGGTAAAACAACTTTTGTCAAGAGACATTTGACAGGAGAGTTCGAAAAGAAATATTTAGGTACTATTTTATTTGAGTGTGTTTTTAGCCACATAAGGTGTTGAAGTGAGTCAAGTCGTATTCTACACAACTCATGGTCCAATCAGATTAGTCATCTGGGACACAGCAGGATAAGAGAAATTAGGAGGACTTAGAGAAGGTTATTACATTGGAGCTCATTGTGCAATCATTATGTTTGATGTCACATCAAGAATCTCTTACAAAAATGTACCAAAATGGCATAAAGATCTCACTAGAATTTGTGAAAATATTCCCATTGTCTTAGTTGGTAACAAGGTATATATCTTATTTTAATCTCTTTTTTAGGTTGATTCAAAAGACAGAAAAGTAAAGGCAAGATAAATTACATTCCACAGAAAAGTCAATATCCAATACTATGATGTCTCAGCCAAATCTAATTATCAATACGAAAAGCCCTTCTTATATTTATTAAGAAGATTAGCCAAGTATTTAATTATTTCTATTTTAGTGATGCCAATTTGTCTTTAGTCTAAGCTATGGCTCTTTTACCTCCTGAAATCCCAATTGACCCAGAATATGCTGCTTAAATTGAGAAGGAAAGACTTAATGCTGAAAATCAACCATTACCAGATGAAGAAGATGATGAGTTCAAATGATATTTTTCAATATTCATACAATTATAATAATTTAATATCGCCTTACTCATTTTAACTACCTTAATATTTCAAATCCAAGAGTAATTCATAAATATAAATTAAAAAAAGTTAAAGCAAACTTTAATCTAACTAAATTCAAGTCAGAATAAATTTTATTTCTATTGTAAAATTATGGGTATTAATTATATTACATAAACTTTTAAATTATTAGAATTAATTTGTTAATTTGAATAAAACCTTTATGTTCATTATTATTTAATAAGTATTTTAGATCAATATATCTGTTTATCATAAAAAAAATTCAATTTGGATTTAAAATAATATTTTTTTGGGATTGTAAGAGATTTTGGATAATTATAATGAGAAATAATAAGAATTAAATAAGATTATATACATGTAATTATATCTAAACAAGATTTTATTTAATAAAAACCAGTTTTAAAAAGAAGGTTTTGGAAAGTACTATTTCTATCTCTTCATTGCATCTAATAAAATATCTAATTACTATATCAAGGTAAAATTATTAGTTTTAATGATTAGTTGTAAAACTGGAGAAAAATCTAGAAAATTTCTAATTTTAATAATTATATAATAAAAAATATAAAATTACTAATTGAAATTAGAATGTTAATGAAATACATAACAAATATGATGAGTTACATATTCAAAACCAAAATCAGATTATTAAAGAAGAAGAGTATATAATTAAAATAGTTATAAAATAAATTTAAGATTCTTTGTTGAGATTCAAAAAATTAATTGTAATTATTACAATAGAATCAATAATTGACACTCCAAAATATAATCAAATAAGTAATAATACTATAATAATTTATAAAAGATTTAGAATATTAGATTAGATAATTAATACTGTTATTCATGAAAGATTTTAGTTATATTAATTTTGTTAATATTATAAAACCATTACAAATAGTCTGTAGTTAATATCCACAATAATTTAAATGTACTATTTTTATAGACTAAAATGATTCATAATAATTTTATATAGATAATTATAATTTTCTTCATTAAAATTATTTGTATTATTTTTAAGTACTTTTTATTTTATCACTTTATAGATTTATAGAGAAAATGTTTTATTTAATGAGTTTATATGGTGATCAAATTTCAAAAGGATTAATGATATTAAGAGATACGGAATATAACTCAATTAAAAATCATTAAAAAATATCATAAACATGGATTAAAGAAAGACTTAATTCTTACAAGTTGATATATATATAATATAATTAATGTAAGATTTTAACAAGAGTGAAGGAGATGAGATAGTTTTTCATATTACTAAAAATGCTCAACAATATGAACCCAACATTACTTTGGCTAACTCACCTAATGACAAACCTGTCTAGAAACCTATATCATTTGAAGATATCAAACTTGTATCTTCTGTATAGGTTTCAGCAGATGGTCATTACTAGTCTGTAAAAATAATCTGTTCAGGATGTAAGAGGAAAGTAAGTTTTTTAGATTAAATTTCAGGTTAATTCAGTCATTAAAAGACGTGCTGGATTGTAGACTTATATAGCAGGATTACTTTTAATCTTTTGTTCTTTTGGATTTATATGTGTTACTTGTATTCCATGTATGGTAGATGATTGTAAAGATGTTCAACATTCCTGTCCAAATTGTAAATAGTATTTGGGGAAGGCACAATTTAACATACTTGATTGATAAAAACATAATTATCATTTTCTTTGGTTTTAATTTCTATGCATATTATATTTCATAAACGTTTTCAAGTTCAAATCTCACTTTCCAACTTAGTTAAACAATTGATTAAATTCAATGGAATTTCATAATAGTCCAAGTCAGCATATTGGTTCAATCCTTAGGTTTTGATTATTATCACAATTGAGTTTAGAAAAGGGCATAAATTGTTATTACTTCAATTATAATGTTATTTTATAAAAATTGCATAACTTTATAGAAAATCTTGATGGCCATATTGAATCCTCTTTATATACATATAGTATAATAAATTAATATAATTATTAAGGTTGAAGAAGTAATTCAATATTTAAAATAAAAAACATGAATTGCTCATAATTTATAGTAATCGGTTTAAACAGTAAATTTTAGAAATTATATAAATGATCATGAATTAATAAAAAATATGCTTTAAACTTAAAAATGATAAAGCGAGATGCAAATTAAGATGAAATATGCTTTGATTTACATACATATTCATTCAGTTCTAAAAAATTCTGTTATTAATTTTTGGGATTGGACGAAAATCTCTTTATTTGGATGATACTACAAATCTTCAATGGCTTAAATGAGCTAATTTTATTATAGTATTGCTAGAATAGGATTTGGAACATTTAATTGAGTTTACAAAGATAAACCATAATTCATAAGTGAGGTTATACATTCCAATCCTTATAAAACAATATAAGGTTCAGCTGATTCTATAGTAGATTTTAAATGTATGGCAAGACCCAAGTTTATAAGAACTGTGAAATCCTATTAATTTCCATACTTAAGAATATGTTGTATTGATCTTATTACAAGGGATTAATTAATTGGTTTATCAGTTGTAAGTATATTAATTAGTTTTTTAATTAATTCCTATTATGAAAATATCTATTAAATCACATTATGTCCTTATTTACATAAGTTTTATAAAATATATAAGACTGCTGTACGTATCTTTTAATATTTATAATTGATTAATTTGTTAATAATATCTAAGATATTAAATTGCTGGAAGATTGAATACAATTACTGAAAATCTGATAAGTATTTCATTTAAAGTAAAGCAGAATAGAATGATTCAAAATCATTTTCATTAATAAGATATTCATTCAAATAATTAAAGAGTAATTGAAATATTTCAAAATAATTAATTTCCTTATCATATTAATCACACTATTTATTGATGATAAATAAAGTTTATAGTATTTCTTAACTTTTATTAATCTTTAAATGTTTCAAAATCACTATTAATTAAGATTTATACTATTCAGGAATATTGCTGCATATTGTTTAAATAAGATAACAAACATTATGCAATAAACTATCTTTCATTAATTAACATAAGATATCAATAGTGTTTTTGTTAAGTAAATAATTCTGAATTTATTATAATTTACTAGAAACATTACCCAAATATCCCAATATTAGATTAGCCAAATCATCTATTTATTTATTTTCTATTAGCAAATCTAATGATCTCTCAATTGACCATTAAATGTCTTCAATTGGCAATTAAAAATATTCATCATCTTATGTCAATTACAAATATATTGTATATGTATCTATATAGTAGGATTCATCATTTAATAAATCTTTGAATTATAAGAAATTCCTTTATGTTAAATACAAACTATGAATACGATTCCTATCATCTATAATATTTGCAATCAGATGCAATTGTTATGAAATTTCATTCATTTCTTTCTATGCATATACAATCTTAAATTCATTGAATAAATTATTAATTGAAAAATTCAATTAAGAACTTTACAATCTCTATTTTGGTATAAACCACATTCTTTTCTTCTCCAATTACTCCTCTATTCTCTCCTTCCTAATTTACAATCGAAACTACTCTCTCATCTCCTAAACACTCTTTGGTTGATTTTGCTTTTAGTTTTTTAATGTCTAAGGCTGATACTATAATTCATCATCAGATTCAACAAGTTTTATCTCATCCATTATTTATAATAAAAATAAAAACTATTGAATTAATCTTAAGTTTTTAACAAATTAATCTACTCAATTGATTAACTCCTTTCTAATCCATCTAATCTCTAATGTTATTTCTTCTTATCATTTATTTATATCAAATGAATTTATCAAATTTCATTATCAACTATTATAACAAAAAAGAGTTCTTCATTTTTTATTTAATAGAATCTATAGGTATCTCCTTATTTTAAGTATTGAGATTCATTTAATAAAAAAATTTATCAGAAATCACAAAAAACTCTAAATTCAATCAGTAATAATTTGTTAATTACTTATTGAATATCAATCCTAACAATCTAATCTGAATAAGTAATCAACTTACAAAAATAAATATTAATATCTATCCTACTCAATCAATATAATAATATATTAGTTCAATCGGAAATATTTAAGCATAATTTTATTATATTATATGAAATTTTATTAGGAAATCTAATTTGATATTAAATTTAGTTTCAACATTACATCAAAAATGTAAATTTGATGATTAATTTAATAATAAATTTTATTCATTTGTTAAAATTGATTTAATCTAAAATTTTATATGTTCCAATTATTAAATAACTAAATCTTAAATTAATATTAATAATCTTGATAATTTTTGATTATAAAATTGTTTATAAAACAAAAGAGAGATTATCTAAAATATTAATTGAATAATAAAAAGTAATTTTGAATGATTATAATATAGTAATTGTAATATGTTATATATATTCATATGAATAATTTATTAAATAGACTAATTATATAATAATAATTATAAAAAGTATAACTTACATCTTTATTAAATACAAAGATGATAAAATAATATATTTCAAAATTAAAAAAAGAGTCAGTTCTTGATTAATTTGATTAATGAATTGTTTCTACTCTTATAAGGCTTAATTGATTAATGATGTGAGGAACTTTGATCCACTCGAACTAATCTACTTGTATTGCAATATTATGAATTAGATTTTTCAGATTCAACAGTACTGTTTTCAGTATAAGTAGTTGATTAAAGAGTATCTCTTTTTTCAGATAATTNATCCATTATTTATAATAAAAATAAAAACTATTGAATTAATCTTAAGTTTTTAACAAATTAATCTACTCAATTGATTAACTCCTTTCTAATCCATCTAATCTCTAATGTTATTTCTTCTTATCATTTATTTATATCAAATGAATTTATCAAATTTCATTATCAACTATTATAACAAAAAAGAGTTCTTCATTTTTTATTTAATAGAATCTATAGGTATCTCCTTATTTTAAGTATTGAGATTCATTTAATAAAAAAATTTATCAGAAATCACAAAAAACTCTAAATTCAATCAGTAATAATTTGTTAATTACTTATTGAATATCAATCCTAACAATCTAATCTGAATAAGTAATCAACTTACAAAAATAAATATTAATATCTATCCTACTCAATCAATATAATAATATATTAGTTCAATCGGAAATATTTAAGCATAATTTTATTATATTATATGAAATTTTATTAGGAAATCTAATTTGATATTAAATTTAGTTTCAACATTACATCAAAAATGTAAATTTGATGATTAATTTAATAATAAATTTTATTCATTTGTTAAAATTGATTTAATCTAAAATTTTATATGTTCCAATTATTAAATAACTAAATCTTAAATTAATATTAATAATCTTGATAATTTTTGATTATAAAATTGTTTATAAAACAAAAGAGAGATTATCTAAAATATTAATTGAATAATAAAAAGTAATTTTGAATGATTATAATATAGTAATTGTAATATGTTATATATATTCATATGAATAATTTATTAAATAGACTAATTATATAATAATAATTATAAAAAGTATAACTTACATCTTTATTAAATACAAAGATGATAAAATAATATATTTCAAAATTAAAAAAAGAGTCAGTTCTTGATTAATTTGATTAATGAATTGTTTCTACTCTTATAAGGCTTAATTGATTAATGATGTGAGGAACTTTGATCCACTCGAACTAATCTACTTGTATTGCAATATTATGAATTAGATTTTTCAGATTCAACAGTACTGTTTTCAGTATAAGTAGTTGATTAAAGAGTATCTCTTTTTTCAGATAATTTATGTTATAATTCTTTTAATTAACTTTTAAGTTCTATTATCTATTTATCTTTGCGTAATTACAAAGCACTTTATGTAATAAATAGTTTTTGTTTAATTTCTTAAATCTCTCTTTTGATTTAGAAATTGGAATCTAACATTTCTGAATTTTAATCTTCAAGTTATTTACGTTTTTGTAATTGTTCTTAATTTTCTTTGAGTAATTGATGATATTATTAGTTGAGTCTCTTATTCAATTCAATTTGGGAAATGAGTTATACATATTAATCTTTTGTTAATATAAAATTGGTTGTATCAATATTATTATCAGGAATTGAGTTATTAGAATTAATTTATTGAAATTCAGAGAAACTGAATTCTTGTGTTTATTCAGGTGGTGAATCGAGATTGTTTTTAGAAACAATTTTGGATTCATCTTCAAATTTGATGTCAGGTTAAGAGTTATTAAAGAGATCTACTAATTGATGAGGTGACAAATAGATAGGGTTTAGAAATTAATCTTGCATATAATAATTTATATAAATTGATAGTATGAATATCAATTTATATAAATAATATTAGATTCTATAGAAATAATCTTGTTTTATTAAATATAAATCAAATAAGATAATTGCAAATATTAATATGATTTAATTTTACTTATAATCTCATTTTTTAAGACTCTCAATTTATTATTCTGTCAATAACTTCTCTTAATGATATTTTTCCATTTTCTCCATATCAGTTTTTTTGACTTGATCTGGTACTTTATCATTGTATTTACTCATTTTATCTTAGAGAGCATTAATATATTTAATTAACTCATTCAATTTCTTTACTAATCTTTCATTCTAAATATGTTATTTAAGAGAATTTTACTTCTTTTGTAAGATCAATATTATCTTTCATATTAACAAAAATCTTAAGTTTTGCTTCTAAAGTATCAACTCCACATTATTTATGTTATTCAGTTTCTTATTAAATTACTGTAATCTAAAATATTAATAATAATATATTACTGATTTTATTCTAGCTAATAAACAAATGATATCTGCTTATTATTTAATTAAATCATCTAAGGATTTTTCTCCAATCAAATTCAATACATAAGCATCAGGTCTTACATTTGCAGGTAATTAAGACTTACTAATTACTGATCTTAATTTCTTTGAGATATTTAATACTAAATCAAATTAGATTTCAACATCTTAATTGATCCATTATGGATTAGGTGAAGGATACTTAGCTATGATTAATGAATCTTCCTTTTAACATGGTAATTTCTACCATAATTCTTCAGATAAATATGGCATCATTGGATGTAATAATCTTAATCCTTAATCTAAAACAGTTAATAAGGTTTATTAAGTTTCAAGTTTAATTTTTTAATCTTAATTTTTATCACTTAAAATATTTTTAATTCCTTCTAAATAAATATCACAAAAATCATATAACCAAAATTAATGGAAATTTTAAGTTGCTTAACCAAATTCATAATCATCAAATGCAGCATTAACTCCTGTTATTGTTTAATTGAGTTTTACTAAGATCCATTAATTTATTAATTATAAATTATTTAATTCTAATTTTACATAATTTATATCTTTAGGTAATTTTGGAAATGCAAATCTACAACTATTCCAAATCTTATTACAAAATTATCTATAACCAATAATATGTTTAACATCCATATTAATATTTGGAGTCTTTTATAAATAACTTAACAGACCAAATCTTAATGCATCTCCACCACATTCTGGAATACCATTTGGAAATTCTTCTTCTTTTTATTTTATGGCTCTTTGAATTTCATCTTTTGATAAATTACCTTCATATATCTTTTATTTCAAATTCTCTAATGATGTTCCATCAATTATTTCAAGTGGATCTATCACATTACCAAGACTCTTTGACATCTTCTTTCCATCCTTATCTCTTATTAATGGATGTAAGAACACATATTTAAATGGAACCTTATCAAAGAATTCTAATGAAAATTAAACCATCTTAGCAACCCAAAAGAATAGAATATCCCAACCAGTCTCAAGAATAGTATTAGGGAAAAAGGCCTTAAAATCTGGATTATTAGTATCAGGCCATCCAAAAGTAGAAAATGGAAACAATCCAGAAGAAAACCAAGTATCCAATACATCTTCATCCTGAGACAATTTAATTTATTCTACAGGAATATTATATTTAGCAACTGCTTTCTTTAAAGCTTCTTCTTCAGATCTAGCAACAATCCAATTATCTTAATTACTAGTATCAGGTTAACTACCATTTATACTAACTAAATAGGCTGGACATCTATGACCCCACCATATTTATCTACTAATACACCAATCTCTTAAACCATCCATCCATCTAAACCATTCATTCTCATATTCAGAAGGAATTAAAACCAATTCTCCATTTTTTACAACATCAATCATTCTTTATTTGATGTGTTAACAATTTACATACCATTATGGTTTAATCATAGGTTCAATAACATCTTTACTTCTTGAACATAATCCAAGTCTCATTTAATTTGGTGTCTTATCTCTATATATACCTAATTATTTCATATCCTCTTCCATTTAACGACGACAATCAAATCTCATCATACCAGCATATTTTCCACCATTTTAATTTATCTTACCATCTTCATCAAAAATTTAAATAAATTCTAATTTCTATCTTTATCCACATTCATAATCATTAGGATCATGAGCAGGTGTCACTTTAACAGCACCTGTACCAAATGACATATCAACCAATTAATCATCTGCAATTACCTTAATCACTCTATTGCAAAATGGATGTACTAATTCTTTACCAATCAAATGAGCATATCTTTAATCTTTTGAATTTACTGCCACAGCTGTATCACCTAACATTGTTTCCAAACGAGTTGTTGCTACAACCAATTCTTCATTTGAATCCTTAACTTTATATGCAAAATGAGTCAACCAACCAAATTCAACAGGTTAAGCATGTCCTGGAACTTTTAATTTTATTGGCTCCTTTATATCCTCATAAGTAACTTCTATATCTGAAATAGCTGTCTTTAATTAACAGGACCAATTGACCAATCTTGTTGCTCTATATATCAATCCCTTCTCATATAACAATACAAAAGCTTCTGTCACTGCTCTACAATAATATATTACTATTTATTTTACGTTTTCAATTACTCATCCATTGTAAAATGATACCTCTCCCAATCCAATGAACTACCAACTCTTCTCAATTATTCCAATATCTATGCTCCATGTCTATTAATTTATTAATACTATTTATTACTTATCTTTCCATTCCCAAACCTTCTCCAAAAACTTCTCTCTTCCCATCTCCCATTTATTCAATTATTGCTTTGCTAATGCTTTCTCCACAACTGTCTATGTTGCTATTCCTGCATGATCTGTTCCTGGTAAATAACATGTTGCATATCCTCTCTATCTATGAATTCTTGTTAATGAATCTTCTATTGCTGATGTCAATCCATGACCCAAATGCAAATATCCTGTAACACTAAAAACTTTATTTAATCATTTACTTAGGAGGTGGCAATACCATCACATATCTCTTATCATTCTTTAATGCCTCCTCTGCACTAACATGGAAATACTTCTTCTCCTCCCAATATTTATACCAGAAGCTCTCCACAAAATTAGGCTAATATGATTCAGGCATTTTAGAAGCATCTCTTTTTAAGGCTAATATCTCTGCTCCACCTAAACTCTTCAATTCAATATATTACTTAATTTGCTTAAATCTGGCACATCCTTTGCCTTTTGAGTCTCTGCAATTATTGCAGGCTTCTATTCAGCTTTGGCAGCTATGTGTTTCATAAAATCTTTCTCCTTCTTCTTTTCTAGTGCTTTTACTCCAAATCTTGTTATCAATCTTGTGAACATCTCGTCAGATTCGTGCATTAAATTTAATTTTAAAAAAAAATTAATATAAAAATATAAATTCTTTCTTTGTGATTTCAATTGTATTAAAATAAGTAAGGATATAAAAAAAGAATTTTATTACAAAGTCAATTAATAAATTATATAACAAAAATCATGTAAAGAGTTTATAAAATAATTTAATTTATCTAACCAAAAATTTTACTCAATAGACCTTTATTAAGTAATTAATTTATAATCTAAAAGTCTAATACAATTAGAAAAGGGCTTTTTTGTAATTAATTTTATAAAATGATTATAATTTTCAAACTACTACACTTTTTAAAAATTAACAATTATCAATATTTATTAACAATGGAAAAAGCAAATTTTATAAAATTGTAAATAATATTGATTATATATAGTATTAAGTAATCAGAAAGTTTAATTATTTATTTCATTTGAAAAATGAGATAAGTGATAATATTTAAGGAATCTGTATTACAACTAAATCTAAGGAAGACTTTTAAAGTAGAACATTTATTATAGATAATTAATTAAAACAAAAATTCTTAAATAAAAGAGAAAAATGTGATTTGTGTTCTTAACTTACAAGTTATGTTGTTATATATATATTATAGATAAGTCAAATCAAAACATAAATAGAATAATCAAAAAGGATATGAATAAGTATACAAATAAGTATAAAATCAATAGTAAGCATATCAAATATTTTCCAATTTTATTAGAATAAGATAGCAATTATAATTAACAAATAAAATCATCATTATTTCTGATTCTTTATTTATATTGCTATGTTAATAACAAAACTTAAATTCATGATATTAATTAATTGATTTTATGAGATTAATTTTATATAACTTGTTTCATAATAAGAAAAAATAAAACTCAAATTTTTATCATAATTGAAAATAGTAGAAAATAAATTTATATAAGTATATAACTATTATGATGTAATTTATTAGGAAAAATGGATAAATGGTACAATTATTTTATCATTAATAATCAAAACTTATTAAGACAAAACAGCATCATTGAGTATTTGATTCAAGCTCAGTATTATAAATTTTAGTAATGAAAACAGAGACATAAATAAAACAATATAATTTTTTCTTTAAAAGATGTATATTTAATTAGAAATACAAGATATCAAACATCAAATAATAATTATATTTAAGATTAACAGAATCTATCCTTTATTTATTTAGTTTTTTTGTTAATCAATTTAAATAACAAGAAAATAAATAATTATGTTCTTTTTGCTATTGAATTATGAAAACATTAGAAATTAAGGTTTTATAAAATTGATTTACTATTAAATGTTATGCATAGTAAAAAAATGTTTAGCAATTAGTTATGGTTTGGTCAGATTTGGAATATTCTGAATTCTGAATAAATCATTAGATATTATATATCATAATTTAGTGATAGGTTATTAAATTCTAAGATGAATATTAATTATTTGAATATATTACGTAATATGCGTTAATTACTATTAACAATTAGTAGATGAGGTAATTTGAGAAAAAAATATCTGATTATTAAAAATGATTAATCATTAATCAGAAGTTGAGTAAGAGAAGACTAATTCAATATCTGATAATTCTATAGTGAAATCTCATACATAATCAATAAAAGATATAGATTTATCAGTTTATAGATGGGCAATTTTATTTTTGTACTATTCAGTTGTTTTGGTAAACGGTGTACCTTATGAAATTTGTGTACCTATAAGTTCATTTATGGCTCATATATATAATGTATCGTTGGCTTTAGTTGCTACTGCTTCAACAGTATTTATGGTTATGCATCCAATTTTGTCATTTGTAGCTGCATAAAGTATAGAAGATTGATTTAGTTAGCTATTTCAAATTATGGATGGGCATCTGCAACTAATTTAGGTGTAATTCTTACAATTTTAGGATGTGCTATTAAACTTTTGATTAATTAAGCAGGGTATAGAATATAGATGTTATATCTAGATTTATTGTTTTAATAATTGGTTAGGTTCTATGTGGAATAGGAAGACCTTTTATTTTAAATTCTTAGGCATCTATGGCTATGAGTTGGTTTCATCCTAAGACTAGAATCATGATCATAACTCTACTTAATGTGGTAAATACATTATCATTGGTCGTTTCTGCTTAATTACCAGGAATTATGTTTAAAGGTTATAATTTGGAAGATGATACAGATTATGAGAATGGAAGAAGTAGAATGTAAAGATTATGTTTACTTGAATTTTACATAAGTTTGGCAATAATACCATGTTTATTTATGTTAAGAAGTAGACCAAAGTAAGTTCCAGTGAAAATAAACAAAATAGAAAGAAAAAGTGGAATGTTAAAAATAATGCTGAGATTATTTAAGAATAGAAACTTTGTTTTACTTTTCATTCCATTTAGTCTATACTTTGGAATATTAAAGGCTTATTTAGTAATAATGGAATTATTGATGTCACCATATAAATATGAGACTGATTAAGTAGCAGGTGTTGGTATATAGAATAATTATTTAAAAAAGTTTCATTTCCTTTAATTGGTGGATTAATAGCTTAAGGAGCATTTCCATATTTTGTAAATAAGTATCAAATATAGAAACCTTTTGTTCGTTTCTTTCTATTGTTTTCAACTTTAGCTATGGCATCATTATATTTTGCATTAAAATCAAATAATGTGATTTACATATATATAGTAATAACTTTATTGGCAATATGTGTAATGCCTATATTACCTGTTATTATGGATATGGGATGTGATTTAATTTCTCCAATTGAACCATCATTTGCAGTTGGTGCCTTTTATATGGGAAGTATGTTATTTTTTGTGGCTTTCACTTATATTTTAACATTCATTACTGGAAAGAATAAGGATGATACAAGAGTATTGTATACAAACATTTTCTCTACAATAATGATGATTAATGGATTTTTATGTAGTTTGTTATTAAAAATTGATAATGAATATTATGCCTTAGATATAGAATAGGATAAAGGTTCATTAGTACATCCATTAGAAAAAGGTGATTCTATTCTCAAAGAAAAATGTCCTTCTCTTGTGTATAGAGGAACTCAATCAAAAATGAGTATATCAAATTAAAAAGGATCTATGTTCAGTGTACATTATCAAAGTATCTTTAGTGTTCACATAATAATATCAATATAGTAGGTGATGTTCCATTAATCCCAGGAGAAGAGGCAGATGAACCCATTGATTAAGATTAATAATAATGAGTTATATAATTCTATATTATTGAATTAGATAATCATTTAATTCAATAATGAGAAATTGATATATTCATAAACACTTATATTCATTTATTCAATTACTTCTTCTTTAATTATTTTAGAAAATTAAGTGCTTGAGCACTCAATTATTCATTCAATTCAGTTTTTTAAATCTATTTACCTATTGATGATGTTTGCATTCTCTATGTAGATCGAAACAAAGATCTGGTTTATGATTGTACTCTACCAGATCTAAGTCTCTTGATAAGATTGTTAAGTGCCTCTGGATTGTATACCAGTTTCTTTTGTTTGATCTCTGTATCAGAGTTGTGAGGTGAGATAAAATACACATTTCTAGGTTTTGGGGGTTGTAATATATCTAAAATTTAATCATATAGGTGAGACACACGAATTAAATCCTAAGCCTCTACTTTCGAGTTTTCTAAGAGATTACAACATTGCTTAGCTTTTTCCCACAATTCATTTGGAGGAACTTAAGTCTTTTCTTAATCGTCTATAGTCTTAGCATTTTCATAGATTATCTCACTTTCAGCTATATGTTTGCTAACATTAGTCATGTTTGTAATAGAGACAATTTCAAAAGGCATAGGTTTTATCTGAATCTTTCCTAAGAATGAATTTATTAATCTATTCTTGACTTTGTAATGTGCAGGATATATTCGCTTTTCTATTCTATGACATAAGAATTGATATGAGTAATCAGATGTAAAATACTAACATTAATCTAGCATTAATTTATATAATTTGATATTATTTATTAGACATTACAATAATTTATCATTATATTATAGTAACACTATGAATAATAATTATGGCATCTTCTCTTATTTTTTAATAATTCATATCTATAAAAGAAATAATATCATCTTAACCATTTAATTAACCATTCTCCTCTATATAATATTATCAAATATAAATATAAATACTTAATGAGTATGTATAAATATTAAATATATTAACATATAATAATAATATAGATTTTTAAGTAAAATTTCTACTTATTTGGAATTTTTAAATTAAAGATAAAATATATATTTTTAATCTTTTAATTCAAGTTATTTTTTTAACTTGATATCATTAAATTAAGTTTTTAAATATGATTCAGAACTGTTTTTAATATAAATTATTATGTTTATAAATCATTTATATATTATTTAATTTTTAGCTATGAATATAGCTATGAATTAACAAATCAAATTTATCATAATATTAGTATTATGAATTAAATCTCTTCAGTAAATAAAAAATAAATAGAAAATAGTAAAATTTGTGGAAATTATAAAGAATTAATTGATATTAATTATTTGATTTAAGAGGAAATGAATTATCTATCTAATAGTTCAATTGCTAAAATTAACAACTTTGCTTAATTAACCTAAATTTCTCCCAATTCTCTAATATTCTTTATTGAATCATTCTGATATTAGTATATTGATATAAATTCAACAAGAGTATTTATGAATTCCTTGATCATATCAATAAAAAGAACAGGGCATTTTTTCAATCCCTCAAAAACATATCTAATTATTTACTCTATAATTTATATCAATAACATAAAATAATAGTTTTAATATATTCATTATAATTCACTTCTTCATTTAACAAGATTTTACTTTTTCTGCAAATCTTAGACTAGCAAGGGTCTATTAAAAATCTTCTGATCTTGATGAAATGTTCACCATCATTAATGTCTTAGAACTTCCTTCCATATATTTATATAAAGAAAAAGTCAACTTACTATTTCTAAATGGAACATGTTATTATTTAGTATAAAGAGCATTAAAAACATCACCCAATGCACTTAATGATTTATTAATTGCTTTTGTTTCAGTAAATCTATCTCCTTCAGTTTTTGCTACATTTGCTCTTTCAGAACCAGCTAAATCTATCAAATTTAAAGTTGAATTGATTTGCTTATCACCAAGATGTCCTTATAAATTTAATTAAAATATAAAATGACTTCTAGATGATACTTCATTACTGAGAGTTTCTGCAACTTATCTATTCTTTTTAGCAGTATTAAAATGTTCTGCAACTTCAACAATATCTTTTACATCCAATAATTTGACATCATCACACTTTTAATTTGTTATTAAATCTCTACTTTATTCATTATAAATTTCTTGAAATCCAACTCTAATGGTAGTTTACCAACCCAATTCTAACATTCCTTATCTCTCCTAAAAAATTTACTCTACTGCCCTTGGTATTACACCTTTATTATAATCATCACCTTGCATAGTATAGGTTTTGCCAGAACCAGTTTATCCGTAAGCAAATATACACACATTATGTCCATCAACTACATTTTGAACTAAATCTGAAAGTTCATTATAAATTTCTTATTAATCTGCTTCTTAATTAAAGATGTGTTCAAAATTAAAACTACTCTCCTTTTAACAATTAGTTGACTTTAAGAACCTTTCAGGAACTCGAAGTACTAATGTACATTCTCCATTTAATAATAACATATCCTCCTATGAATTTGGTCTAATACGACAATAAACACGAATATTTCCTTTTGCTTCTTATAATAGATTGTTCCAATATCTCTTCTAATGTTCAGTGTCTTTGAGTTCTTATTGTAATTGAATTTATTGTTATTAACTCAATTTAAAATTATTCATAAGTTGTTACTTCAAGAATTTCTTTTATTCAAGTTCTTCTTTTGTTTATTATAATTCATTAAGCATTCTCTCTTTGACCTTTTACATTTCAGATATTTATAATCTTTATTTTGTTTGTTATTCAAATAATTCTTAGATCAATTACATTTGATTCTATTGTTAGTTTAATCGATTGGCATGGTATTCTAATTGATCCTATTACTGATGGAACTACTAGATTGCTTATCTATCAGCTTCATCTAATTTAGATTAAAATTCTTATAAGCATTCGCGGGTAGTTTTTTGAATTACTTAAGTAAGTGGTTTGAATTCATTAAAACTTTTTTTGAATTCTCCTATCTCCTCACTTTAAACTGCAAGAATTCTATTTTTATGAGTGATGAGTTCAATGAGTTTGTCTTCAATTACTTTGAGATGATAAGCTCTGATATCTTTGAGTTCTTTTTCCATTTATAAAAATAATAAATTTAGATGATAAAATAGTAGAATAAGTAAAAATATTCTATAATATTTATGTGTTATTATGCAATCATTTTTAATATTTATTATTAATGATAAAAATAGAAATATTAATAAAAAAGAATATGTATTTATATCAAATTGAGAGATTTATTAAGAAAGTTGATTAATAATAAATGTGTTAATAATGTTTATTAAATAGACGAAATAGAACTTTTAGTTGAGGATTTATTAGCAATTCATAATAATCATAATAATAAAATAACTTATTTCAAAATGATTTATTGAAAATAATATGATCAACAGGAATCATTCTCTATATTTTATTTACAGAGATTAGATCTCATTTTTTTATGGATTTAGTCATTTTTTAAATCATTTATGATTCTTATTAATATAGAATTCATAGCAACAAAAATGGAGAGGAAATTCTATTTGAAATAAGTACTCATATTAATGATTTATATTATGATAGAAAAATCAACATATTAGAATTAATAGAGTGAAATAATCTAATAAATATTGATATTAGATTGATTCTAAATTTTATGAATCTTTATTGATATTGTTATGATTATAAGTTTTATTGAATTGATGAGTGATTTATGAAATATTTAATTATAAATATTTATAATATAGGATTAATAATCAATGAGCAATAATGGTAATAATAATAATAATACTAATACTAATGATGTTGATGAGATTGAAAAGATATTACAAATGGAAATCAATAGTAGTGATAATGAATAATAAAATAATTAATAAAATGATTAAAGTAAAAGAGAACAAGTTGAAAAGTATTTTGATAGTATGACTGCATAAGATAAAATGCGTTTATTAAAGAAAAGAAAAATCTGTGGCTTAGTGGAAGGCTGTGATACAATTGAGGGATATCAAAAACTCAATCGTATTCATGAAGGAGTGTAATTAAAATAAAATTATTTAAAACTAGTTATGGTGAAGTATTTAGAGCAAGAGATATGCTTACAGGAGAAATCGTTGCTATTAAAAAGATTAAATTTAGTCAACATATTGATAAGGAAGGATTCCCAATTACATCAATAAGAGAATTCAATTTGTTACTCTCACTCAATCATCCAAATATTGTTAAAGTCAAGAGAATTGTTATGGGATCTGATAAAGTATTCATGGTCATGGAATACATGGAACATGAATTAAAAGATTTAATTGAAAGATCCAAGTATCAATTCTCTACCGCCGAAATCAAATGTTTACTTAGATAGTTGCTCCTTGGAATATAACACTTCCATTAAAAATCTGTTATGCATAGAGATTTAAAAACCTCCAATTTGTTGTATAACAATAAAGGATAACTAAAAGTATGTGATTTCGGATTAGGTAGACGTTGTCAAAGAAATAAACCATACACTCTCAAAGTAGTAACATTATGGTATAGAGCACCAGAATTACTACTCAGTATTCCAAAATACAATCATAAAATTGACATTTGGTCTGCTGGTTGTATTTTTGGAGAATTACTTCTCAAAGATTAATTGTTCAAAGGTTAAAAAGAAATGGAACAATTAGAACATATTTTCAGAATCTTAGGAACCCCAACAGAAGAAACCTGGCCTGGTTTAAAAGTATTACTAATTATTATTAAGAATATAACATTAGCTGGTCCTTTAAGAACCATTCCTAAATACCCAGGAATCAAATTATAAGACATTATTTCAAAGGAATTTTAACTCTCAGAATGGGGTTATGATTTACTTAAAAAAATGTTGACATTAGATCCTGAAAAAAGAATAGAAGCATCAGATGCCTTAAAACACCCTTGGTTTTCAGAATAGCCATTACCTTTAAGCGAAGACCTTATGCCAACCTTTCCACCATTAAATGAAGTCAATAGAGATGATGTTAGAAAGAAGGTTAAAAAATGATAATTAAACCCATAAAATATTATAAATAAATAATAAATTTTTTTTGTTGTTGTTAGATTACTCATTAAAAATTTATCTCAATCATCAAAAACTTGATCTAATTTGAATAAATAAGCATAACCTAATTAAAGAACTTTTTAAATGATACTGTATTTTTAATACTTTGATTATTATTAATATAAGAAGAGCTATTTTGCTTTATCAATTAAATTAAATATTATTCAATTTAATATTCTGAAAAAATATTAAACAATTCTCAAATTATTATAAAATTTCACATAAAATTAAAGCAATTTTGGATAGGTTAATCAAAAATGAAATGAACACATTCATATTTGTAAATATAGCATCCTAGATCAACTACTATGTTTTTTAATATCATAAATTGTTACTTTTTTTATGTGATCTAAAGTAATGAGAATAGTTTCATTAATGAATACAATATGAAATCATTTATGAAATTACTGTAATATCTAATATTAAATTTAATTCGATAAGAAGAGGATAAGTATTTTTTATTAGAATAAAGGGAAATAATCTAATTCAAATTATTTGATGGATTATAGAATAGCAATTATTTTAATAATATACAACATAATAAAATAAGTGTTTATCATTATAAGTAAATACTTTAGTAAAAGTAATTCGACTTAAAATTAATAACATTGATGAAATGAGAGTATTATTTTGGTAGATTAAGACTCTACTAATTTTAACAATTAAATTGAAGAAATAATAGTAGATTATTTGAGATATATACTTTATTCTTAGTTAACTATGATGATCATTTTAATATAAAAAATAACAATAATGATGAATAGTTATAAAATAATAGTTCTATCAGGATGTGTCACTAAAATCAATTGTCTTAGGTATTCTTGTATTCTAGTCAAAAAAGTAAAGAGTTATTTGTTTGATCAAAAAGTCTGAGTAACTATGATATATTCATATATTTTATTATTAATGATTGAAGACGAGGATTCCACCTTTAGAATTATTGTGATATTACTCAACTCATTGTCTCTCACATTTACTATTCTTATATTACTGTTCATTTGCAGAATAAAACAACTTCATGAAAGACAAGGTCACACTATTCAAATTGTACTCATTTTAGAATGCATGTACTCATTTTTCTTAATTCTTTCACAATTTTATTTTGATTAACCTGATGTGTATGAAACAACATTTTTAGTGAACACTAATGGCAAAGGTTGTCATGCTATTGGTATACTAAATGTATTTACATCTTTTGCTTATTTTACAAATATCAATCTCTATTCCTTAGAATCATTAGGTATTTTAAGTGCTAGATTCACTAAAAATTACAAATTAAGACATTTGGCTGTTGTGTCAGCTTCTACATTTTTTGCACTTTTAGCTTTATTATCTAATGCCATAGGATTCAATTAATTTGGAATGTGTTCCCTACTTTCTGAAGGTTTATTTACAGTATTCTTACTAATATTAACATCTGTCACCTTTATTATAATAGTTTGGACTTGTACATAAATTCATCGATTAAGAAAAGTCTTAGGCAAAGATTTGACATCCCAAATTTAAGACAAAATGTATAAGGTGAATTTGGTTTACATTATTACTTTCTTGATCATTAGAATATTACCAGTATCATTTTTTATATGATAATATAGGTATTGATCTTGACTATCATAACTTTGGCAGATACTAATAATGAAACATATTCAGATGCTTTCTATGCATTGGCTGTTCCAATGTCATTAGGAGGAGTATGTTTGAGTTTAATCAGATCTTAGGAACCAACTATTTAAGATTATTTTAATAAGAAACTGCAAAGATAAAAATCTTCTATTGTTGAACTTTCAATACCAAAAGTAGAAGTTAGAGCTTTGAGTAATTCCAATTCGAATTTAAGCACAGATTCCTAAATTATCAAAACTCATTATCTCTCTTATCTTCAAGGAACAACAAGGGATAATAGTGTAGCCTATCGAAAAACATGTTTGGACAATGAAGAATTGTATAAAATTAGAATTATTCTTTTAAGGGTTGCAAAGTTAACATCTCAAATGGAAAATAATCAAATTAAGTTGAAATTGAAAGAATTCCTATTTGTATTCAAAATAATCAGAGAAATGAATATTGATGTGATAATACCAACAATTACTACAAATTTAACACATTATCACATGAAACATATGAGATAGAGAATCTTCTATTTTGATAATGATGCTTCCTTTAATGCATCAGAGATAATTTGTACAAGCTATTCAGAGTCAGTTTTCTTATAAATTTAATCAATTGATTCATTAATGAAATCATTTGATGAAGAATCAAATAAAGTTTTTATTGAATCATTGTAGAATTCAAGAATAAAATTTTAAACTAATATACTAACTACATATGATGGAGAAGTACTTATCTCCATTATTAATAATTAAGCCAAGAGATATTTAACAAGACATTTATTATCAGCTATTTACAATTTAAATATCTAAGCCTAAAGATCCTTTATCCCTCCCATGATAGGACTCTACTCTATTGTTGATGAAATTAATCAATACACAATCCTTGTTGAGAGAAACTTGTTAAACTTGATCATGTTGGAGCAATAAGGTTTTAAAATCTAAGGTTTTTTCACATATTAGGTTGGCTAAGTTGATGAAGAAATAAAAGGTGGACATGATATTTATACTAAAATCAAAATGAATCCAAAAGTCAAATAAGAATTTCTCAACACTCTAAATCAAGATCTTTCAATCCTAAGAGATCAGTTTTTGTGGGGATATTCCTTTAATGTCATTTATTTGGAAGCTGAGTAGAGATTCAACACACTTCCTTGTATGTACAAGACTCGTAATGGGTATGTCATTGCAAGTTTAGGAGGAGTTTTAGATTAATTCTGGATATCCCATAATGAAGCATCTGCCCATCCAGAACTGTATGCATCGTAATTAGCTTAATAAATTGATTTATTATTATGATAGCTCTTGTTTGTTAATTATTTATAATCATTAATGTATAATATCAAATAATTAATTATATTGATAAACATTTATATTAAATCTTGTTATTCTTTAAAGATTTACTATTTATAATCTAATAACTAGATATAAAAAGAATGATTACAATATTCCCTTTTAGGCTTTTTTCTTAAAATTATTTTTACTTTTAATTTTATAGCATAAAAATAAATAAATATTAACAATTATTAGAAAATAATACTTATTATTATTGATATCTTATAAAATTTAATGTCACACACTAATTAATCAATCACATATTTCTTAATTGTTAATCTTACATAGGATAATAGTTTTAATATGATAAACGAATAGATCTTCTACGCATAACAAAGAATAGCATTCCAACTGCTAGTAAACTTGCAATAACAATAACTGCTACAATCCATCCAACACTAAATATTTAATTAAATAAGTTACCTAGCATTTTATTTTATTGGTTCATATAAAGATTTCAAAGTAACTTATTTTGAAGCATTACTGAAATCATTTGTCAAAAAGATAGTTAATTACTATTTAAGATCTAATTCAACTGTATTAGAAACAGCAAGTATTGGCTAATCATAGAGAGCATAGAGATTCACACATATCCTCTCTTTATATCTTACTAAATTAGTCAATAAATAATAGGATTATTTTTCAGAATGAAGTACATAAACTACTGGAGGTATATCTATAGGTAATACATCATCTCGAATGCCTGAAATAGAAGTTATTGTTGGAGGTGATGTTATTTTTTAAGTGTTAATTGGAATATTGTAAAACAACATGACAGTTTTAATTCCATTTGAATAAGGAATACATAATTTATTAGATTGAATAGATCCAGCAGCTAGAGTAGTCCAATCAGCATATTAATTAATAATGAATAGAATTTAACTGGAATGATATTCATAATTGAAATCAAATTAGAATTGCATTCCATATGAGGCTACATTATTAGTCATCACTATCATTTTAAATAAAATATATTGTGTTACAGTTTTCTCAATTTAAGTATATGACAATATTTAAATATATTTTGTATCTTGTTATGCATATTAATTATGATTAATAATCTCATTTTATAAATTTCTAAATTAAGAACTAATTAAACTTAAAGATCCATTTTTAATTTTATAAAATAAAAACAATATTTAATTTGTTGAATCTAAAAGTGTAATTGCATATTCTGGTTTATTATCAGTATATATTTTAGATACAAAAAAGTAATTGATTCCTTTACAAGTGGAATATGATTCAATATTTGTTGAGGATTTCCATTCAAGAGTCCATGAATTTTAAGTATAAGTGATATGATATACTACTATTTCTTAAGGAGTACTTAATATTAAGAAGTCTTCTTAAAGTATATACATTTAACCAATATTAGATACTTAAATAGTTTTACTTTATAATTAAGAACAAGAATATGGACTCTTACAAGTGATCATTTATAAATTAGTAATCTTATCATTTTTACCTGCTAATATCATATAATTTTATTATGGATGAATAGCAATACTATAAAATTCTTATTGTAAATATTATTCCAAAGTAGATTTTAGATTCTGATCTAGAATTATAAATGTATTTTTATTAATTACAATTTAATAATCATCATCAAATTTAGTAATGATTCTAGCATTACTTAAAAAATTGTAGGTAATAGGATATATTGGTTAATTAAGTACAATTTCTTAAGGACATTATTTACACAATACTTTAATATCTACTACTTGACCTTTATACCAATCACCTCCTAAAGATAAATAATTTGTTTAATTTTATTCACCTAATACCATTTCTTTTAAACTTGTATCCACAATAGTTATAACTTCCATTCTATTGATTACAGTAATTTGAGTTGTAAAATCCATTTAATTAAATGGATTAGAAACTGAAAATGGTTATTCTACAGTCTAACAATAATCTTTATATTGATCAGTAGATTTAAGTAATGAGGTTGCTTATGTGTTTTATAAAATTTAATAGAGATGATTCTATTTTAGATATTGATAGAAGAATAAGGATGTTTAGAATCCATCAACTGACATAATAATATTTTTAAGATCTCCAGAAATGAATGTATTAATTACTTAAATTAAGGAATCATGAGCTTATTATTATGGTTGATATACTAGAAAACTAATTTTATTATCTGATTCACAAGGAATAAATAATAATCCATTGTGTTTAGATTGAACTGCATAAATTGGATTTACTATTTTATATTCATATAATGGTAATGTTTTAGCTATTCTATTTTATTAAGGACTCATAAAATATTCAATTATTGTTGATGAATTAACCACAATAAAAGATTAATCATAAATAGATATATATACTTTAGAATCATAATTCATAAAATATTCTATTTCTTAAACAACAAAATTGAATTTGTATATAATAATGGTTGATACTGTTTTTACAATTAATATTTAACTACTATGATAAGGATTATTGAATATTTGCAATCCAGGTTCAGGAGGAGTGATCTTATCAACTAATAATCCTAATTCATAAATATCAATATCTCCATTTGATAAAAGAACAAATAAATTTTTATTAGAACCTAATAATTAAGTTACAGTTTATCCTTTATTCTTAATAGTTTAAATGTGATTAATTTTCTCTTAAGATATTTCCCAAATTTAAATTTCATTTGGTTTACTAGTAAAAGCAAAATATAAATCATTATCATAAATCCATCCTGTAAATGTATTTTTACTTAATTAAACATCATTTTTTAATTCAATAGATAATGGTAAACATTCACTCTTTGGAACATAAAAACTACATCCCCATAATTAAATAGTCAAATTTTTACTCTAAAATACCATAATTGATAAATGTTAATCAGTAGCAATAGTATCTTAAAATACAATATCTGTTGGTATAATTAGATGATTTTATTCAATTTGTTTATAGAAATTCAAAATAATATCAGTTTATGATGACTCTTATTAATACTTTTGATTAGGTCCTGATAAGAATGGATCAAGATATTCATAATATAAATTACCTTATATTGCATTCTTGAATAAAGTTGGATTACTAACTTCATATAGATTTTAATCTTTAATATCCAAAAATTAATATATTATTTTAGATACTTCTTATTATTATAAATGTTAAATATCTATATAAGTTGCTTTTAATGTAATTTATTATTAAATATTTGTTTAAGATTTTGATTGTCCTTAAAGATAACCATTACTCAATATATATCTATTTGTGAATGTTGTACTTACTTCAATCAATGTAGAATATTAACTAGATACAATAAAATAATTATTATTCCAAAGTTTAGATTTCACTATATTTTTATCATCTAAATTAATTTATAATAAATTCTAATCTTATTATACAATTATATATTAATTAGATATTTGTACACTCTAACCTACTATATTCATTTCTGTAGGTGTACTCACAAAATCATTATAGTAATACAATTTTCCATTTTAAGTTAAGATCACCAATTCAAATTTCTCATTCCCATTCAAATCTGATACTATATTTACATCAAATGCCACTCCTTTACTAGACAATATAATTTATAGATTCAATTTCCATTCATCTTTATATTATAAAATTAATAATCTTGTTTCATCAAGTACATAAACAAGTCCAAATTTTGCTATGAAATCAATTAATTTAAATTAGTATGTCTTATCTTTTATTTAAGCTAATTTATTTATTACTGTTGTATTTAGTGTATTGCCTGTATTATTAAGAACATTCAAATCATAAACATCTATTATTGATAAATCAACACTTGATTATCCAATTAATATACAATAATCATCCAGAATATTCATTTTCCTAAATGTTATTGATGATTAATTAATGCTGTTTTTATCTAGAAGTTTACTTTGCTTTGTACTAACACCTACTTACAAAAAATTAAACAAATTATATTATTTAGAATCCATACAATCTATGATGAGAGTGGTGTCATCAATGTACTCAAGAGAATAACATGTTTCATTTAATTTATATTTACCTAAGAATTAAGGTGTATCCACTGGCAATGTCCTACATATTAATTATATTTATACTATTTTGTCCAATATACAGTATTCTATTTATCTATGACTGCAAATTATGTAAATCTGCTATTACTCACTATACTTTTTGGTTAATCATCCATTGTATGATTTGTTGCACCTAAACAAATATATAATTATACTAAAATACCTATCAGTTTTATGCTGTCCACAATTATGAATGGAGAATCCATTGGTGTCAATTCATAACTTGGGTTATTAATACTTCCAAATATATCTTTTAAATCATAAATGCACAACTCATTCACTGTAGGATATATTGTAAGATCTTTTGCAAAGCATATCGTAATCAATAATGGAATAAACATATTTTAAAATTTTAATATATAAAAACTAATTATATACTATATTAAATATATTTCAGAATAATCTCAAAATAGATATAGAAAATAATATATATATATATTAATATTTTACTCATATTTGTATTTATTTATATAATTTTATTAACTAAATTATATTCCAATCTCCCATTAAATCACAGATCACATTCTAATTCATTTAATTGAAATCACAAATCAAATCAAAAATAATAATCATATATTCAAATAAAAATAAAATAAGTTAAAAAGAGAGATATTTCAGATATTTATAGACCCTATAAACATTTTTATATTCACTAAAGAAGATTTTATTAATGAGTAAGTATATATAAATAATTCTACAATTAATTTAATATATTGTTTCTTAAATTATGCTTTTCTTAATTGTTTTCTTAAATGAAATATAATATTTATGCAATATCATATATATATATATATATTTTAATTAATTCAATAATTAAACAATCATCATTCATTTAATTAATAAATTATAAATTTGTTATTGCCTCCATAAATCAGATAATTACCCTCATCTGTCATTTCAATAGAAAATTGATCATCCTTAAAATCTATTTATTATAACACATTTAATGAACTCGTTGGTTTATTTATGATTGTAATTTTATTTAATTATTTTTAAATTAAGATATTTTTTGTTCTATTGTAAATCAAAGGATTAAATTAATTATCAGATCCATTGTCTTCTAAATTCATTTCTGTTAATTTATTTAATTATTTTTGACCAATTTCATATATTTAAATAGAATTTGTATTATATGGTATCCAAACAAATTTACAATTATATATAAAACACACTTTCTTACCATATACATTTTAAGAGAGTAAATATTTTTAATACCATTATTGATTCTCTTTAATTTCCCAAATGATTATTGTTGTATCTTGACTTGTTGATATTAACATATTGTTCATATCATTTAATGATATCTAATATACTGCACCTTTGTGATTTCTCATCACTTAACCACTTCTCCATTCTGATCTAATATAATTCCAAACTCTTATTGTTCCATCATCACTACTTGAAATCATAGTTTCTTCATTTTTCCATAATACTAAACAATTAATTCTACCTTTATGTTCATTTAATTTAGCTACAGCCTTCCATAAATACCAAACAACAATTTGTGAATCTGTGCTTCCAGAAAAAAAAAAGTTTTATTTCCTACTAACACACAAACAAACTACCTCACTACTATGTTCCTTTAGAATCCTTTATTAATTCAACATTCCCTTCTAAAATTCCCAAACAATAATATCATTCTTAGAAGTTGTTATCATAACATTTCCATTTTGATTAAATGCTATTGCTTAACATGTATCTTCCATATTGACTTCATTTATCTTTTTATAATATGAATTAATAATCTTTCCTTCTTCTTAAGTATTATTCCCTTTAACTTATAACATCTATTTCTCTAATAATCCCTTTTAAGGTTACTCATTAAAAAACTTATCTAAAATTTAATATAATTATTATTTTAAGTTAACTATAGACTTTTACAAAAACTTCTCCTAAAAGCTTGTTAATGAGCTTAATCTTTCTCCTAAAATTTGAAGTTATGATAAACCAACTATACTATAATTATCTTATAAAGGATTAACTCTTTAATTAATTTCTATTTAAATTGATGCTATGACTGAATTAATTTCTTAGACCAAAGTTTTCCTTAAATTTTCTAATTGTTTTATAAGAACATATGGTAAAGCATCTTTATTATTTTATTATTCCTAATAAAATGCATTTAATCTGTCAAAACTTTATTTTAAACTAATAGGCTTTTTACCTTAACATTCTACACATAAAGTTCTCCTTCCCAAATCAATATTTTCTTCTACATCAAGTTAAATGATATATTCATTGTGTTCTGGACATAAAACTTCTATATTCATTTGAATGTAAATTAAATAAAAAGAATAATTGAGAAAAATAATTATTAGATTATATAAATTATAGAACTTTCATGATAAAAATAAAGAACAAACCAAAAAGATTTCTAAATTTTATGAAATTGTTTGAAATATTGATTATAAATTTCTTTTTTTAAGTGTTATAAATAATGAAATAATAAGAATAATAATAATTATTTTTCATTTTGGAATAATTCTATTTATTAAATCAAAATATCGTAAAAATATGTAAAACGACAGCATACTAACCATAATAACAAGTATTGTATCCTTAGAATTTTTAATTTGTTAGTTTTATTATTTATCATTTGAAATATTATGAGTCTTTTAAAAGTTTAACTTAAGTTATAATTAAAAATTACCAATTGTTATTCTTTTTAAGCAATTTCTTATTAAAGTAATTATGAATTTGTTTAGCATAAATTTGTTTGAAATCTAGTTTAATATTATTGTTATTCTGCATTATTATGTTATAACTCTAATTCACTATTTTATTTATGAAGTGATTGAAATATGTGATTATCACTTAAACCAATTTATGAAGTAATCTTTCTATCAATACTTTAGATGATTATGTTAATCTTCTAATTATCAAAGGATCTGCATGTATCTTAAAAAATTGGTGTTGGGTCTTAGATTCCTGAAAAAATAGGAATAGAAATCAATTGCAATTTTTCATTAAATTCATTAATTGATATATTTTGAAGTACTTTACAATGAAGACTAATATTAATTATTTAGTTTTGTTTAGGTTAAACAATTCCAAGTGATGGTCTGACTAAAAAGATATTTCTATTTGATGCTTTGAACTAAAATTATAAAATAGATTATACTTTGTATGCAATAGGAGTAAGAGTATCATTGTATAGAGTGATAGTTGATTGCATATTTTCATACTTATTGTACATAAATTCAACATGATTAGAACTTAATCGAAGTAGATCCATTTAAATTAATTAATTATAAATTTTACAATAGAATTTTTAGTAAATAATGAAATTAAAAATCAGAACTAATTTATTTACTTAAAATTGAATTACATATCAATTATATATAATTAAAAATTTTAATAATATTAAAAAAAAATAGAAATGTTTAAGGTAATTGAGATATTTCCAAATATATTGATTATAAATTAAAATATGTTAATATAAATAATTTTGTTAAGTGTGGGATATGCACAATTGTATTATGTAAAGGAAGTTATTAATTAATTGACTGAACAAGAATGCAGTTTAAAAAATAGAATTGTTTATGGACAATAAAAACTTCATCATTTATCAGGAATATATTTTTGTGATTCATATGCAAAAAGAACATGTTGTAGCTAATAAAATCTAGAAGAATTGAAATTTAAGTATTCTTAATTATAATATGTTATAGATGGTACAGAGAATAGTAATAAGCAGTTGAACTCAGCTAATAATGCTAAGAAATATTTATCAAGACCATTTGTTCAGATTGTGATGGTGATATTGGGTAATAAATTAGAGTTGGATTTTGTCCTCATTATTGCAATCAAATGTATTAAGCTTGTTGGAATGATTTATTCTAATATGATGAAAAATCTTAGAAATTAAGAATTTGTTATTAAGTAAGATAAATTTAATATTTTAGAATGATGTTGTATGTTCTGAACTCAGAAATATTGTAAATAATGGAGATTAATTCTGTACTTCATTAGGATATAAAGTGAATACCTATACAAATATAGATGAATGGATTGAAAATAAATATTTGAATCTATCAACAACTCCTTTGTGTTGGGATAGTACTCCTTCCCATAGAATTTGGGGTACTGAAACTAAATTGCCAGAAACAAAAGTGTTTACAAAGAATAAAAAAAAAAGTGTTAAAGAAGAATAACAATCCTATTTAGGACTTTACATATTTGCTATAATTGTCTTGGTAGCTGGAATTTCAATAGCAATAGTATTGTAAAAGAAATGATTAATGTATGTATGTATTTTAATTATGTCACATCTATATCTTTATAATTTGTATTTAATCAAAACATATAATTGGGTATATGTAAACTTTATGAATTATGAGATAAAAGTTAATTATTTATTTAATAATTATGTAATTGTGTCTCTATAATATTCATTCATTAATTAATGATTAATATCTACTATCATTATAATAATTAAATAATATTTATTATTCTAATTGATTAATGATGACAATATATAATATTTAAATATAAAACAGAAATTCACTTTAAATTACAATATTAGAATTCAAGAAATAGGATGAATATAATTAAAATCTATTATAGTAGATATTGAAATCAATGTCTCTTGTTAAAGTCTAATTTAAAGTTGATAATCATAATTTTCTAAAATTAGTTTATTTATTTTCTTTATTTTTAAGACTTTCAATTTAAGTTTTTATTATAGATAATTATCTTAATATTATTTTCTTTTTTTAATTTAAAAAAATCACTTTGATTTGGTAAATGATTAAGCCTAGAAATATAGATCAGAATATAATTAATATTTTTGTTCTTACTTTTTTAAGACAATCTGTAAACTTATTTGGAGTATAGTTGATTGCGAATTGTTAAAGCTAATTTTAATACTTAGAATAGAATCTGATAGGATATTATTAAATATGAATAAATATAATTAAATTATTAGATATGGTAAAGTTGCTATCCAAATCACCAGTGGCATTAAATAGTCCAACATTATAATAATGGGACAACAGTTTCAGAGAGAATTACGAGATGTATTAATCAGAGATTGATAAAAATACCTATGCATTGTAGAGAAGCATGAGGGGGTTCTGGATATTTGGAAAGGCATTCTACCCTGCTTTAACTCAACATTACAGTTAGAAATTAGAGCTATATTAATTGAAATAGCAATTAGGAAAGGTATAATATGTTATTGATTACATTTCAGATTGAATAATCAGAGGTGAATTTATATAAGACAGTTAATCCAAGCATCAGTACTGTATTGAATAAGACATTCAGTACTTAATGGCTTTGGTGGAATCTGTAAGACATATCCATTACAGCTGGGTTATAAGTTTATGCTCAATTGTTTAATTTTGGATATTCATGGAGAGTTGGATTCTTGGTTCTACCATATTGTGCTAGAGTAAGAAATCACATAAACTATTAGGTCTTCTATGATTATGCAACATCATATTAAAATAAATCAAAGGCAGTTGAATTTCTCAACTGGGCAATTCAATACAGAAAGGCAAAGAGTTAGATCGAAAGAGGTAGCTTAGATCCACAAGTAGTTGAGAGATATTAGGCTCTTTTTGGTAGTGTGAAGAAGGGACCACTATAAGTATATGCAGATGTTGTTGAATTGGCTACTCAACAAAACCCCAATTTGTGATGGATAATATAAATGATATAATGAATATTGATCATTAGAATAATATTTACTTCACAGTCTCAGAAAGCAATGCACCTGCTAATTCCACTGAGAATTTTTAAGCCTCTTTTATTTATTATTTCTCATTGTTCTATTATCCACTCCCTTGATAAGATTATTCATATTTTATGAAACATTTATCCTTCAAATCACATAAGCACTATCTAAAGTATAACTATATCTATAAATATTTAGATCTACCTGATTATCTTCTAGAATAGACTATGATAATCTGACACCCCAATATCTTTCCCATAATCCTTAAACTATCTTACTATCAATAGAATTGCTAAATATTTCAATATCCAAAGAATAATATTTATCATGATAAGCTCCAAAATCTTTGATCTTTTAAGTTGGAATTCCAATATTTTCATCCTAATTCTCTATTATGTCATTATTTATTACATTTTAATGGTCTATATCCATCAGGATACACTCTAAATGCACCTATATCAACCTTTTAATTTGTCATAGTTCTTATTGGATCAATCACAACAGCTACAAATGCTCCATATCCCATTTATTACAATCTTTGATTCTATACATCTGTTCCACTAAGCCAACATCCATAACTTGGATGAGAATGATACCAACCTACTGTAGGATGTACTCTTCCAACTGTTTCTAACATTTCAATCATTTATACATATTCTCCCATTGCTTCAGGAGCTAATAAATTTAATAAAAGGATATTTACTTAAAGTAACATTCACTTCACTTGCTTCTGCATTTAAATAGATTACATCATAAATGATAAATGTTTCCTTATCACATCTACCTTGCATTAGACCCATTACTTCATTATTCTCTATTTTTAGATTAATAATCAAATACTTCCAAGACATGCATGAATAAGCATTTTTATTACAGCAGCAATTGAAATTTTGCATTTCTTAAAATAGTTAGGTGAATTATCCCATGGTTTCTTATCGATGAAATCATTCTATTCTTCTTAATTGAAATGATAAATCGATTCATCTGGCAATATGTTATTTCTCTCAACAAATTATTGATAATCGACTTACTCTACTTACATAATTATTTTATTTAAATATATTATATTTATTCAAATTAATCAATCTATATTCTTTTTAGTAATGTACTTATTACTTTCTAATAATATAATTCATGCAAGAAATGTCTATAACTAAAATGAATATATTTTAAATACAATTTATGAATTTCTATTTTTACTTAAGCAAATACTTATTTTAATTAAATAAATTATAAACACTCATATAATCGATTATAAAAAATGATATAGTACTATCCTGTATTATATATTAATAGCAATTACTAATTAATCTTATTATTTATATTTATATATAAAATTCTTATATAATTAGCATAATCATAGTGTTTAAAAACCATCAATATTTTCAGGTCTTCTTCTACCATAGATAGATTATATTCCTAGAATAAGCAATCCTTCAGCAGAGGATATACTAAGAAAGGAACTTGTAGAAAATTGATAATTTTCATCTAAAGATAAAGTATCATCACTTTCTATCTCACTTTCTGTTTCAGAGAAAGAATCATCTTCATCTATGTCATCCTCTTAAAATTTTTTTATTAAACAACTAGTTTCTTTATCTCCATTATAAAAGATTGAAGTAAAGTTTAATTTATCTTCGAATTTTAAAGTCATTCTATCTGAAATTGGTAATAAATAACTAATTTTAGATTTTAATTTTGAAATAAATTAAATAGATAATTCTATTCTAGTATCAATTCTATATGCTATAATAGCATGTTCATCTGATTAACTTAATTACCCTTTTATATATAATGTATTTTAGTCATAATCTACTTATAGTTCATCAAAATTAATCTCTTTAAAAATTTTTATCGGCAATTGTCTTTATAAAAAGATGTTTACTTCATTTTTGTAATTATAAACATTGCAAATTATTTAATGCTTTTCCTTAATTAAGATTAGAAAATAATTCTCAAAAATAATAAAATCTAAAAATTCATCATAATTTAATTAGAAAACTTAAATCAAATCTTAAAATGGATAGGATATACTATAAAAATATAATCTACTAGTTTTAGTTTAAACAAACAAATAATCTTTTTTTTTTGGAGATGCAAATATATCTAAAACTTCTTCTTCTATCTATAATTTTTAATTTTAAATTTCCTATCCTTCAACAAACTGAAAAATAAAGACTTCTTTGGATATTAATTAATAGAAATGGTTATTATCAGATACTACTTTTTAAATTTTATTTTAATAAAACTTTTTAGCTTTCTTTTATTCATAATTCTTCATAATGTCATAATATATATAACAGGATACATTTGTACAATGGATGTAATTAATCTTATTATCTTATATTTAGAATGCAGTATTATAATTATTAATAATTTCATCTTAAATTGTATATTATTTAAATTATTACAAGTTATTATCATGAATGATTCCAAAATATATATAAGAACTTGAAAAAGCAAATATAATTTTATATCTATCTAAACCAAATACTTTAACTTTATAAGAATAAATCTTTAACAATTAATTATATTATTAAAATAATTGGTATCCCATTATTTATTCATCATAATTACATTATTTTAAATTTATTAATTGATGATTATTTATTTATTTATCATATTATATTAAAGCAACTTCTATAGTTTTGCTAATATTCAAATTATCTAAATTATTAAAATAATCTAATGTCATAACTAATTATAAATATTGATTATTCTATTTATCATATATATCTTATAGAAAAGAAATCTATTGATTTTATTTTCTATTAATTTCAATGAAAGGATTTTCATGTAAAATATATTTCTAATAATGAATTTTATCTACTAAAATAAATTAATCTTCTAGTTGATTAGCCAGAATTTAAAAATCTTCATCAAAGTTTTTCGTACTTATTAAACGTAACTTTTTTGAAAAGAGCTGAATCTCTTATCCATAACGAAAAATTATAAAGCTTTTCGTTAAAAATACTTGTATTTACTTTGATTCAATTGCACATTTATATGTCTCACCATCATATTCTATTTTATCAGGAGATATTATAACAAATATCTTCTTTATCAAATCATAATCATAAGCCAAAATTTTTGGATAAATCTAACATTCTGCCATTGTCTACTATAAATCTAATGTGACTAATATATTTTCACTAATAAATGTTAAATTTTAAGGTGGATATACTTATAAAGTTGTGATTTCATTCTTGATTTCTATTGATTTATTTTTACATTAAAAAGTTATTTTAGTATTAGAACATAAATTAATCTCTTGCCAATTTTTATGGGATTTTAACTAATTATGATTTGAACTAAAAATTATATCATCAATTTAAACAGTTAATTCAGGAAGTAGACATGCAAATGTAAGAAAATTTTTTTCAATTCTATCAGGATATATTTTCATTTTTGCAGATTCAGTTTAGAAATTAATGAGAATAAATTTATCTAAAATTTCCAAATTTACCAAAATTTTTTGTGTATAAGGATAAACAATTTCAAATTCAGGGTCTTTATTCCAATAAATCTTCACTAACTAAATATTTTCATGTTAAATAATGATAATAGAAGACTATCTTGGTATTCTGTTTTTTGAAGTTTTATATTGTTTCAATTACTTAACTGGGTCATTTGCTATATTATGGTTAAATTGTAAAATTTGTTAGATGGGATCGATTACATTGATATCATTTTTTTCATCTTTTTTACAAAGGATAAATGAGGAAGAAGATTAAATAAGTTCATTATAAGGAATTTGCACTACTTCTTAACTTGATAAGGACAATATCACTATTTCTTTTACACTATAAGAGTCACAATTTGAAGTCTTAATTATTTGGATCAAAATAAAGGAAAGAATTCCTAACATTATTTATTACATAATAAAATAATTATGATTATTATAAAACATTTTACATTCATTTACTATACTAGAATGATAGAGAATCTAAAAATATGCAAGCAAACTTCAAAACTGTAAACTATAATCATTATATAGAATTCCAAATATTAGAGGATAAAAAATAAATAATTTAAGATAAATATGATTTTTACATATAAGAAAAATATGTTTATTCATTATTTTGATTGAGAACGTACATAAATGAATAGAAATTTAAATCTACAAAACAAAAGTGTTTACATTCATCTATATATTTTATATAAAATCTAAAATTTAGTGAATATAATTTACTAAAGTATTATTGATTGATTCTTTTTATGTTATTACAATTAAGTGAGTATAAAAAGTTATATATTATCAAGAGTAAGAATAGTTTAATTGAAAAAAAAGAAATAATCAACTTCTTGGATAGAATTTGATAAAACTATTTAGTTTTAGTTTACATTAAGATTATATTGTATATTTATATATTTATTAAATTTATATGGTATTAATTAATTTTCTAATATTTCTATAAGATAATTTATTCCAATTCAATTTGGTATGTATGTTTAATTTATTAATACACTATTAATCATTTTTATAGATTAAATGATAGGAGAGTTCTGATATGTGATATCAATTTAGTTTAATAATACTGAAACTTCTAAAACTATTATATGTATTATTAAAACATAAAGAAATCTATTCATAATAATTAAGAACAAGAATGGAATGAATTAAAGATATTGTTTAAAATGGAAAAGATGAATTTGTTTTTTATAAGTTGATTTGAATAATTATATATTTTATATATAAAATTGAGAAGATGAAAGGACCTAAATATGTTGAAAATAACTTCTAGTTATTATTAGCAAGAAGGTTAGAATACAATAAACATATTAATTAAGTAAAGAATGCTAAATGTAATCCAATGTTAGAGAAAAGAGTAAGTTATGTTTTTAATTTAGTCTTTATCATAATAATAATCCTTTTTTAGATAACTGGAATAAAATTGGAAATAGGCTAATTTGAAAAGAGAACAAATGAAATATGAAGAGATAGTTAAGTTTAATACAAAAATGTTAATAAAAGTGGCTAATGCAAAGGAAGATCAATTATTATCATAGAGTAATAAAAATATATATTGAAGATACATAAAAAGGTCGAATTGACTCTGCCAGATCAAGTAAATCTTTAAATAGTGTGATAAAGAAAACAAAGGAGAGAGAGTTATTTCAAGAGAATAAAAGATTGAAAGATAAAATAGATAATGTGTAATCTTCAATAGCATATAATAAAATAATTGAGAATTTTAATAAGTAAGATAATTAAAAAACAATAGACACCAAGGTGAGAGGGATAGATTGACAAGAAATTCTTATTAAAAATAGAAAAAGATTAAAGAAATGTTAGATAGTTTGACTTCTTAATCTAAAACGTCTCTCCATTCTAAAAACAATAACAATAAAAATTAAGTACCAAAATTAAGGTTACCAAAAATCAATTAATAAGGATAGAGTGTCAAATCAATATAATAATTAAACAAATTAAGAGTAGATGGTTTCTACACTGCTAGATGAAAATATTTTTGTTTTGATATATAAACTTTGTTTTTATTTGTAATATTGCAATATGTGCTGAATCAATTAGTAATGACCCTATGGATGAATACTTATTATATTATGAATATGCATTTGATTATATGTAAATCATGCTAATGGGGCAGCATTGTTTTCTACCTTATATTACTCAACCTACTTAATATAATTGACATAATGTCTGATTTTATTCAAGACTGGCAATGTTTCAGCTGAAATCACATAACCTAAATCTTCTTCAATCTATTATATATCAATTAAATTACTTGCATTGATAATTCAATAGAATCCAAACTATCTAAACCATGTTATTCCAATTCTGAATCCAAAGTAAGAGCTGACTGCCAATATAAATAACAATTATTACTTTATTAGTTGTTCTATAATAATTTTTGACCAAAGCAAGAACATATCCCTCAATATCTTATGACTTTTTCAATTGTAAATAATTCTTAGTAATTAATTGTCCATCCTTATAAACTTAAATGGGTTTGGCTTGTTGTTGTTTTCCCTAAGTTGTAGCTGGAGTCTTATCAGCAGCAAAAGTATAGAAGGGTCTCATACTCAACATTCTCAATCCTCTGATCATATTCATTTATTTAAATATTATCTTTGAAATAAAATATATTATTGATTTCTATTCCATCAATTTTTAGTTTAATAAACTCATGATCCTCTCTTACATTTTTATCTTTTCATTAATGGTAATAGTTTCCTCATCCTAGGCATATCAACATCACTAATATATCTTGTTCGTCTCTTTCTTCTTAAATTTGCTTTTGAGCAATTTCTATTCAAATGTCTTGACCCTGGAGATTTAAACTTTAATCTTCTGGCTCTTCTAGGTCCAACAATTTTTACTCTCTTCATTAAACCTTTATGATTGCCAATTTTATATAACTTATTAGGTGTTCTTATCCTCTTTTTCCAATTAGAAGAAGCAGATTTAGTTTTTGTTCTTGCTTAACCTGTAATTCTAACTTATTTAAATAATCTTGCTAATCCAAATTCTTATTCTGGTTTCATATTCATAGTAATTGGTCGTAAAACAGGCATCAATAATGATTTCACTGCCTAGGATGTAAATCTAAGCATAATTTGTTTAAAACTAATAATGATTAAATTAATTAATTTAATCAATATTATAATTAAATATAATAAAGAATATATTATGGATGATGTATATAATCATAATTAGATTAATAAAATTGATTAATATATTAAATGAAGAATCTAAACAGAATCATACTTAGATAGAATTATGATTAAATTATAAATTATAAATGTCTCTTTTAATTAATAAATTTTCAAGATTGAATATGATTTATTTATTAATTCAAAATTTATAGATGTAATGTTATCTATTATTAATATTATAAATATAATGGTTCAATTAAAAAATTAGATATATAATATTATGATAAATATCAGTTTATATAATTATTTAGACAACAATGAAATGCTAATTTCTTTTGTAATAATCTAATTATAATTGTTAAAGAGAATTATATATTTATCTTAATTGAACATCTAGGTTATTGTTTTTAATAAAATTATGAAATAGTTTAATATATTATTTATAATTAATGTCTCAACCATTAAGGTATGGTTAAATTATATCACTTAAACCATCAGAAATGGATCATATGTTCGTTATTAGTGATGGTCACATTAAAACTAAAGCATAGATCTTTGAAATCAAAACTAAGAAGGTAGCATCTGGAACACTTTTCTTTTAAAGTCTGTTTTAAATTTACCCTCAATTTCAAACTTCAAAAATTGATTAGGCATTAAAATTAGAGCGAGAATTATAAAAAGAGAAATACTAAAAAGACAATATGAAATCAAATAAAATAAAAGAAATGGAAGAAAAGGTATTTCAAGAATACAAGTAAAATATTGAGACAGCAGAAAAAAACAAAGATTAGATATTCACAATGGCTTAGCCTATTTAGTTCTTACATTTATCAAGTAACAAATTCTTAGCATGTAATTATTTTGAAGCAGATGAAGAAAAAGAAAATTTCAAATTAGAATTGAATGAATATCCTTCTGATAACACTTGCTTCAGACTTATGCCTGCATACTTTCATTAAACAAGAGCAGATGGATTAATAGCAGATGAACCTTTATATATAATCATGGATAAAATCTATCTAGGCATGAAACCATATTTACATATGAGTGAATCTACAAAGCGTTATAATAATCATTTAATATTGGCTTCAAGGACTATGTTTAACTTTCCTAATGCAAAAGCCCTCTAAAGGAAAATTATCTCTGGTTAAACTAAAAGTAAATAATCCAGAATTGATCTTAATGATTTACAAGAACCAAATACTTAAATAATGTTAATGGCTCTTGATTATAAAAAAAAATAAGATTTAGAATTAGCACATTAATTGGCATCTGCAGAATCAATTTAGAAAAAGGAAATAAATGTTTCTTTAGAAAAGAGATCTCCTTTTCTTATTTCTGTATTCTCTAATACAGAAGAAGATGAAAATAAAATATATTTTGGAGATGTTATTTGGTTACATCATATAGAATTAAATGCTATTTTAGTGACTGTTAAGAATATGTCTGATGAAATTATTGTTTCACTTTAATAAACAAAAAATGATTAATTGGGTGAATTTATTGGTAATACTAATGGAATGTGGTATATAGAGAGTTTGAATATGAAAGGAGGTCCAGTAGAATGGGGTTAAATTTTTAGATTAAGACATTTTTCTTTAGGGAAATATTTGGCTGTTTAGAAGGAATAAGATAGAGATACTGATACATATTCATGCTTTTATTTGGAAGATAAATAGAGTGAGAACTCTTTATTGTAATTTTCAGCTCTTCCAAGTTCAATTAATGAGAATGAAAAGTATGTTACAAAGGATGGTTTTTTTAAATTAAAAAATAATAAAAAATGGATTTAATTTATAGATAAACATCCTGATTCTGATTCATCTATAGTTATGTTAAGATTAAGTGATAATTGTAAGGATGATGATGTTCTAAAATGTTATAAGGCTAATTTAAATGAAATATAAGAAACATCTTTTCTTGTTTCTTGTTTTCCTATAATGAGGAAGACTTTATCTATATTAACTGATTTAGCAACTAAGGATTATAAGAAAATCTATTAAGATAAAAATATTAAATTTCCAAAGAAGATAGCTTAATTAAAGAAAGTACTCTAAGATTTAACTAGATTTTGTTCAAATTAATTTCTTATAAGTAGTTAAAATAGATAAAAGGTATTAAAAGAGCAATATTTTATTGATATTTTATTAGAAATATTGTGTAATATAAGTAATGAGGGTGAGATAAAGGAATATTTGGAATTGACAAGAAAAAGAAAGGGTCATGGATTTTCAGATACTCTATAAAGATCAGCAGCTTAAAAATTACATTCTGCAGCATTTTAAGTCAAAGATTCATTACTCTAAGATTTTGGATAGGTAGCTTCAAGAGTTTAATAAGAAAATGATAAAAAATAATTGAGATAATATATTGGAGAAAAATTTGAAGTAATTAAAATGATTTATCAATTATTGATTTGTATATGTAAGGACAATAATTAAAATGAAGCATATGTTTATGATAGAGTAGACAAATTCTAGTATTAAGCAAAGTTTTTTAAGGAAACAACAGATTTCATTATTTCATTACTTAAAAACAATGAATAGTTATTATAAAATCTAACTGAGAAAATTCGTTTATCTGAATAAAAACAAAGAAGAATAAGACATGAATCAATAAAATCATATCCTTAATTTAGACTTGATAGTAGTTTACTTTAAAGAGATCCAAATAATATTGTGTTATTCTATAAGAAATTAGTAGAAGAATCATAGAATTCAAAGGATTACATTGAATTTTTTAGAACAATATGTAAATATAATAATAAAGGGTTATCTGTTAATTAAGAAACTATTTTTAAGAAATGTTAAGAAAATCCTAAATTTAATAATGCACTATTTTGGACCATTACTTGTACAGATAATTAGATGCTTATTGAAAAGGATATAGAGAAAAAGACTATGTTTTAATTAAATAAAGAAGAATTGGAGTCATTTGTTGCTCAATTAAGATTATATTCAGATTTAGCTCTTTCAAGAAATTTTTAATGGAAAGGAATACTTGAAAAGAAATTCCCAAAGTAATTTACATTTGAATAAATATTTAATAATGAATTAGATCCTGATGTTAGATCTGCACTATGTAATTTAGCATTAACTGTCTATATTGATCATGAACCTTTACATTTATAAATTGTTCCTAATTTGTGTAGATTGGTTAATCAATAAGCAATTAAATAATAATAAGAATTTCATGATCATGAAATATTTAAGTAATTGATTCCTAAAGTTATGACACAGATTCATGATTATAAGAAAAATTTGATAGATGATTTAACTAAAGGGTCATAAGTAAGTAAGAAAAAAAAATCAGAAGCATAATTATAATTAGATATTATAAAATTAGCTAAAACTCTAATTTAATTTGATGTTGTCAATTTGATTAATAGAAAAGATATTTACAGTGAAATATTACAACCTCTAATTACATTTTTAGAATATGATAAAAATAACTATTTATTATCTTATTTGATGAATCTATAAAGGGAAGAAACATTAAAAAGAGCCAAAAATTCAAATAAAATAATCTCAACTATGAAAGGAATGGTTACTGGAGCTATAGATGTTGGTAGAGCATTAGTAAATGTAGTTGTAAGAAAGAAACAAGATCTTGAAGAGGAATTTGCAGAATAGACATTATTTTCTAAACATCCAATTACTGCTAGTTTATTGACAATTACTTCAAAAATACAGAGTTTAAATACTGAGAAGGGGGAGGAAACTTATTAAATTGATATTGAATAGAAAATGGAAGTTTGTGAATTGTTGATATTCTTTTAGGAGATGAGATTGGATTTCTTAATTACAAACTTTTTGGCATTTTATGCTGTAAAATAAAAGAAAAAATCTAATAAATTAAAATATGAATTGGAATTTGATTTATTGTAAGTATTACCACCTACTTTGAGAACTGGAATTGAAGAACCTACTAAATAAGGAGCTAAAAATATTATATAATGGTTAGGAGATATTATTTCGAGAATGGGAAGATTTTTAAATAAGAAATTCACCAATTTTACCAAAGAATAAGAAATGCCTGATTTAGATACACTTATGAGTGGGGCAAACAAAGATTTAGTTAAGGAAGCTGTCTTACCATCTTTATTAATTGTATTTCATGTTTCAAGTGATTGTTTACTCTTGGATAAGGTAGTAGAAGTTATAAGGAGATGTTTTTCATAGAAATTAGAATTATTTGAAAAGATGAGAGACCTTGAGATCTTATTTGATTAAACTGAAATTAATTGTTATTAGAAAATGGTTTAATTATTAAGTAGATTAAGAACATTAACTGAATCATCTGAAGTTTGGATTAACACATTTCATAATAAATCATCAGAGAAAGAAACATCTAATGAATCTAAAGAATTACATCAAGTTTAACATATCACTAAAGATCTTGATTCTTTATTATACAAACATACTACAGTAACTCCAAATTTAGAAATTATAACTTAAGATGATTTCTTATAGATATCCACTAGTAGATAAAAAGTATTTAATTTTCTTAATGGACATACACCATTAATTAATTTTTTGAGAGATTCATAAAATTAATTATGTGATTTTCTTAAGGGTGGATATAGAGCTGACTATTAATAGACAGTTTCAGAATTACTTAAAACAATTTATTAATGTTTAACTAATTTTTGTAAGGGAAATAGACCAAATTAAAATTTATTAGCTTAACACTTTGAGCTTTTTGTGGATGAGATAGAAATTGATTTTGGTTAAACTACATTATTATGTGTAATTTATGAAGATAATAAATTTTTGTGTGAGAATATTCCAGACTCTAGAATCAAATAGTTTTTAAATTACATTAGGGAATTTGGTAGATAAAGTAGATTTTTAGAATTATTAAAAACTATATAAATTTGTAAAGGATAGAGTCTTGTTGAAAATCAATTGAAGATACTCTCATTTTTATTACCACATTAAAAAGAGGAAAATAAGAAGGCTCATGAATATTTACTTTGGGGATAATTTACAAAAGATTCAAAGGGGATTGAATTTAATTTCTTTAATGATGGATAAGATAAGGAATAGAAACATTAACCTTATAAATATCACTGTAAATTAATTGATTTACTCTTGTAAACTACATAAGGAGAGGAGAGTTACAAATTAAATACACCTAAATTAAAATAAATATTTTCATTGGGATATTTAGTTAATTTAGTTGCTGAAGAAAATGATGAATTTATTGAAGGCTATTATCCAAATGGAACAAAAGATGCAAATTAATTGAAAATTAAGGTTATTCTTTTTATTAATTGGATTTATATTTAAAATAGTTTGACACAATAGGAAGTAATGATTAAAGAGTAAGCTAATTTTAATAAATTATTTAATAAGGAAAAGGAAAGATTATTAAAATTAAGTTCATATCCAAATAGAGATGAATATTTGAAATACTTTTTTGATCATTTAGTACCTCTGTTTGAAAACTTTGTGAATAAAATTTATTCTTAAGAGAAAGCATAAAGAGATGATAATTATGAGTATTAATTATTATTATTTGTAGTGTGCTAAAGGAAATATTGGAGACAATCGCAATGATGTCAGATGGAATATTATGTTAATATCTTACAAAGAATCAATATAATGCATTATATAGGTTGTATAAGCCATTTGAAGAGAATACAAATAGATTATAAATGAATTTCTCTTCAGCCATAAAAGATCAGAATGATGTATTATCAAGTAATAAAAAGTCTGTATATGAACCTCCTCCTCCTGAATTCATGAAGTCTTCTTTAAAGAAGAATTAAGTCATGACAATCTTCAATAAAAAAGAGAAATCCTTTTTAACTGAACAATTTAAGACACCTAATTCAAATGATAAATCTAAAATGTCAAGAAATAAATTCTCATAAACCTCCTAGTAATTATGGGTTAATAAACCCAATTGGTTCTAATTTTTAGATATGTGTGAATAGAGTTAAGTTTTATAGGATAAAATTAAAGAAGAATTACATACATTAGCTAGTGCAATATTCCATATAGACAAACTTGTTTCTGATAAAATGAATACAAATTAAAGCAATTCTGTTAATCTTGATTTTAAGGGATTTTTAAAGAAATACATAAGATTCGTTGAATAAGGTATTATAAATAAAGCAGGAAAGAAGAATCTGATTTATTCATTATAATTATTAGAAGAATTACTAACCATAAATGATTTAGAGGAGATGCAAAATCTCTTCGATTAATAAAATGCTACTAGAATGATATTGAATATCATAGCAGATTATAAAATATATCCCTTTGATGATGATTTCTTCAATTAATTATTAAGTTTTGGGTGTAAACTTCTAGAAGGAGGCAATCCTAAAGTTTAAAAAACAATTTTCAATTACTTTTCGACATATAGTAGATCTGAGAATATTTTTAGTAAATTGAATATGGTTATCAATGATCATATTGAAGAATTGAATATTAAATACAAAATATAGAATGAAATGCAGAAGGAAGAAAAATAACAACAAATATTGCAATTAGATACTGAACCTTAAGTACCCTAAGATTAAGTTAATGATCACACTTAAGAAATGTAATTTAAACAAAAGTTGAGAGAGTCTTTGTTGATTAATGTGCTGAGATTTGTCTAATTGTTTTGTGAAGGTCATAATTTAGACTTATAGAATTATATAAGATAATAATTCAATTCAAGAAACAATTACAATTTAGTTTCGAGCATTATTGAATTATTATACATGTATCACTTAGAATTGACAAATGAAAATTATGAGAATATATTGAGATGCTTAGATACTTTGACAGAATTTGTTTAAGGACCTTGTTGTTAAAATTAGTAGACAATTATTGATAGCAAATTCCTTGAAGTTGCCAATTCTTTATTAGCCACTTAAGCATCAAAAACTAAATCTAAAGAGCATAGTTCCAAATCATTTTTTAGTTAAGATGAATAAAGTAATTAAAAGAATAGTTCTTCAAATTTGTCTGTTGGCAAAATCAAATCTGGCAAATCATTTAAGAATAATCGAATCAACATTAAAAAATATATGTTAGAGAGGATTAAATATAAGGTGATGGTTTTAGTCACAAGTTTATTAGAATTAAATTCTGATAGCTTGGCAATCAAAAGAATTATGAGATCCCTTCCAATAGAAATCTTAAAGAAGAATTTGACATAAATTTATAAAAAACATAAAAAACTCTATGGACCTACATACACTTAAGATGCATTAAAGCATGTAATTTATATTTTTCTAATTTAGATTGATGAAGATCCAGAAGCTAACACAGAAAAGCCAGAATTTCATGAAGCCATATTAGAAACAGGGTTTTATATATATTTCTTAATTTTATATTATTATGAATTAGATACCCAAGAAATAGATTAAGAGACATCTACAGAATTGCAGAAAGCAAAAAATAGTTTATTCAATAAAAATTTATTTATGGATTCATTGATTGGATAGTTGTTCACTTTTGCCTTTGCTATAATTGGAGGTGTTTTAACAACAATAAGTTAAGCCAAAAATTATTTGTAGAAAGCTGTTGAGAGGATTGGTCAAAAAATAGATTCAACAGAAATAGATAAGAAAAACTAAAAACAAAAAGAAATTAATCAAGAAATATTTAGGGAGACTATTTAATTTTTTGCTTATAATTCTGCTCATGTTGAAGTAGTCAGAAATAACTAAATTGAAAGAATTCAATTCTACAAACCTCCTTATTGCAAATATCTTCCTAAAGAAAGGAAAAAGGAATTCCATGAAACAGTTAACAGAGATTCAACTAATTCTAAAATATCTGATTTAATTGAACAAACAGATAGCATCATTGAAGTTTGTAAACATGAAGAAAAGCTAGCTGTCTTCTTTAGTAAAAACAAATTTATAGCAATATTTGCTAATTACGTCATTTTATGGAAAGATTTGGCATTTATACTAACATTATTATTAAATTTATTCATCATTTTATCATATGCTGATAATGAAAATACAAGATCTCAAACAGGAGATGAAATTGAAAGCATCTAAACTATTAGAAGGAATAGAATTAGTAATCCAATATTGCTAAATTCAAATCTTACTGTTGAAGAAACAGAATCATTATTTTTTATTTGCGGCATAATAATGATTGTATGCTCTACTTTTGTTGTTTTATTCTTTTTATTAAAGAAGGCTCCACTTTATATAAAAGAATCTTATAAGAAATAAGATTTAAGTGAATATGGAGTTCTGATCAATTCTTTGTTTTAGATTTTCAATTTTACTTATAGCATAGCAAGAGTACTTTTAAACATTGAGATCCTTTATTACTTATCATATGGAACCTTAGCATTTTTAGCTACATTTTACCATCCATTTTTCTTTGCATTCCATCTTACAGAAATCGTAATTCGATTCCCTTAATTACGTAATATTATTAAAAGCTTTTGGGAACCAAAATTATCATTATTACTCACATTTATTCTAATAATTTTGTTTAATTACTTTTTTACTTTATTTGCTTACATATTCTTTTATGATGATTATTCAGGGAAATGTGAAAGTTTATTATATTGCTTTTTGGAAACATTTGACAAAGCGTTTAAGAATAATGGAGGAATAGGTGGATGGTTGGATTCAAATTAACCTTAAGATCCAGGTAATTACAATTATGGTAGATTCTTTTTTGATAATCTCTACAACATTGTGATAGTAATTATTATGATTCAGATATTCTCAGGAATCATTATTGATACTTTTTCGTCTTTGAGAGAAAAATAAATGCAAAGAGATCAAGATATTTAAGAAACTTGTTTTATTTGTGGATTCAGTAGGTAAATTATTTCTTTTTATTATTAAATAGAGAATTGTTTGACAGAAAATCTGAAGCCGGTTTCAAATTACACACACAATATGAACATTATATGTGGAATTACGTCTTTTATATTTCGTATTTGAAAGAGAAAGAACCTACAGAGTATACAGGAATTGAATCTTATATTGCTAAGAAATTAAAAAATTATGATAACTCATGGATTCCCATAAATAAGGCAATGGTGTTAAAAAATATGGTTCTGGAATCTCAACATTATGAAACAGAAAAATTATAAGATATCTAAAGAGAAATGGATTATATTAAGAAAACGTCTTTTGAGATTTATAAAGAGATGGAAGAATTGAACATTCAATTTTTAAATAAGTAATTACTAAATCAAGAAAAATGATCAAATTGATGTTGTTATTCTTCATAATTTATATCATATTTTTATTTTATAAATAATGAGACCTTAAACTTCTGAAACGTTTGTTCAAGAATTTCTAAATGTTTAAATAAATTGATGACATCTAGAGAGAAAAAAAATAAAAATATAATAGATAACTATTATAGATCTTTAATATGATGTTTAAGCTCTTGAAGAAACACATAAAACATTAAATAAAGGCAAACATTCAATTATTGTTGAATTAACAAAAAATTATATATATTCATAGAACCATGATTCTTAGAAAGAGTAAGATTAAAAAGGAACACCATCCTTTATGCTTAAATTGGAATTAAATTAAGAAGCTGTTATTGGTTTAGGATTTAACAAATATCTAATAGAAAATAATTATTGTAGCCTAATTAGATATGACTTATTTAAAATAAAAAGATTTCATTGAATATCTATTCAATCAGTGCATCTGAATTTATTGATGAAATTCAAAAGCCTAAGGATATTGAATTTGTATTGGAATAAAGAAGATTTACTTGTATTATGCCTTAATTGATTATATATTGTGATGATATTAATAAACACGCAGAAATTCAATTAACGAATTTGAAAATATCTTAATTGCTACAATCTAATTTTTAAAGATCAATAATTATGTATTTGATAAATTAATTAGATGTCTGAAATTGATTAACTATTTAATTTTGTAATCTAACAAAAATAGTTTCCAATTCAAAACAACTTGGTAAATAAACAAAAAAGGAAAAAATCATTAAGAAAATTGTGTATTATCGTGAATCCTTATATCAAATATCGTTTATTCCACCATCAATCGTTGTATCTAACAATATTAAATAAATTGGCTAATACCATTTTTCCATAGCTGAAGTTGAGACAAAAATCCTATTCAAAACTTAATTAAAAATTATGTTGAAATCATCATAACTGTCTCCTACTTGAGCATCTGTTAAAGTTAACATCACTGATTAGTACGATTTTATAGCAGCACAGCAAGGATTAGCCTGTTCAGAAAATGGCTTTCTATTGAACTAAAATATTGAAACAGACTTTAAGATTGTTTATACTCCTGCTTCTACAACCCTTGAAAAATAAATTAGAATCATTGAAGAAAATGAATTGTAGTAAATCATTGATTTAAACTTTCATTTTACATTATGAATTATAGAAATTTTGTATCATTAATAAAAGTTAAAAAGTTTACTTTTTCAACATACCACTAACGAGTTTGTTATAATAGCATTATCTTCTCTCCTTCCATGAAATCAGAAATCTATAGTATTTTTAGATCTTTTAAACATTATTTGATCTATCCCAATTTCTGATTTGATCTTAATGAATAAGTATTTCATCTTTAATTTTGAGTACTTTTTGAAGTTGATCCTAAATTACAATAAAATGGATCACAATTTTATTCGCCTCTTAGTATTCTAATCAAACTCATACTAATTGAATTATTATCAAATGTTGATTTTTCATATGATTCTCTAGTATTAGCAATTCAACCAATTAATTGTTATCATATACTTTTTCATTTAAAAGTAGTTTTTACTTGACTACTATTAGAATAAAAAACTCATTTCAGGTAAAAAATTCCCTTCCATTTACTGAATAAGTTTTCTATTACTGAAATTATAATAAACAATATTTAAATTTTACTAATGACTTTCAAAATTAATTATATATATAATATAATATTATCAAATTTTGAGCAAAAAATAAACTCTACTTCACAATCCTTTACTATATTTTGCATTAATTTCAAATTAAAAACAGAGAAGGGTTATTAAATATTACCAAAAATTTAGTGGAAAGAAATTACATGCATCTTCTTATTAAGAAACTAATGATTCAATAAATATAATTAAAATTATACTTATGAATTGAGTGAATTTATTTATATTTATTATAACATTAATCTCGATGATGCGTATTATAAATTTTCTAATTTATAAATATTCCTTGTAATATCTTAATTACATTGTTTTGTAGTATAAGGGCTGCAAAATTTAAAGATTTTTAGCAATATTAAAATACATTCATTTACAAAACAATTCTAATTCTTATATGTAGCAGATCAATCATGTCTTCTATCAATTTAGCAAAGTTAACCTTCCAAAAACGATAGGAGTATTAGGATATGGAGCAATTGGAAAAGCCTTTACAGAAGTATTGTTAAAGTAACATCCAGGTAAAGTTCCTTGTTATTTTGGTTAGAGGCAAATGTCGTCGCTCTTGACAAGTACGAAGCATTTTTTCCAAATGAGAAAAGGTTTAAGACTATAATTTAAAAACGAACTCGAGATAACTTAACACATACTTTAGATGTTATGGGGTATTTCTCAATTATATCCTTTTAATATAGGTTAAAAGAAGGAGATACTCTAGTTGACTTATCGACAAATATTGAATTTTAGGAGATTTGGGCACTTTGTGCAAAAAAAGGTGTTCGATATCTGAACACTGCTTTGGAGGTATGGGAAGACAGCGAGGATGCTAATTCATGTCCTGAGAATGAAGACGAAGCATATAAATTGACACTAGGATATATCAAGGACAATGCTATGAAATCTCCATTTTGGTCAAAAGTAAAATGTTAAATTAACTTAGGGACCTACTGCTTTATTAGAAACAGGATTTAATCCAGGAGTGGTATCTCATTGTGTAAAACGAGGTTTGGAGGATTGTGGAAAGTATTATCTAGAGAATCCTCAGAAAGATCATGATTTAGGCAATTTAAGAAAATATTTGAAAGAAAAAAATCATTCTAAATTAGCACAAGTACTTGGAGTACATACAATACATTGCTCTGAAACTGACAATTAAATAATGGCTGAAATACCAAAAGATGCCAAGACGAAATTCTATAATACATGGTCATGCAGAGGATTTCTTACTGAAGGACTTGTCCCTATTTAAGTAGCCAGAGGTTCACACGAAGATACGAAAATACCTAATTGTTACACAATAAGGGAAGGTAAGACGATTGTTTCAAGAATACCATCTGTGAAAACATGGGCAAAGAGTTGGGTACCCAATTAAGATATTACAGGTAATTTCATTATTATTTAAGATTAGGGGTTTTGATTCCTCATGGCGAAGCTTATTCTATATAAGATTATTTGAGTGATCCAGAGACAGGTTACTCACCATCTTAATATTATGTTTATGATTATAATCCTTTGGCCAAAGAATTCATCTAGAATTTACCCTCTAATGCCACTATAGACAATACTCATCCAGAAATGGAAGTTATTCATCCAATGAATCACACTTCATTGAAAGGCTGGGATAAGGTTGGAGCACTCTTGATTATGAAAAATAATAGAGCTTGGTGGACTGGAAGTATTATGGATGAAATTGATTGCTCTAATATTTATAATGGAATGTTTGGCCCAACTGTCTTATAGGTTGTGGCAGGAGTTTATGGAGGATTTTTGTGGACTTGTTAGCATCCGAATATTGGAGCCCATTTCTCTGAAGATGTTGAAACTGATGATCTTATTCGAATTGTAAGAATCTTTTTTTTACTATTTCTAGGGTGAACATCTAATGGGTAGATTTATATCCATCCCAGTTGATTTGACCAACACTAAAATTAAGGATTGCTATAAATTGCAAAGTTTTCTATGCCAATAAATTTGATATTACCAATATATATAATTATTTAATTAAATATCTAAAAATGAGTTTGAGTTGGCTAGTATCACCATAAATTCACAAAACCACAAATGGCTATTACATCAATCATGATAACCTTATGCTTGGTAATTTTATCCAATTATTTTAGCCGGACCATAAGATAGAAGAAGACTGATATTTTATTTTATTGCTAGTCAAACCCCTGAAAAAATCACTTAAGAGGATCACAAGAAATTCATTAAAGAATAAACTATTGATGTCGATATGAGATCTGGTATATTTTCTTTTGGTGGTATATTCTTGGCTTTAGCAACATTAAGAGAACAATAAATGATCACTTCCAGAATTACAAGCAGACCCATTTTAAATGGTATGTTTATCTTAGGAGTTGGTAATACAATCTAATCTACTCGTAGGTTTGGTCTCAGCTGCATTTTCTTACAACTTATCCAAAGTATTATTCGAACCACTTTTTGTACAAAGAAATCAAGTTTTGTTAGAATTGGCTGAAAAGTATAATTTTTCAGTCTTTGATTTTGCCCTGGCCAAGAAAGAAGCAAGATTAAAATAATTAAGAGCAGAACTCACAAGCGATAGTAGTAATGCTGCTCATTTCTGAAAAATTATATTGCAAAATCAATAAAAATATAATTATTATGATGATTAGAAAATTATTATCAAAAAGGGTCCTTTTTATTAGACCACAATTCTGCATTAATCACATGTATGATTAATCAATTTATTGGCAAGCTTCGATACTCAAGATCAATTTAAGAAGATTAGCAGGACAAGCATCGATAGTATTAAATCATCTGTGAAACCATTACCCTCTCCAACTGAAGAAGCCGGACTCTTTATGGAAGAAAATGAAGTAAGAGAATGTCTCCCTACAACACTTAGGTGGATGTGCGATTCTTAAAAGTTTTGAAATCCTTTGAAAAAATAGATGTCAAATCAGTTAATTGGGAAGGAGATTTAATCAAAGATCTAGGTTTGGATAGTCTTGAAAGAATTGCTTTGATCACTTCAGTTGAGCATGAATTTACGGCAATCTTTGAAGATCGAGTATTTGATAATTTGAAATCATTGTAAGACATTAAAAAGCAGATCTTAAAAGATGATTCAGCATTTTGAATAATATATTATTAAAAAATAAATATAAGATTATTCATAAAGTTAGTTGATAGTTATGTGGTTCTTCTAATTCTAACAAAGCCCTAAAAAAGGCTGGGTCATAAATAAATTGAATAAATGCTAATATTCTAATCAATCCTAAAATTTCATAAAGAAATGTTATTTCAATCAATTTAATTCAAAGCCATTCTGTTTGAAAATCTATGATCAACAAAAAAAAATTGTATTTTCACAAGAAATTCTTTTTTATTAGTACATCAAATTAACAAAATAATAAAATTCTTCAATTTTATTCAGAAAATGATAATTAAATTTTCTAATAAATGTTATTTAAATGTGGACAATTAGAAAAATTATAGAATACTATCATTTTTGTAATGATCAAATTTTTGATCGTTGGAATAAAATCTATTTTAGAAAAACAAAATGTTCAAATTTAATAATTATGATTGATCTTTTTAGTTAATATCTAAAGATAATTTAGAATTATCCAAGAATTTATTTATGTGAAGATGTTCGAAATGATAAACAGGTGCAAGAATAAAAAAATATAATATTTTTAAGAATAATAATATCCAATTATTTTCAAATACATAGACTTCAATTTAATAATTCAAAAAATGCATCTTAATTATCTAATATACATTATTTAATTTCTGACATTCCTTTAATAGTATTATAATTCAAATAACCATGAGATAAGTTTTCATATATAGTTATTTTTACATCTCTCTACACAACTCTAAATCATAAATTAAAATTATACTGTAGTCTTTAAGCTAATCTAAAGACTTAATCAAATAATGGATCTTAATCCCCACAAAACAATCTCGTTGGTGGGAAATATTTTAAAATATCATATGACAATAATAAAGGACTCATAAATGGATCAATTCCCAATTACGAATCTGGATGAGCTGAATAAGATTCAATACAAATTCCTAAAATAGTATGACTAAGAATTTTATCATTAATTGACTTCAAATAACTAGGGGTGTATTAAAATCGAATATCAACAGCAGGATAATTTAATATCAATCCATTTGGGATTTGTAATTTATATTTTATAGTTAAGCCAACTAAAGCAGTTGCCAAATTGCCACCAGCACTATCACCTGTAACAATGATTTTGTTTGGAGTTATTCCAAATATTTTTTCAGAATAGTTTAATATCCAATTATAGGCCTACCAACAATCATCTAAAGGTATCGGATAAGGATATTGTGGAGCTAAACTGTAATCAATAGAAAAGATGGGAACATTTAAATTGATTGCCCACTCTCTAGTATAACATTAATGACTTGATGAAGATTAGGAGATAAAACCTCCTCCATGAATATGAATGATAATCTTATCTTCAATCATGTTGTTCTATTTGACGAAGAACGATTTCAAGAAGCTAAAAATATTATCTTGCTCCACTACATGTTGGTTGTACAATAACCTGATTCGTATTCTAGCTTTATTTTTCACAAATAAGAATTTGTCATCTCTGTGTATTTCTTAATTCACATACTCAATTGGCTGGTTGGAAATTTGATCATAGATTCCTTATCTAATTTAATTATTTGCTTCTTAAATTGTGAGAGGTAGAACAACTGGCAAAATGTAGAATTTTAAGTTTGTAGAAATTTTGGGCAATCCTAAATTAATTAAATGTTTGACTCCAGGTAATTCAATAAAATTCATAGCTTAATACGCAGTATCAGCTCTTAATTAACTCATGTGGTCTTTCATTCCTTTTTCTGCTGCTGATCTTGATAAGAAATAGTACATTGAGTTTAAACTTACTGAGAATATTTTACCCCATTTGCTTGTAGTCTTTTTGCAATCATTTACTAATGCGTGACCAACCATTACAGATTATACAAATTTATCAAATGATTATCTAATTTACTCTGGATCACCTAAAGACTTTTTATACATATAAATTATACTTTTCTGGTAGTGATGCATTCTAGTTTCTTCCAAACTGGATGAGTACTATTTAAGGACATGATATCATTTTTGTCTGTATCAATAGCAGAAGGCATAATTAAATTTAGCATTAGAATTTCTGTTCCAAAAACCTTGATTTCATCTGTTAAACTTTGAGAAGCAAACATATGTTATTCATGCAATTTTAAGTGTTATAACATCTTTGGCAAAAACTTATTCTGTAAGTAATGATAAGGCACTTGCAACATTCTTATATTAACATCATCTGCCTTTAATGCTTTAATTTATCTCTCTTAGACATAATCTAAGTGATACGAAATTATACTTTATTTTAGTTCCAAGAGTATCTTACTTTCTTTTCCTTTACAGTTTGATAAGAGTTCATCTACAATCTATAATCCTTTCAAGAGAATAAAAAAATGCCTGTTTGCATTGTTGAAAATCCTTTATTTTTCTTCAGATTCGCACTTAATAGTTTTTAATATCTTGATAATGTAGTTCAATTTATCGATTACTAAATGAATATAATTAGTCTTTAATACTATCTCTAGTAGCTTACAGGCTTTATTCTTGGGATTAACATAAATCTGTATTTCTGATTTAAATTTAGATTTCAGTTGGAACCTGTGCCTGGGAAGACTTGTAACATACATTGTTAAAGAGTGTATAATCATCAATTTCACTTGCTCTGTCATAATCTGAAGAGATAAAATCATTCAGATGAGTTTTTGGAAATTGCATAATAAATATTTTAATTCTTAGATCTGAAGTTGTTAAATAATATTGTACTTAATTTTCATTAATCAACAAGGAAATCAGAATATTTTACAATTAAGTTAAATTGCAATCAAGTTAAAATAAATTATAGAAAAAGAGGATCAACTGAAATTTTTAGTTGAACAAATATAAATTAGTAAAGATAAAGAATACTTGATTATAATTTAAAAACAAAAATATTCAAAGAAAACATTAGGAAAAAAGTTATTTTTGAAGATTCCATCCTAGTAAAAATAAACTTAAGAAAATATGCTGCTAATTTATCTCAAGCAAAATAAACTAGAGAAAGTCACGTCTATAATAAAATCTATTCGTTATTGCTTTTTCAAAAGAAAAACTAATTAAATAAAAAATTATTCTAAAATAGTTCTTGAGTGATAATTCTCCAAAATCAAAATTAATTTAAAAACAAATAATTAAGTTTCCCAATTTTTGTCACAATAACTTAAAAATTTTGTAAATTTCAAACCATTTTATTATTTATCAGGTGTCATTTAAGTTCATCAAAATTTTAGTATTTCCTATCTAGTTTCCTACAGTAATGATCAAAAAGTGGGAAGGATTAATTATTTTACTAATTTATATGGTGTATTTTGATATTAAACACTTTAGTTTGTAAGGGAAGAATTAAAATTTCAGTTGTGATGGTTTTAGGGTTATCTTTTTATGCCTTTTTATTTTAAGATAAAAAATCACTTTGTATAAACTTTCTTAATTTGGAATTGAGCTGACTAAATTATTTTGTTGATATCATAAAACTACAAAATTGAAGAGCAAATTTTATTTTCTTAGAGTCCAAATCTATTTATTGAAAATATGTTAACTTTGATATGATCTGATACCATTTCTGTTTTTAAGTTTTAAGTATTCTAAATCTAGCACGCGCGCTATATATTTTTATCTAAGCCCAGTGACAATAAAATTCAGTCATATATAAATAAATTTAGCATACCAAAAATTTCAGAAATAGTGATCTATACTACATTTCAATTTGTATTTTGGGTAAATCGAAATAGTAAGATGTTCATTTTACATAAATTTTTAACTTATGTTAGTGATATTTTCAATAATTCTGAAAAAATTTAATCAAATTGTGGGGATCTAATAATGAATAAATTAATTCAACAACAAAAACCGTCATACAAAACCATAAATACCATCAATACCACATCTAAAAAAATCAACTAAATTTAGTTTTTATTACTGTTATAGAAATGTTTTAATAGATAAAATAATTGGGATCTAGTGCTTTGGGTAAGGAACTTTTTATTGATAATATATATATTAAGCAATTATTATTACACTTGTATTTTGTATAGAAAATTCTCAGATATATATAGGAAATCTCAATATTTTTATTTTTTTTAAGAAAAAATATTCTTATCAAAAATTTAAAACACTAATTAAAAATTTCTATCATTATTCTCCAAATATATTTTCATTAATAAAGGTCCTGAAACTCGTTTTGATTGCTTTTGAAATCTCGCTTAAGCCACCTCTTTCATATTTAACTCTGCAAGCTATTCTAGCATAATTTTTCTCTGAAAACCTTAAAGTCCATATATTACTTGAACCAGTCGTTTATTTCTGGTCAGATTTTTATCTTTATCTTTGAAGTAGTCTTCAAAAACTCTTCCCCTCGTTTCTGCCTTAAACTTTTCTTCTTAATAGATCGGTCATCTTCACCCTATTGAAAATCTTAGTGTTTTTCCTTTGTTATTAAAAATGATTTTGGGTTTTACTCCAAGATTTGATTATTACTTTTGGTGATTTATGAAGGAGTTCCGATCTTTTTTGAAAATAATATAAAGAGAAATTAATGTAAAGTTGAAAAATAAATGGTAAATAGGTTGAACTCTTTTAATTTGGAAATGAGGAGTGAATTTGTAATAAAAAATTAATAATAGCCAGGGTTTGCCAAACTTGATACTTCTGCATAGGACATCACTATCCTTGTTATTGGGATTGAAATAATAGCCCTTTTTAGAGAGGATGCTATAAGTTTCTACCCCATTGAAAATGTTATACAAGTGCATATGATGATTTATCTGTATTTATCATCTTAATAGAGAAATAATAAATAAATTCCAATTAATTATGGTTATTGATAATAGAAATTTAACATATAATTCAAGTTAATTCCTTCTAGTATGCCACTTGAATCATTTAGATTTAGATGAGGGGTTTCTTAACGAATTAAATTAAGATTGTTAATAAAGATTTGAATCCTGATAATTTTTTATTAGCATAAATAGATTTAAGATAAACTGTTTTTTAAGAAACTT